GGTCATGGCGAGCGTCGGGTCAAGGCCAGAGGGAGAGGCGTGTGGAGGGACGTGAGGCTGAGGATGAAGAGGTGGAAGCGGCGCGTAGGACGGGTGCGAAGGAGGCGACGAGTAGGCGGGCGGATATTGAGGGATCGCAGCGCCGGCGTAGGTGTTCGCAGAAGAGCTGTAAGGAGGATAATGGTAGTGCGGAGGGTAGTAGCCGTGAGAGGGCGGAGGGTAACTTGACGGGTGAGGTGGGTAAGGAGCGTGAGGAGGAGGCGGATGCGACGAGGGGTAGTAGGGCGGGTAAGGTGCACTCGAAGGTCCTGGGGCATCTCGCGCTGGCCACCCTGTTGGGCCACTCGTCGTCGTAGGCGAAGGAACGTCCTGAGCCGGAACGAAGCGAGCTTGGGAAGGTTTCGCAAGCTGATCCGACCGGGCACGAGCAGCTTCGCCGGCTTGAAAGTCGATGCGGGAGAGAAGCGATGGCTGATCCTGAGCTGCTCGGACGGGCGATGCGGTCGGAGTAGGCAAGGAAGACGGTCCCATTGGCGCTCGTCCGCCGGGTCCGAAGGCGGATCTGCCAGAGTACGCTTCGCGCATTGACGAACGAGTAGGCGACTGCGGCTCAGAGAAGGTGTTGCGACGTCGAGGCGGAAGAGGCGGGCGGCTCGACGGAGTGCTCGAGTGCGCGGTCGACCGGACATGCGAGTGAAGCTGGTCGTTGCGTCGAGCCGAGCGACCGCTGATGTGGTAGCTGTCGTCAGCCTGGTCTGAACGCGTGTAGAGCGAAATGACGCACGACTGAGCGAACGAGCGATCATACGGCGCCGACTTGGGTTTCTTGCCCTCCCAACTCGGGCTGCGGACGGGACGATCAGCTTGGGAGAAGAGATCGTCCTGTAGTCGGTAAGCGTACCTTCGGACCGGCCTTTCGTCTGCTGATCTCCGTCGGAAAGTGTTCGTCGACGGCGCTGACGATGGTCCTTGGCCCAGCTCCGGCGCGAGCGTACTGACCCATCGAGGCGGCGCCTCGTAGCTGTACGAGCTGTGTGAGCTTTGCTGGCCGGACTGCAAGCGTGACGAAGCATGCGACGGGGCTTGGAGCGTCTCCGAGTCTGAGCGGCGTCCGTGGTCGTCCTCTTCGACTTCGCCCTCCTCGCGCGACGAGCTTCCCTCCTCGTCTTCCACCTCCATTGCCGCGACAGACGCCTCTCGCTCACCCAGTAGAGGCTCCGGAGAGACCTCGGACCCGCTGAGAGGGGCTTGCTCCGCTCCGACGTCCATCACGAGTTCGTCCTCGCCGTAGTCGAGCTCGTCCGGGTCGTACGCGCTCGTGTAGGCGGGGCCGGAGGGGCGATTGTACGACGCCATTTCGAGTCAAGAAGCGAGCGAAAGAGAGCGAAGCAGGCGGTCGAGACGGGGAGGGACTGCGGGCGGACAAGCTGGAGGATTGCCTCGTTAAGGGTCAGGACTCGCTCGCCTGGGCTGCAGAACAGCTCGAAAGGGGCGTACCACTCTATCGCACCCTCTGCAGGCGGCAGTCACGCCCTGCAAGCGCTGTTGGCGGCACGAGACGGCGGGAGAGGTTCGAACGCTGTGAGTTGAAGGACGAGTGCGTAGAAGCGCGGCGGAGACGTACAACTGGTGCGGCGGTCCTCGTGACACTCGTGCAGGCTCTCAGGTGTACTCCGGCTGCGATCCAGGCGAGGAGAGGGTGTGGACGGGGAGGAAGAGCAGAGTTGCGGTTGCAACCAGGACTCGTCCTCATCAAGTCGCGCCTCGTCCAAGTCACGCACGCAGAGAACACGCTCAAACGAGTGGTACAACAGCGAGAACTCGACCGGGAACTACTGCACCTTGGTCCCTGCCGACCCCGAACCGCCAACGTCGACAATCCACCACCGCCGAATCATCCCGTTCATCACGCTCCCGAAGAACAGCGCCATCACCGTGCTCGTCAGGATGATGACGTTGTACGGCATGCTGAAGTCCGGCGTGGGCAGGCTCAGCAGCGTCGTGGGCGTCTGCAGCCGTAGGACCGGACGGCGCGACCGCAGCACGCCTTGTCGTCGGGGACTGCTAGAGCCGCCCTCGAGGGGCGGAAGCAGGACGACGGTCGCTCCTGGTACCGAGAACCCGCGGTTCGAGTCGGAAGGGTACTCGGTGTACCACAGGCTGGCCGACTCATAGGCGAGGGTGAGGCGGGTCGCCGACTTGGGCGGCAGGCGAATGAGCGCTTGCAGCGTTGTCGGCCGCTCGCGGGCAATTGCAGGGATGTAGTCGAGGTCGAGAATGCGTTCTGTGGGACCGAGGGTCAGCGAAAAGTGGGATGGAGGCGAAACGGTCGGACTTGCCTGGCGCCGACTGCCCGTCCGTCTGCGTCTCCAGCGTGCTCACAAACGCCCTCAACCACCACGGCCACACTTCCGACCATACGATCTCGTGCTCGACCTCCTCGTTGTTGATCAGCTCGACGCCTATCCGACCGCGTTCTTGCCCGACGCCGAAAAGCAGCCGCCGGACGGCGATGGGTGCTTGCGGAAGCTTCGAAGGTGATGCTGCGAGGGAAACGGTCAGCTGGCTCGACAGTAACGCCTGTAGAGCTGACTCACGGTTGCGGAAGACGCTTTCGCCTGGCCATGTTACTCGCACGTCCAGTGCTGCCGTTTCGAGAGCTACGCGGAAGAGCGGCATCAGCTTGACTCGCTCTCTCGCCAGCGAAGGTAACGTAAGCGCACCTTGTTTGACATCCCAAACCGCGACTTCACGACCATCGATCTTCGTGACCTCTCGTGCCAGGTCCGGCTCGATGGAGAAGGGGTTGACCGAGTGCGTCGGGACGACGAGTTCGATTCTCGAGTCGCTGGCGACTGGACAGGCTGTTGCGAGGGTCCTGTCGTAAAGGCTGCTGATCGAGAACTCTGCGCAACCGACGAGTTAGCATGAAAGAAAAAGAGAAATCAAACGCTGGGCGCACCTCTCCGTCCTAGCTGGCCCGTCAGCCGGTCCTTCCTCACCGGGTCCAGCACGCTCCCGATTTCCAGCTCGAACGCCGCCATCTCTTCCGCCTCCTTCAGCAAGAACTTTACGCCAATCAGCGTGAAGTCGCCGTCGAAAAGTCGATGCGGGTTGAGGAGTGATGAGAGGCCAGCGTGGTAGGAGCAGGGAAGGAGCGAGAGGAAGGGCGTGAGGGACTCTGTGCAGGCGGCGGCGAGTCGAGGCATCGTCAGGCGGTACAAGCTGTATTCTACGGTGCGGGAGAGTGTGAGTGAAACGGTCCCCGCTGAGAAACGGCAGGAACGCACCTCGCTCGTCTCCCTCGCCGTCAAATGACACAGTCCAAGTCGGGCTGCTCGTGCTCGTCTTGACGCCGTCCGCCACTACGCCCGCACAGAACAACCCACTGACCGCGCTCGTGAACGCCTCCCATCGTTCCCGCTCGTCCTCGTTGGTCTCCCCCTCGAGCCGCTCGAGCCATGCCGTCAACTCGATGCCGGATGCGGGCACTTCGGCTGGCAGGTGCAGCGGCCATGTCGGCTGCCATCGACCCGAAGATAGAGTCAAATGGAAGGAAGCGACGCGGTGTTGTCGGACGAGAGAGGTGAGCAGGCGGGGAAGGAGAGTGTGGTCGTGGACTGCGCGACGGCGACGAGTTCGTGAGACTGCGCGGCGAGCTCTGCCAATGCGTGTACGTACCAACTGCATTCTGCGATACCGCAAGCCCTTCATCGCGCCACGCCCCTTCGAGCCGAAAGCTGAACTCGGAGTGAACCTTGCCGTCAGGGAAGGGCGTCAACCGCAGCGTTTCGCGGTACGAGTCGGCGCGTGCTACGCTCGATGAGCCATCTGCTAGCGCTGTGCGGCCGAGCGAGACCAGCAGGAGCGACGCGAGCAGCCGAACGAGCATGGCGAAGGTGAAGAGGGCGGTGCGGCTCTCCAAGTCGTATTGGGATGCTCTCGCTGGACGCTTTCTGCGCTGCGAACGGCTCGCTAGTATGTCTCGAAGCATCGAGGAAGGCTAGGAGACGTGCGCCGAGGAGCACTGAATTGCAACTCCTCGACATCCCTGAATCACCCCGCGCTACACGTCTCATCCGCCGCGCATGCCGCCTGCTAGACCGCCAACAGCCCATCTTGTGAGTTGTCGAGAGCGATATTGTCGTACAGCGCGTCCTGGGTGCGTCAATGCCGTTCTTGTCAGCCTCCAGCTCTGGGGGCGCCAGGCTGGCCTCGGGATGTGCGTGTGCATGCGTGCGCGTGATGCGTGTGTAGTACGAGGGCTCGTATGGCAGAGGAGTACGCGGTAGAAGAGCGGCAGCCCGAACGGAGATCGACGCACCTCTGCTTTGCGGACGCAGGCGTTGGGGAGACCTGGGTGCATCAATGTCGCTCTTGTCAGCCAAAACCAAGTTCATGACCATGTTCATCCTGCGCACGAAGGTAGACAGCGGGAAGCTCGAGCGAGGACCGACGCACCTGTTTCGGCGAATCGAGCCAGTCGAGTCTGGGTGCGTCAATGTCGCCCTTGTCAGCCGGGGTAGATCATCTTGTTGCAGGCTCTCGGGTACATCATCTTGGTGCGAACTCTTGACGACGCGCTGCGTACAACGGTAGAGATTTGGCAGCTCGGGCAAAAATCGACGCACCAGCCGCAGAGAATCCCAAGTCTGCTGATTTCGAGTCTCGCGTCAGCGAGACGCTTCCCGTCGTGCAAGTTGAAGCGAGCGTACTCTGCGAGATTTGAGCGAAGGACCCCCTTCGAGCTAGACCTGGGTGCGCCGGTGCCGTCCATGTCAGTCCGCATGTGCATGAATTGAGGGCACTTGAGCGCGGTGCCACCGCGCCGATGTAAGAGAAGGACGACGCCTCGCCGACCACCGAGAAGACCGAGTACGTCGCAAGAGGCTGTCGACCGATACGACAACCGGATGATAATCCTCGAAACCGAGGATTGCCTTCTGCATAAATATGCCGACAGCCCAGACAGGGACCGGCGCACCTGGTGTTGACCTGATGGAAGAGGCAAATCCAGCGCAAGGCGGGGCGGTACAAGAAGGCGAGCCTGCGAGAGTGACGGCGCATGTCAGTTCGGGGATCCGGGGATGTAAGAAAGGCTCGACGGAAGCCTGCGCACCTGGAACGGGATGGGCTTGAGGCGTCGAAGCGGATCTGGTTGCGTCGGTGCCAAATGTGTCAGTCCTAGTCGACGTTCTTCAGGAGCTCGTGCTACTAGGCACTTCGAGTCGGTCGTATCCATCTTGAACTCCCGCGACGACGCTGCGTGTGCGTTCCGTTCTTCTTGTTGAAGCAAAGGGTCTCGACTTGGTGGACAGCTTGAAAGGAGACCGACGCACTCGCCAGTTGAGCGCGGTCGCAAGCAAGGGTATCAACCGCGAGCCTGTGAGGAGGGGTGCGCAGGTGCCGTCTAGTCAGTCCAGGGTCATCGTGCGGCTCTTAGGAAGACCAACGGAAGGCTCGACGGAAACCTGCGCACCTTTGACGAGTGAGCCAGCTTGAGCGTCGACGGCGAGCATGCCTGGGTGCGTCAATGCCGACCTCGTCAGTTCCCGCTGCCCATGATTCTCGACAAAAGAGACGTGTTCTCGATAACACTCGAATCGCTAGGCGTTCCTCTCCGAATGAGAAGGAACCCTACTTGCTGCCCAGCCAGAAGCCGTCGAATGGCTGCCCAGCCAGAAGCCGTCGAATGGCCTTCTGATCGCACTGGCGCGCGCAAACTGGGACGGAACCGGCCGACGTAGACGATGTAGCCCATGTGTACCCACTCATCATCGCTCGACTCCGCGCAGCGCATGTGGGGTGGAGCAGGAACAGCCCAGACGGAGATTGACGCACCTGTGCGAGGAGAAAGTACGAGTTGAACGCGGTTCTGGCGCTCGTCAAGCGGGAGTGAATCGCAGGCGAGCTGGGAGAAGGAGAGAAGCGTGAGCCCCTTGTCAAGGTTGCGCGCGACTGGGAGGAAACCACGACAAACCTTCATCCGCGCAAGGCGTCCAGTCTGGCGGCCGGATGATCGTCATTCTCAAGCCGAGGATCTGTAGGGTGCGCCGCTTCAGTCTCTTGTCAATCCGCAGACTGCAGGACCTGCCGTCTTCACCTCGCAAAGCGCAACCGAGTCGACCCACCAGAACTGGACGCCCCTCTCCTGATCGACCAAGACGACCGGCCAAGGAGTCTTGACCGACCAGAAGAGACAAGCCCAGCCGATGTGGGTCAGCCTGATCACACTTCCCGAGAGGAGTACCACCAGTCCCGCCTGGCCGGTCTCTGGTATGGAAAGCTCGAGACTGAGCAGCGCACCTGTTCGATCGACTCCAGGACCTGACTGTGCTGCAGAGCAACCGGAACGGTCAGGCGAAGGAGGAGGAGGAGTGCAAGTCGAAACGCACCTCGTTCAGCCTGAACCGCGAGCGAGTCCTCCCAGCGCCGTACCGCGCAGCTCCATCCAGTCGAGCACGATCGTCTAAGTTGTCGTGACCGGGGCACACCCAGTCAAGCGAGCGAGTAACTTAGGCTGTCGAAGGTGGTGACACGTCGAGAGGGTCTGTGCGAACAAGGCGCGTCGAGGAGAGAGCGAGGACGGCGCGGGAGGGCGTGCAAGTAGTAGCAGGAGACTCAAGTAAGTGTGAAGGAAGCATGGCGAGCTGTTCGAGCGGATTCAGCGTGAAGTGGCGAGAACGAGTGAAGCGAAGGAGGAAGAGAGGCGAGAGGGCGAGTGAGAGCGTCCAAGTTCAGCGACGGCGGCAGGTGAAGGCGTCAAGGCGAGCTTGGCAGCACAGTGCTCACGACTCAGCCAGATCCAGGCGCCAGGAAGCAAAGCACGAGCGCAGAAAGCCAGGGAGACTGCCTCTCTCGCTTGAGCGGGTGAACGGGCGACTGACACGGGCGAAGGCCTACCTTATGGTCTTGACGACGGTAAGAGAGAGCGCTGGAGCTACTACGCCTGGACCACCGTCTTGATCCCGCCTCGTACCTCGGAGAGACTGTCCCAACACCCAGTCGGGGTTGGACTTCCAAGCTATATTGCTGGAAAGTCCCGCCCGAAGTTGATCTTCAGTACGCACGTCATGTCGATACAGCTGCGATGCTGGAAGAGGCGGGTCGAGCGAGACCGTTTGGCGTGTGCTTGTGTTCAAGAAGCCAGTCGAGCGGGCGTGGAGACGCCCTACTGGATCCGCTCCGCGCTGAGCCGGCCTGTTGCACAGTCGAGGAGGTGGACGAAGCCGTCAAGTCGGTAAATCAGCCTGGGTAGTCGCCCTGCGAAAGTGTGCGCCGTCAAAGTCCTCGTCAGTCCGGGTTGCGAGCGACTCAAGCGTGAGCAGGAGTCTCGCCGTTCGATCCTGCCTGGCCCGTGAAGACAGGTTCGACTGGATGTACTGGGCAGCCTCATAGCAGCTGTATCGTGGCAGGCAACCCTGGCCCCATACGGGGAGACACAGAGGCGGAGGAGGACGCAGGGGCTCTGCTCGCCTTCGCTGCGTCCAAGTCTGCGTGTGGAAAGTCCCGGACAGTTCAGACGACGCACCTGTGCAGCCTCAAACGGCCTCCAAGTGCCGCGAGCCGTTCGTCGCCATCCCTTCCTCCTCATCGCTCCAGGCGGCGCGACAGCCGGATCCTGGTACCGTGGCGGTTCGGGCGGACTCTGTAGGCTCAATGACGACGCAGACACAGCTGTGAGGTGGTCGCACTCCGAGCGTGACGATCTGAGCGGATGCGAGGCAGCAGCGGGGAAAGGGTGGAGAGAGCGAGGAGACGAGGAAGCGAGGAAGGAAACCTTGAGGCCGATGCGGGCGAGTAAGCCGATGCGACGCTTGTGGACTGCCGTCGCAGCTTGAAGCAGAACCGTGCGAAGCGAACTCACAGCCGAAAACGGACTCTGTCGCTTCAATTCGAGTCGAAGGTCCATTCCCTGGCTCACGCTCAACTACATCCTGCGCCGCTCCTCCTCCAACAGCCGATTCCACTCGTAATCGCCGAAAAACTCGCGTCCCTCCCAGTCAAACTCGTCGCCGAAGAATTCCCTCGCCTCGTCGAAGTCGGCTTCCTGCCTTCCCCAGACCAGCAAGGTCTTGCCCATTTGGCGGTTCCAGTCCTCCTCGTAGCCAATCGCATCGAGCGCGGTGCCAACGACCTCGACGCCGGCTGCTTCGGCTGCGTCGACGACGGCGACGAGTCCCGCCTCAGAGCAATCCTCGGGCCATTGCGGAGCGCACCAGTCGTCGTGAACGAGATCGTCCAGGTCTCCCGCTTTAAGTGGCGATGTGTAATCACTCGTGATCGTTGTCCCGCGCTCGCATAAGACATAGTTGAGGACGAGACGCCTAAGCTGGTGTAGGCGCGTTGGACCATCGACGAGGGAGAGGAGGAAGTCGTCCGTAACCGGAGACCATAGGTCAAACGAAAGGACGCGCAGGTTTACGAAAGTGCGTAAACTGGTGGCGAGTCCAGCAGCAACGAACGAGTCTTGGCAGAGGTGAAGCTCTTCGAGCTGGTCGAACCTTCCGAGGTACTCGTCGATAGGGAATACGGGATCGGGTTCAGGTGGGTAGATGGAACTGGCGTAGAAGGCAAGGAAGCAAATTCTGCTCGGCATTGTCGCCAGTATCGAGCCGAAGCCGCGAGGACCCGTGTCCGCCAGCGTGAGCCGCTGAAGGTTCGGGAAGAGCGCGGCGAAGTTCTGGGCTGGCCACAGATCAAATTCAGCAATTGAGAGGCTGAGAGTAGTGATCCTCGGCAGCGGCATGCGCGAAGGTGTCGCGATTTCTGCCGGAAAGGCCTGAAACCAGATGAGCTCGATGTCGTCCAGCGCAGTGTACCGCGCAAGCTGGCCAGGCCACCACGGTTTGTTCAGGACAGGCGGTTCGTTGTACCGCAGTACTAACTTGCGCAGTTTCCGCAAAGCTGGAGATTCGAGTCCACCATCGACGAGAACTTCGAGAAGGGCGGGATCGACATTGGACAAGTCCAGGGCGTAGATGTTCGGGAGTCGATGCAGTACCGTCGTCCATTCGATCCGAGAGACGAACCGCTCGCTGTCCGCAAGTGCCGTTCGCTGCTGAGCGCCTATGTCGACGGGGGGGGCGCGTCGTCGAGTTCAGTCGTCGGGAAGGAACCGATACCGAGACCGTCTGGACCATGCAGCGCAGGTGCGCTCCGCTATTGACCGTCGCCGCGAAAGAGCCGAGCGCTTCATACGTGTTGAGGCGCACGTCGCGGAAGAACCGCTTCTCCGCGAAAACGCGCAAAGCTCGACAGATCGGCTTGGGACGGAATTGATCTTCGTAGGCGTAGTCAGAGATCGCGTCGAGCAGCTCATGCGGGAGCCTGAGGAGCGGGAAGGGGTTGACGGGGTGCGAGGGCGATGAGGTCTGCGAGCGGGACATGCGCGGTGAGCAGGCGTTGTGGGACGATGCGACTTGCGTGCGTACCTCGAGCGACATTCCGGCGAGCAGAAGAAGGCAGTCAAGCGGGTCACGGAGCGGTAGCAAGCGGAAGCGAGTGAGCGGGAGGAGGGAGAGCTCGCGACACGAGGGTGCAGACGGGACATCAGGGACTTCTTCCTTGATTGCGTAACGACAATGATACAAACAGACTATACGACAACTGCCACCCCTCGCGTACCATCTCACGCACCCACAACCTGCTCCGCCCCCTCCTTCGCCGGATGGAACCGCCTCTCGACATCCATGACAGCCTGCTTCGCCGCATCCGTCACACTGCGTTGTCGTCCGTGAATAGGTCGACCAGCGACTGGCGGGGGACCTGGGTGGGAAGGCGTTCGCTTCGGTGCGGCGGGAGGAACGGGAGAAGTCGCGGGTGCTTGAGCGGAAGGAGTCGCCGGGACATCGGAGCCGACTTGAGCTTGCGTGCGGCGTGCGACGAGGCACTGCAGCGCCGCCAGCCACTTGATCTCGTCTTCCTCGGACGGCGCACAGACGAGGTAGGTCCGCTTCGGCGTGATGATCTTGAACGTGTGCGCGAGCGTCTTGCCGCCTTCGACGACAGGCGACACCAGAGACGGTGATGACGGATTGGGCGACGAGGCAGAGACGACTGATGCGCGCTTGTGAGCGTTCGAGGCGGGCTGAGGGGGCTCGTACTCGATTGCGTCGAGGATGGCGGTGAGCGGGATCTGTCGATTGAACTTGTTGTCCTGCGACGAGACGGCGTCAGACAAAGCGCCGAGAAGCGCGACGAACACGAGACGCACCATGTGAGAGCGGCTGTACATGAGCATCCCGCTCGTCAAGACGAACCACCTCTTCCTCCACGTCTTGCGCTTGCCCTGCTTCATCAGGTAGCCCGAGAGGATAACCTTATTCGGATTGGCGGGGTTCGCCGATGGCTGCTGAGCGGGCGGCGACGAGACTTGCTGAGGCTGGGAGGATACCTGGGGCTGCTGCTGAACGAGCGAGGAATCGGGGACGGGCGGCGCAGTCGGCGGCGAGAAAGTTGGGTAGTCGTATCCAGGGTCGAACCCGTCCTCTTCCTCCGAACTCGACATTGCCGCCATTCCCGATCCTGCAACTCCGCTAGCAAGGCTCGACGACCCGCCTGTCGCAGATGAGCCTGACCTGCCGCGGCCGATGCCGTGCATCGCTGCAGAGGGGACGGCGAGCGTGTCGCTCCGACCGCTCATTGAGCGCTGAGGGCTTGGTCGAGGTGCGCCGAGAGGAGGAGGCGGCGCGAGATCCATCTGCTCGAGTCGTGCATCGAGGCCTTGCAGCTCGAAGTCGCCCGCAGACGGTGAGTGGAGACCGAGGCCGCCGGGTGCGGCGGTAGTCATCGGACCCGGCGTGATGAGCGAGTTGGGCGGAGCGCGAGAACCGGAACTTGGCGGCGCGGCAGGTCCGAGTGACGAGGTCGTCGAGGCGTACGACGTGCCGAGGAGGTTGCTGCCGCCGAAGGAGGAAGACGTCGTGGTGTACGAGACGGGCGCGAAGGAGCCGCCAACGGAAGGAGCGGACGAGCCTGGGATGGCGATCGCCTGCGGATGCGACGCGGGCTGTGCTGCGTCTGGCGTAGGCGGGCCGATCGCAGAGAAGCTCATCTGCCTCGGGGTCTGCGACGGAGTCGGGCCGTTCGTCGGCGTCGGCTGCTCGGTCGAGTTGGGCGTCTCGAGAGTCGTGACAGTTGCGCGGGCGAGGTATTCTGCCTTTGCGCGCTCGATGACTCGGCACCAGGCGTTGACGTCGGCATCCGAGTCCGCCTTGATGTAAAAGGTGCGGCGAGGCGTGACGATGCCAAAGGTGTGGGCGTGCTTCTTCATCTCAACGGGAGTGACGGTATGGATGTCCGTCAAAGGGATGAGGCGGAGCAGTCGGTACTCCTGCATATCGAACGGTCAGCAGTTGGTCACTAAGGACACTGATTAGGACGCACCTTGTCGTTCTTGTACATGGCGACTTGTCTGCCACGCAACACGAACCACCGCTTCTTCCAGGTCTTCCTCCTCTCGCCACGCTTCATCAGATATCCCGCCTTGAGCGCGACATTGTCACTCAAGCCTGCGCTGTCCCTGCTCGTCCGACTCGCTACCTCGCCTCCGCCAACTCCCGCAAAAGCAGGGTTACGCTCGTTGCCGCCAATCGAAGAGGCGTCCGATTCTTCGCCGTCGCTGCCAGAGCCGATGGCGTCTTCGGCTTCGGAGATGGCGGAGAGAGGGAGGTTTGTCGGACGGTGGAGAGGCGAAGGATGGCCGTCTTCGTCCGTTCCTTCGTCGTTGCTCGAGACACCGGACGACATCGAACCGTGGGCCTGCAAGCAGAGTCCTGTGAGTACCAGTGCTTGCATCAAGCTGAAGTGCGACTCACTCGTCGTGGTGCGCCGGATCCGCTCTCCCTCCTCTCCAGTCCTTGCCGGTCGAGCGATCCCGTAACGCTGACGACCGATGACGAAGGAGGTGGTAAGGACGGCGAGCCGAGTTTTCGCTCAATCTCTTGAGGTGTAGGTGGTCCCATTTGGCGAGGAATGGCTGCGAATAGAATGGAGAACAAGGAGGTCAGCGAGCGCGCTAGCGAGAAGAGCTGGCCATCGTCGGAGTTCAGCTGCGTCCCGCAAGCCACGGTAAGCCTCGTCGACACCCGTTCGTGCTATCTTCGCCGTGCCATCCTTGGCCGCCGCCATCCTTCTTCCCCGCATCGAAGCAGAGACCTCGGAGTAGGTCGAAGAGGCTCGAGATGCGGCAGCGCTCAAGGCGGGCGAGTAGGCCGCGAGAGAAGGCGTACGGCACCGTCGGACCCTGTACGATCCTCGTCGGGGCCGACCAGCTCGGATCGAGCGAGTGCAGCCACCGCGACCGCTTCCTCCGAAGGATCCGTGAGGGAGCGAAACGGCGGCGACTCACGCTGCGTTTCGCTCATCCTGTATGCGAGCTGGTCTCCACACACTTTCCGCTGGTCTCTGGCACCTTCAGCCGCTGCAGGAGTCGCTGTGAGCGGTGTCGAGGCAAGGTGGGGTGTTGACCGAGGAGGTGGTCGATGGCGAGATGGCTTTGGCGGGCGAATGGAGCGCGTAGGGGGGCTGAGTAGCGTCTGAGGATCACTGTAAGCACAATAACAGACCCGTTCGAGCAGTTGGGCGTTGTCGTCGTTGGCTGACCTCCTCTTCCCGCTCCTCGACCTTCTTCCACCCGCTCACACCGCTCAAGCACCCGTTTACACGCACAGAACACTCTCCCAAGCGTACACTATGGCCACCTACTCCGCTACCCAGTTCGAGAAGGCCGTCGCCCTCATCCGCGACCTCCCAAAGGACGGCCCGGTCAAGCCCTCGCAGGACGACCAGCTCCTCGTGAGTCGGCCGAGTCCGCCATTCTGCTCCTCAGGTTCCATTTGGTCTGCTCGCGACTGCCCGACCTTGCAGCGCGACACGACGGCAGCGACCTCGCTCGCTTGGGGCGTTTCAAGTCGATGACGGAGTTTGGCTGGCCCTGCCTGGGGAGGTGGCACTGGGTGGCATGGCTTCGAGCTAGTCGATGGAGTGCTTGGAAATGCGCCCCGCTTGCTGCTCGCTCATCGGAGACTGTCTCCTCGACCCAACTACACCCGGCCTTGCCGTGCACTGATCCCATTCGTGATCGCTTTGCGCAGTTCTACGGACTCTACAAGCAGGCCACCGTCGGTGACAATGACACCGCCAAGCCCGGCATGCTCGATTTCACCGGCAAATACAAGTGGTGCGTTCGCGGGCTCGCTCTCTCCCTCGTCTCGCTTCTCCCGTTCCGGCGCCCGGTGGCGCTTCGTTGCCGTCGCAAAGTCAGAGACGCTGACTTGATTGCGCTCGCACAGGGAGGCCTGGAACAAGCAGAAGGGCGTCTCGTCCGAGGCCGCCAAGTCCAAGTACGTCGAGCACTTCCTCGCCCTGCTCGAGAAGAACCCGGGCGCCGAGAGCGACAAGCTCAAGGCCGAGGTGCGCTCCCTCCCTTCCTCTTTCATGATCCAAACCGGCTGATTCGCGAAATCATGCAGGTCCTCGCCGCCTAAGCGCAACTCGACTTCGCCTCGCGTTCCGTTCCGCTCCCCTGGGCTCTTCTGTCAGACTCAGTACCCCCCTCGCTCTACACGTCGTCGATACCGAAGAAAGGAAGCAGTTTCTCAAGCGCGCCGTGCTTTCGCCTCTTCTTTGCGAGACGCACTCTTCTGCCTGGCGCTCTGCTGGCTCGTGAATGAACCATCTATGCGCTCTATTGCTCCGTGATGTCTACGCCTCCTGCCAAGAACTCCCGCTTGATCACCGCAACTGCTCGCCAAACTCCTGTTTTGCTTACGCCCACTTGCCCAGCAACGCCATGATGCCCGCACCTGCCGCGAAGCAGACGAGCGAGAAGAAGAGCCGCTTCCAGGAGCAGGTGTGGTAGAACCTGCGTGCGTGGAAGGTGCAGTCAGGAATGAGCGAGGAAGAAGGAGGAGAGGGGAGAGACGCACTTGTTGAAGATGAACTCGTGAGCCTGCCAAGACGGTGAGCGAGATCAGGTCAGTCTTGAACTAAGGATAAAGCGGGAAGGCAGAGGACGCACGAGCAACTCGACTGTTGCGGTGTAGAGGAGGATGCCGGACGAGAAAGCGTCCAACACGCCTGATGTAACCGAAGCTGTCGCGCCGGACATACTCTGCAACGCAGTTTCTCAGTACACATCAAGATGAGTTTGAGGAAAGGTGGAAGCTAGGCAACGCACCAAGCCCTCCCGTACGCCCAGCCCAACCGCCATTCCGATTGGCGTGCAAAGCGAGTAAAGCAGCGCACCGACCCACGGGATCCACGACCATGCCGGGTCGAGCTTGAGGAACGAGAGACGGGTGCCGAGTCCGAGTCCTTCGAACATCTGCGAGGGGAGAAGGGGGTGATTAGCGGGAGGAGGGTGCGAGGGTGTGAGAAGGCGGACCTGGTGGAAGATGATAACGACGAAGAGGGTGGTAAAGCCATCGTCTTCGGTCGTCGAGAGGGTCAAGCCGACTGCAAGCAAACGCCGTCTTAGCAAGAAAGGGGAAGGGCCGGGGGAAAGAAGAGAGGCCCGTACTGATCACGCTGTGCAAGACGACGCCGAACTGGGAATCGTTCTCAGCGTCAACGAGGCTTCGTAGGATCGACAGACGGAGCAGAAACGTACCTCGAGAGTCGCGACGCCAAGAAGCTGCGCGACGAACGGGTTCTGCTCGCTCGCGTCGTGGAAGTGCTGGCTCTCGACCTCAGCATCCTGCGCAAACTCGCCTTTCTCCAAAGAGTCGGCCTCGCCAGTAGAGTCGGCAGCGGGTCCAGGGATGGTCGCTGCGCGGTCCTGCTCCTGGACGTGTCCTGGGTGGCCGACGACGTGGATGTGTGGCGAGGCTTTGAAGCCAAGCTTGGCGAGTCGGGCGGTGCCGAGACGGAAGGCGCAGATTTGGGTAACAAAGGTGAGGAAGAGCGAGATGAGACAGATGGCGAACTGGTACGGTGCTGAGGGTCAGCGTAGATGCTCGGCTGTAGGTGAGGGATCATCTACTCACAGCGTAGGGGTACTCCCCCCAGGCGTCGTTGATGCATCCGCCCGCGGAGCGAGTACTGCCTTCGCCAATCGCGTCGGCAGCAGGCTCGAGGAGGTGGATCAAGCCGGTCGCGAGGATCACACCCGAGCCGAAGAATCTGCGCAAGCCTTCGTCAGCTAGAGGCAAATCGGGATCGCACGTCTACGCACTTGGCAAACTCGAAGATCCAGCCGGGTACCGCTCGACGAAGGACCGAGACTCGCTTAGAGAGGATGGGGAAGAGGGTGCCGACCAGGGAGGTAGCCTGTGTTGGGGATAGAAGCTAAGTAATGGAGACGCAGGCGACGAAAAAAGGCGAGCGTGGCGCACCAAGATGATGAAGATTGCGCCGATACGCAGGCCGACTCGTCCGACAGAGGTCGGTCCGCAGGCGTCTCCGGCGGCGTCGAGGATGTCTCCTGTGTCGAAAGACGACATGCTTGCTGCGTGGTCTTCGACGAGTGTTCAGTCGGTGCCAGTTGCGAAGGTCAAGCGAGAGCTTCAAGTCGTGTTCGTCGCGCTGCGCAAAGGTGCGGGACTAGGGCGACGCTTATCGAAGGTAGAGCAGAGCGAAAGAGAGAAGAGGGGCGAGAAGGAGCACGCCAGAGCGCGGAGGAAAAGCTGGACGAAAGAGACCAGTTACCGTAACTGGGTGACCGGAGCGGTGTCGAGTGCACCTCCTCGTCGCACAACCTGCACTGACCGGTCCGCAACTTGCTCAGTAGGATCACAACTAAGAAGCGTGAAATCGCAGCAAGCCGGGCGAGGACCTGTCGCAAGCGAGGTGCGAGGCGAGTAACGAGTTGTTGCGACTTGCGATATATGCGTAGATCTATACCCGTTTTGCTATAGACTTGCGACGCTCAGCGTCCTAGAGTAGGCAGAAGAAGGGAGGAAGCGCACGATGCCGTCCAGAACTAGTCGATTGAGCTCGTCGTCTCGTAGCCGTCCGACTCGCTGTAGTAGTCGTCGCTCGACGGGCCGTACTTCTTCCCGTACCCGTTCGTCGACTTGGCGTTCTTGCGCGCAGAGACGGTGCTTGGGCCGACATCAGGTCCGCGATAGGCGGCTGTGTCGTTTCGCCCCTTCGTACCCGGAGGGTGCATGCCTGCGAAGAGCTTATGAGCAAGTCCCGCGCGCTGAGTGGGCGCAAAATCACGTACCAGGCGCACTGAACCTGCACTTCGTACCGTAGCGGCAATCTTTTCCGCCTGCGACGCGAATCCAGCGTTAGCTCGAGCAGCTGAAAGGGCAGAGCGAGCAGCGAACGCACGAGGGCAGGTATGTCCGAGGGGACAGTTCTCGACCTTGCACTCCTTGCCCTTGAGGGCGTGAGAGCACGGCGACTTCTTGGCGTTCTGGCGGAGCTCGACGAGCTGCGCGGTCGTGAGGGCATACTGGTGCCCATAACGGCATGCGTCGCCGTCGCGGCAAGGCGGGCTGCGAACCGAGCGAGTCAGCGGGATATTGGATCGAACGAGAAGCCTGAACGTACAGCAGGTAGTGTCGGTTGCAGACAGGCGGGACCTGCTTATGCAGGGGCTGCTCGCGGAAACGCTTTAGCCCGGAGTCTCGGTGTCAAAAGCGAACCGCAACGCACCTTCGAAGGATCTATCGGTCTCAACTTGACCACCTTCGTGAAGCCATCGTCGCGCCTGAACTCGTCCGGCTCAGCCCACGCAGCGCCAAGGGCCGCATTCGTCTTCTTGACCGTGCTGTTGTTACCGGTGTAGCTATCCTTCTTTACCATCTTGGGCGTCTTGAGGCCTCCGCCGGGCGTGGTGGCAGGCGGCGCAGGCGATTTGCGAGGTGTCGTCGTCGGCATCGACGGCGTGCCGAGCGTCGCGTACGAGACGAGCTTCTTCGCTTCGAAGAGACCGTCGAACGACGTTGTGCGGAGGTTGAGGCGCTTGATTTCGAACGCCAAGTCGGTGTAGCTCTTGAGCAGCGTGACCTTTTCGGCAAGTTGCGGAGACTCGGTCTCGAGCTCTGAGAAAAGGTGCGCGTAGCCGCCGTCGTGTGCTGCACCGGCGAGGATGAGTTTCGTCGAGGGAAATTTGGCGAAGAGGCGGATGGAAGAGTTGATCTTGGCGTCGGACGCTTCTTTCGAGGGACCGACGTCCGAGACGACGATGAGAGGGTGGGCGGCGTTCAAGCCGAGGAGGAAGGTGGAGAAGGTCGCTTCGTCGGCGATACCGCAGGACTGCAAAGGGAAGCAGATCTCGGGTCAGACATCGCTCAAGCAGAGGAATGCCTGCAAGAGCTTGTCGCTTCACGCACCTGCAACACCTTGCTAAGTCCAACCTTGTTGACGAAGATGTTGACGACGATGCTGAGCTGACCACGGTAGCCTCGCTCTATCGCATAGTCGTGGATGTGCTCGATGAGTCGCTTGGCCGCTTCCCGTCCGCCCTCTCGCCCCTTCTGGATCAGCGACCGCTCAAAGATGCAGCCGTCGCCGTCGAGACAGCAGAAGACGACCTGATCGCCAATCTACCGGGACAATGAGCGTGGGTCAGCCCGCGAAGTCGAAAGAAGGCAACGAGAAGAGCGTGAACGCACGTCGAGCTGCTTCTGCGCATCCCGCGCCGACCTCACTGCTTTCTGATGACCCAGCCGCAAGTCCTCGAGCTCTGTTTCGAGCTCCTTGATGCGCGAGACGAGCCCATCCTTCCCTTGACAGGCTTCACGGGCGATCCGAGCGGCTTCAGCGGCGTAGTAGACGTCTGCGGGAGGATGCTCTGGTCAGCTGCAGCGCTGCGCCATTCCCTCTATCGAGTCGCACGGCCAGGCAGGCGAGCTGACACGCCGAACGCCACTTGTTCGATGAGGAGGAGGTGGGGACGTACACGAGTCGAAGAGCTGCGATGGGGCGGCCTGCGGGTCAGCAGGCGGATCTGGCTGACTCGCCATGCGGCACTAGCAGTCTCTTAGAGCGATCCAAGCTGTGAGCGAGTGAAGTGCAGGAGGACAAGGTGCGGTCTCCTCTCCCGACGACGAGCGAGTCTGCTTGGTTGCGTTCTGCAGGCAGAGATGGCGCGTGTGCTGTCCCCGGGAGAGCCACTGACCCGCTCACGAACGTCGCTCTTCCTCTCGTACCGCGACTCGTCCATCCGACCTCCTTCAACTCCCGCAACGCCTTACCCGCGCTACTACGAAGACGACTACGACCTGGACGATGAGGAGGCGGGCTTGCTCGTTCCTGGTGGATCGAATGGCGAACAAGTCAGGCGCGGCAGTGCGATAGGCTTGGCTGCGACGAGGAGGGCGAGTGGGGCGGTCCCGACAAGGAGAGGGAGTGTAGGAGGACAGCTGCCGCCTAAGTGGGTCGACGTGGCGGACAAGGTCGACGAGGTGATCCTCCAGGTCAAGCCGAAGAGTGCGTCCAGCGACGAGGACTGCTTCCTGCTCTCGCTCCTCTTCCCGTCCTCGGAACGAGCGAAGGAGGGCTGGCTGACTTCTTCTTGTTGGACTCGCAGTCGCTCAGCTTGACAAGCTTCACGCGAAGCACCTCTTGCCCGGCTTCAAGGACCGAACCGCCGAGGAGCGCGAGATCGAGGCGCTCGCAACCGCAATCACCTCCGTGCGTCTGCTCGCTAACTGAGCGCAGCATAACAGGTCCGTCATGCTGACCTCTCGCACTTTTCCTTGTCGATGCACAGGACTTTCGCACCTGCCAGTCCTCCATCCGCCTCATCGCCGAACAATCGCAAGCCCTGCTCGCCTCGCGCGCAACTTCCGCCGCAGACGCAGAGATGAAGCGGATAGACCTCATCATGGCGGCGAATGTACAGACGGCGCTGGCGACCAAGGTGCAGGAATTGAGTACGGGGTTCAGGAAGAAGCAAGCAGAGTATCTGAGACGTGAGTCCGGGTGGTCGTCTTGCGCTCGACTCAGTAAACACAATGCGGCTGACTCGTGTGTGTTGATATCCACCTCCACTCAGAACTCAAGGGAAACGAGTCGCGCGCTGTCGAGCGGCAAGCGAAGTCGACCTACGACCCGCTCGTCTCGCTAGCTGACGACGAACAAGCTGTAAGTGCCGGTTCGAGCGACTCCCGTCTTCGGCGTTGGCAGAGCAGCGTAACGATCACTATACGCCTTGAAGGTTGAGCGGTCGGTTGAACTGAACTCGACGCCTTCCCGCAGTCCCGCTCCGTCCTTTCACCCAGCACCCCCTCTCTAGCCCAACAGCAACTTTTCTCCTCGCCTGCTTCCGCCTCGACCTCCGCCATTGACCAACGCACCAACGAGATCCACAACATTGCCCAGTCGATCGCCGACCTCGCAGACATGTTCAAGGACTTGTCCAGCCTCGTGATTGACCAGGGCACGCTGCTGGATCGCGTGGATTACAATGTTGAGCAGATGAGTACGGATGTGAAGGGCGCGGTGCAGGAGTTGCAGCAGGCAACGAGGTGCGCTCGAAGTCTTGAGCGCTTTCCGCTCGACTCGCGTGCTCATGATGGCTGCTGCCTATGCCGTTGCACAGGTACCAACGACGCTCTGGCAAGTGCCAGCTCATCTTCCTCCTCGTCCTCGCCATCCTCGCCTGCCTCATCTTCCTCACCTTGCGCCCGTCCCGACTACCGTCCTCGTCTCCTGCGACACCTGCACCCGCAGCGGCGACAGGCGATGGTCGAGCTTCGACAGAGGAGATAGCACAGGCGATCAGCGACGAGTTGAGCGGGGGTGTGAGGCGACGACGAAGAGCGGAACAAGTCGACGAAGGCAGGGCGGAAGCAAGTTTGCGGCGAGGGGGCGATTTCGACGCGCGCTGGATGCGGCGGAGGCGGGGGAATCGACGTCGGATAGGCGTGGTCGATGGTGTGGAGTAGGCTTTCCCCCGGTTTGCGGGCGAGGAATGGACTTGCCGCCGTCGAGTGACCCCGGGACGCGGTTTCCGTCCCCACTCCGCTTCAAGTGTGTTTTCTCGTGCGCGTGCTGTCCATTCGCTGTTCTGCTCTGCTTCTGTACACTCGCTGTCTCGTACTCTAGCTGCTCCTCCAGACCCTACACCACGACCATGTCTGCTCCTCCCCCACCCGCAAACGGCTCCGCTTCGAGCAACGGACACAGCCAGCCATCGCTCGTAGACGTCGCCATCATCGGCGCAGGACCAGCAGGATGCATGGTGCGTCTCTCTCACCGGGAACGCGCCACCGCTGAGCGGAGAGAGCTGACACTCGCACCCACCTCGTGCCGAACAGGCGGCGGACGTCCTCTCGCGCTTCTCGGCCCGCGGGCTGACCGTGCGAGTATTCGACAAGCGCAGTGCAAAGCTCGACAACGGTAAGAGGCGGTTCCGCTCCCGAAAGGACGAGACGTCGCTGATCCCGGACTTGCTTCCTCTTGACCCCTTCGCGCCAACTTGTACCTCTACATCGCTTCTTTCTTTCTACTCTGCCACTCTTGTCGACGCAGGACAAGCCGATGGACTCAACTCGCGCACGCTCGAGATCTTCGAGAGTCTCGGCTTCATCGAGAACATCGAGAAGGAGGGCTCGCGGATGGTGCGTCGCGCGTTCAGCAGGGCTTTCGCTCTTTCGGCCCCCCGGAGACAAGACTGACGATACTCCCCTCTTTTGTGCCGTGCAGAGCGAGATCAACTTCTGGAACCCGTGCCACGAGACTGGCAGGCTCATCCGGACAGCCAAGATGTGCGTCCTCACCCCTCCCCTTTTTATCCCTTCGATCGATTAACGAACCCTTCCCGCAGTCCCGACACGATCCCCGGACTCTCCCGCTTCCAGCAGACCATCTTGCATCAAGGCCGTGTCGAAGCGAACTTGCTCGAGGATGCTCTCGTACGCTTCGACTCTCGCTTCGTTTGCCGCAGAACGCAGCTAATTCGCTCGCTCGTGCAGAAACACTCAAACGGCACCATCGCCCCGGAGCGCTCAATGCTGCCCGAATCCCTCTCCATCGACGAGTCGCTCGTGACAGACCACGATTCTCACCCTATCACCCTCCAAGTCCGCCACCTGTCCGAGGACGAGTCGAACCCTGATGCGTACAAGGGTGACGAGAAGGGCGTCAGGAGCGGGTTGTTCAGGAGTTCGTTGTTGTCGGCTGCGGAGGAAGAGGCGCTCTAGTACGCTCGTTCTCTTCGCTTCTCGCATTGTGCTGAGGTGCTGACGATCTGATGCTCGCGCTTCCAGCAAGAAGGGCGAGAAGGCCCAGCGCGTCGAGACCGTCAAGGCCCGTTACCTCATCGGCTGCGACGGCGCACACTCCTGGACCCGTCGCCAACTCGGCGTCAAGATGCTCGGTGACCAGACCAGTGCGTGCACTCGCTCGAATAGAGGCGAGGACTGTCAAGCTAATGCGGTTGCGTCTCACAGACTTCGTTTGGGGTGTGCTCGACCTCGTTCCTCGCACCAACTTCGTGGGTCATATTCTACAGACAACCGAGCTGTCGAATTGGTCGTACTGACGCCCTTTGCCCTGACAGCCCGACATCCGCATGCGCTGCGCGATCCACTCCGCCAACGCCGGCTCTATCATGATCATCCCTCAAGAGCGCGATCTCGTCCGCCTGTACATCCAGCTCCCGATCCAGGTCAAGCCGGGAGCCTACCTTGATAAGTCCAAGGTCACGCCCGACTCGATCCTCGACACGGCGAGGAAGATCTTGCACCCTTACACGCTTGACTACGAGCACATCGACTGGTTCACTGGTGCGTTTCCCTCCCGCTCGTCTCCACCGTGCAGCCGAGGCTGACGACCCGTCCCGGACAGGCTATCACATCGGTCCGTCCCGAGACGCTTCCTGCGCCTTTCCTCCGAGACTGACTTCTCACCCTCTCCTTCCTCGCAATAGGCCAGCGCCTCACCGAGTCGTTCGGCGCTCACAACCGCGTTTTCCTCGCCGGCGACGCCTGCCACACCCACTCGCGTACGTTCTCTTCGTTCTCGCTCTTCCTCCGAACGAAGGTGCTAACGTTCTCGTTTTCCGATTCGACAGCCAAAGCGGGCCAGGGCATGAACACGTCGATGCAGGACACTTGGAACTTGTGCTGGAAGCGTGGGTCTTGGTCGTTCGCCATGCGTTTCCGGTGATGGTCGACTAACCCTCCATACCCTCTTTCGACAGTCGGCTCCGTGGCGACCGGTCTCGCCAAGCCCGAACTCCTCCAGACCTACTCGGACGAACGCCAGGTCGTCGCCAAGACCCTCATCGACTTTGACACCAAGTTCTCCAAGCTCTTCTCCGGCAAGCCCGCTAGCGCAACGGATGTTGACGAGGGCGTCGACTTGAAGGAGTTCAAGGATGTGTTCGCGACTGGTGAGTACGGCTTCACCAAGACGAATTTGGAGACCTGCTAACGGCGGTTTCGTTGCAGGCAACCTCTTCGCGGCCGGCATGTCGATCAACTACGCCGACTCGATCGTCGTCGGCAAGGACGGCTCGCGCGGCGCCGTTACATCAAAGCAGCACCTCGCCTCGAAGCTTCCGGTCGGCGAACGCTTCTACTCGGCGCAGGTCGTCAACCAGGCTTCCGCCACGGCCGACGAGCTCACGACCCGCATCCCTTTCACCGGCGCCTTCCGCCTGCTCGTCTTCCCTGGCGATATCTCCAAGCCCGCGGCGAAGGAGCGGTTGCAGAAGCTCGCCGACTACCTCGACTCGCCGGAGAGCGTTGTCAGCAAGTACACGCCCGGCGACTTGCCGCGGTGGGCCGTCATCGACCCTGTCACTATTCGTGCGTTTCTAACTCTCGTCTGAACTCCCGACTCTGCTGACCGCGATCTCTCACCCTTTGCAGACTGCGCCGAGCGAACGGAGGTCGAACTTTACGACTTCCCTCAGCCGTCGATCTTCCACCCTCACAACTACAAGCGTATCTACTGCGACGGACCATCGCGTGCGTTCTCAGTCCTCTTCATTGCGCAGGTCGGGAGGTGCAGAGGAGGAAACATTCGGCCATCGTCGAAGCGAGCGTACGCTGACCTCTTCCTCCTCCTCTCTTCGCAGACCACCGCGGCGATGGCAAGGCGTACGAGACGTACGGCATCTCGAAGGAGGAGGGCGCGATCGTCGTCGTCCGACCTGACCAATGTGCGTCGCGCCTCTCTCCTTACACTTCCGCTCACTACTGACCGCTTTTTCCCTTGTAGACACCGGCCTTGTCGTCGGTCTCGAGGACACCGACATGCTCGACGCCTACTTCGCGCAGTTCATGCAGCCCGCAAAGGACGGCGGCTACCCCGGCGCGAAGGTTACCAAGGTCCTCCCGCCCGACTGGTCCAAGGTCGCTCACCAGGAGATCGCCAAGTGCGTCCTCTCAGACTCTCTGGCTCTCGCTGAGGCTGACGATTGCTCTACCACAGGACCCTTGCCGTTGCCGAGGTAAACGCCATCTGAGCGTTCCCGACCTCGCCCTTCGTTATTATCGCCGGTTCCTGTATTCCCTCGCATCCCGTCAGCTGTATATGGTCTCTAGCGAAGGTGTGGCTGGCTGTACTATCGACTTTGTATTCGGAATACACAAGTATCTATCGACCCGGTTGCTCTGTCTCTTCCTCGTCTCTTTGCTCAGTGCAGCGCCTATAACATCCCGCCGGCGACTCAAACTGCTCAAGCGTAGCGTACGCGATCTGCTTGTTTAGCCCTCGCCTCATCGACCTCGCCCTTCCTTCCCCTCCTCGTTCACCTCGCAGTGCTTGCCCATCGCCCACACGCCGCCCTGACCCGCTCGAAGCTGGGAAGGCTCTCGAGCGACGGTAATGATACAAGCCAGGCTCGTGCGCACATCCGCCGTGCTCGTATGCGAAGAGAACCGCCGGACGCACAGCTTCATCTTGCGGTCTCCCTGGACGACCACGGCGGGCTCGGGCACGTGGACTGCGATCGGACTGCGGCATTTCTTGCACAGATCGCTCGTGCCGTGGCGCTGCACGAGGACGAGGCGTGAGGAACGGCCAGCTTCGCCAACTTCGCCTCTTCCGCGTTCTTCCGCCTTACGCTTCACCTTCGCCCGCTGCGGTGCTCTACGCTTGCTGTTGAAGGACACGAGGGGGCGTTCCGGATCTCTCCTCGGCGGTTTGACGCCCCTTCAATCGCACCCTCCTACGCTGCTGACTTCGGGATGTCCGTCCGACACGTTCTCTAGTTCGCACAGCTCCTGTCGGCGTGCCAGGCGAACGAGATGTGTGCTTATCTTCACTCTGCTCCTTGCCGCTCACCTCGGAACGAACGTTCTCAACGGCGCTCGCAAGTATGGCCGTCTCGAATGGCTCAACCCCTTCCGGCCATCCTTGCTCTTCCGCTACGAACGCAGGCCCTTTCAACGACTCGATGTCCTTCGTCGACGTCGCCATCATTGGCGCAGGCCCAGCTGGCTGCATGGTGCGGATTCCCCCAAATCCCCCTCGAGTCGCAGCTTATCCTTTTCTCCGCTTCATAGGCCGCAGATGTGCTCTCCCGCTTTTCTGCCCGAGGCCTAACTGTCCGCATCTTCGACAAGCGGAGTGCGCAGCTCGAGAACGGTCAGTTGTGGCATTTCCGCGCAGGGACCTGCTGCGCTGACACTCGTCTCGAGACCCTCTTCCACCTCCTCATGCCGCCGATGCACGCTCAACGTGCTTCGACTGACACAGGTCAAGCCGACGGCTTGAATCCTCGCTCGCTCGAGATCTTCGAAAGTCTCGGCATCATCGAGCAGGTGCAGAAGGAGGCGTCGCCCATGGTCAGTCCCGCTCACTCGTCGCAAGTTGCTAGGGACGATTCCTGACGAGCTCTCCTGACGCTCCACGTACAGAGCGAGATCAATTTCTGGGCACCTTGTCCCGAGACAGGCAGGCTCGTTCGGACGGGCCAGATGTGCGTCTTCCACCTCGCTTCAGCACCTCATTCACCTTGGCTGACGGGCGTGTCACCGCAGTCCCGACACGACTCCTGGACTTTCGCGCTTTCAGCAGACGATCCTACACCAGGGTGAGCTAACCTGCATCTCTTGCGAATCGAAGACGCAGGCTAAGTTTCCGGCTAACAGGACGCGTCGAGACGCACTTGCTCGATGATGCACAGGTGCGGCCGAGATTGTGCTTGGCTTGAGAGGGCGGGTTCAAATCGCTTCGTCTCCCGCAGAAACACTCGCAAGGCGCAATCGCGCCCGAGCGCTCGATGCTTCCCGACACTCTTTCCATCGACGAGTCGCTCGTCGCCGACCACAACTCGCACTCAATTACGCTCACCGTCCGCCATCTGTCCGAGGGCGAATCGACACCGGATGCGTACAAATTCGACGATAAAGGCGTCAGGAGTGGCCTGTTCAGAAGTTCGTTGTTGTCGGCTGCGGAGGAGGAGGGTCTTTAGTGTGTCGACGACCACACTCTCTGACGATGAGGTACCACTGACGCTTTGCGTGTTGCGCTTGCAGCAAGAAGGACGGGACGGCCGAGCGGGTCGAAACTGTCAAGGCGCGCTACCTGATCGGCTGCGACGGCGCACACTCGTGGACTCGCCGCCAACTCGGCGTCAAGATGCTCGGAGACCAGACGAGTGCGTACAAATAGCTCGAACGAATGTGCAGCTCACGAACTGATCGAGTCCTGCTGGTTAGATTTCGTCTGGGGTGTACTCGACCTTGTTCCCCGCACAAACTTTGTGCGCCCAACTCGCTGTCCTTTGCAGTCGATTCGCTGACCTTGCCGAGTCAACAGCCGGACATCCGCATGGCGTGCGCGATCCAGTCCGCCAACTTCGGCTCAATCATGGTCATCCCGCAACCGCGCGACCTTGTCCGGCTATACATTCAGCTTCCCATTCGCGTCGAGCCTGGCGCTTATCTCGATAAGTCGAGGATCACGTCTGAAACGATCCTTGCAACGGCGCGGAAGATCCTCCACCCGTACACGCTCGACTACGAATCCATCGACTGGTTCACCGGTGCGTCGGAGTCCTACTCAACATGACAAACCGCAGCTTACCCTTGCCGTGACAGGCTACCATGTCGGTGCGTTCAAAGCGGTCTCGTCGCTCTTGCTCGTCCAGACTCAGACTTCGCTCTTCCTCTTCAGGCCAGCGGTTGACCGAGTCCTTTGCGCAATACAACCGCGTCTTCCTCGCTGGCGACGCCTGCCATACGCATTCTCGTACGTACCGTTCGCTTCCTACCCTGCTTGCGGACCTTCTTGATTTTCCCTTGACCTTCACCTCTCACAGCCAAGGCCGGTCAAGGCATGAACACCTCGATGCAAGACACCTGGAACCTCTGCTGGAAGCGTAGGTCCACCCTGTCCACCCTTCTCTGACTTGCTCGGCCTCCTTTGATGTCCGCCGATTCCGCTGGACTGATCGTGTCTTTGCGTCGCGCAGTCGGTCTCGTCGCCACTGGCCTCGCAAAGCCAGAGCTCCTCGAAACCTACTCTCTCGAGCGCCAGCCCGTCGCGGCCGCCCTGCTCAGCCTGGACTGCAAGCTAGCGAGGAGCTGGTCATCGAAGCGGCACCAGCTGCAGAAGGGCAGGGAGGAGGATCGTAATGCCGAGAAGCTCGGCGAAATCATCGCGAAGGGTAAATGTAACTGCTCGCTTCGGACCCTTTCCTTCCGCTTACTTTCGACGGTCTACAACAGGCAAAGCTTTCACGCTCGGCATCTCAATCAATTACGCCGACTCGATCATTGTCGGCAAGGACGGTTCGCGCGGCGCCGTCACATCCAAGCAGTACCTGGCCTCGAAGCTCCCCGTCGGAGAACGCTTCTACTCGGCGCAGGTCGTCAACCAGGCTTCCGCCACGGCCGACCAGCTCACCACCCGCATCCCCTTCACCGGCGCTTTCCGGCTGCTTGTCTTCCCTGGCGACATCACCAAGCCCGCAGCGAAGGAGCGGTTGCAGAAGCTCGCCGACTACCTCGATTCGCCGGAGAGCGTTGTCAGCAAATACACGCCCGGCGACTTGCCGCGGTGGGCCGTCATCGACCCTGTCACTGTCCGTGCGCTGCAAGTCCTCTTCTAAGCCTCCGACGCCGCTGAACTCAATCTGTCACCCTTCGCAGACTGCGCCGAGCGAACGGCAGTCGGGCTTTACGACTTTCCTCAGCCGTCAATCTTCCACCCTCACAACTACAAGCGGATCTACTGCGACGGACCATCGCGTGCGTTCTCGGATCCTCTTCAGTGCGCAGGTCGGGAGGCGCGGAGGAGTAGCCTTTCGCCGTGTGCGATCCACCTTCCTGAAGCGAGCCTGCGCTGATCTCCTCCACCTCCGCTTTTCGCAGACCACCGCGGCGATGGCAAGGCGTACGAGACGTACGGCATCTCGAAGGAGGAGGGCGCGATCGTCGTCGTCCGACCTGACCAATGTACGTTCGACACTTCCCACCTTGCGTCCATCCTTCCTGATCTCGTCCTCGCCCACAGACACCGGCCTCATCGTTGGCCTCGAGGACACCGACATGCTCGACGCCTACTTTGCGCAGTTCATGCTGCCCGCGAAGGACGGCGGCCACCCCGGCGCAAAGGTCGCGGAGGTGCTCCCGCCCGACTGGTCGAAAGTCGTGCCCCTCGAGATCACCGGGTCCGTCTCCTTGCCCTTCTTCCGCCATCACGCATGCTGATGACCTGCGGACTTGCAGATCCTTCGCCGTCGAGGAAGTGCGCGTCAACGGAACGAGCTAGTCACCTCTCCACCTGTTCCCTGCTTCGTGTATCTATCTCCGGTCGCCAACTTATCCACTATAGCGTTCCTGGTGAACCACAAGCCCTCGTCTATACTCCCTCAGACTATTTGAGAAATAAACAAGTTGTGGTCTTGCATTCAGTCTAGACTCTAGCTGCTGCTCCACCTTAAAGCTTCGACGGCTCGTCTTTCGCGATGTTGATCACGACCTGCGAGACGGGCGACGTCAGCATCCATCACAACACCAGACGAGATGACCGAAGTACGAACCTTTCCGAACTGCCCGCCGCGCTTCAACAGCTGGAACCCTTCCTCTGCCTGCTCGAGGCCGTTCAGGACCGAGTCTACGACTGGCTGGATCTTGTGCTCGGCGACCATCTTAACGGCGGCGAAGAACTCTTCGCGCGAACCCATCGTCGAGCCTGCGAAGTTTCCGTCCGTCAGCGACGTGAGCTCATATTTGCGAAGGCAGAGCTGCGCGATCCAGCGAGAGCGCAGTGGAGTTCGAAACTGACCGCGCAACTCAATGTTCTTGAGGATGACCGCCATCGAGACGTCAATAGGCTTCCCGCTCGTCTGGCCGTAGCAAGCGATGATACCGCCGTCCTTGAGCAGTCGCGCCGTTTGCGCAGCGATTGGTCCACCCCCAGAGTCGATGACAGCGTCGAGGTAAGGGCGGGAAGAGGGGAGGTGCTTCTGGAGCTGTTTCGGCCAGTCGTCTGCGGAGCAAACAGCGTCAGTGAGCATCGATTCGAAGAGCGAGGACGGGCGGACTCGCCTTCCTTGTAGTTGACGCCGCCCTTCGCGCCGAGCTCCTGCGCACGCTTGACCTTGTCGGGCGACGAGGACGTAACCCAGACGTTCGCGCCTAGCCAGACTTGAAACGTCAGTCGCGCTGAGAAGTCTCGGCGAGGAAGAGAAGGAGGGCACCTGCAGCGACGCAGAACTGCAATGCCTGGATAGCAACACCCCCGCCAATTCCGGTAATGAGGACATTGTCGCCCTTCTTGACATTCGCCTTCGTGAAAGTCGCACGGTACGCCGTCAAGCAGCCAAGCGGGACCGTCGCAGCCTGCTCGTTCGTCAAGTGCGCGGGGCACTCAATCACGTCGTCCTTTCCGACCGCAACATACTCGGCGTAGGTTCCGCGCCCATCGCTCTGCTTGACCGAGCCCAAGATGCCGAATTGCTTCCCTGGCTCGTCGGGACCGAGAGGCGAGGAGAGCCAGTGGACGGCGGGAGCTACCAGGACTCGCTTGCCGGAGAGAGGGTGCGAGGGGGACGTGACGATTCCGACCGCGTCCGCTCCAAGGATCGAGGGGACGGCGTCGGTGTGGAAGATCGTGCCGGGGTACAGGCCTGCGAGGGACAATGTAAGCGGGCTTACATAGTCGAGCAAAGCGGATTGCTCACTCTGGCGCTGGAAGACGTCGCGGTGGTTGAAGCCGGCGGCGAGGACCTTGACGAGGATCTGGTCTGCGCAACACAAGATTGATCAACAACGTATCGTCCGAACAGAGGGGTTGAAAAGGAGGAGTAGGTGATTCGAAGGGAGGGCGAAGTAGTCAAGGTAGTCGGGGAGGCCAAGAACAGCGACTCACCCTCCTTCGGCGTCGGTACGGCGAGCTCTTCCACCTTGATAGGGTGCCAGGTCTCCGGTCCCGGCTTCCAGTCGTCCCCCGCGGTCTTGTGAAGAGTGAGCCCCTTCATTCGTTCAGGAAGCGATGAGGAGGTCATGCAGCGTGGCGAGAGTGTGCGGCAGCGGTCCGGGTGGCTCAGTCGGTCGATATAGCAGCTAGTGGCAGCACAGTAAGCTCAGCTAGCCTTGCGATGCGTCGAGTGAAGCGTGCGAGGTCAGCCTTTGTGTCCGGTCTCCACCTTCCCCACTTCCGACTCTCCGAGGACAACGACGGCGAGTCTGGCGAGGCGTACTGGACGAGTAAGGAGCTGTAAACGATACGCAGTCCTTGGCAAGCTCGCGAAAGACAATGCGGGAGCGAGCCGAGCGATGTGAGAGTCTCTTCGCGGCCTCCAGGCGAAGGTGAGGGACTCTTAAGGCGGGCTGAGCGTGCGATGGCTCACTGCGACCGTGCGAGAGTCACCGTCCTACTCCCGCATCAACAGCAAGACCTCGAGGTCCTTGAGTAACGCCTTCGCCTCGTCCCTGAACTCCTGCGTCGCCTCCAGCGTCTTGAGGTACTCCTCCGCCGTCCCCAAGTCTCCGACCGCCGCTCTCGCGCCCTCTCCCGCGCCGGCCTGAAGTCCACTCCTCCTCATCTCCCACTTAGCCAGCCAGACATACACCCTCCCCAATTCGACCGTCGTCAGTCCCGCTTGTAGGCCGTCCGACAGGGCGCGACGGTGATAAGCGGCTGCGGGCTCGCCTTGCCCGAGAGCGGCGTAGAGCTTGCCGATTCGGAGGGAGATGTCTGAACCGTCGCCGGGTTCGGAGGCGAGGAGGGCGCGTTGGTGGGCGCGGATGGCGTCGGGGATCCTGCAAAGAGCCAGCGCATCAGTCACGTCGCAGATCTCGAGAACAGCGAGCGCGCATCTCCGTCTCGGGGAGGTCTTGGGCCGCCGAAAGCACCGCAACCGAGACCGACCGAACGCACCTCTTCAACTTCTCGTAACAAGTCGCCAACGCACTCCACATCCTCGCATCGTACGGTCGAAGCGCCGTCGCGCGATTGTAGTAGTTGAGTGCGTAGTAAGGCTCGCCGAGCAACTCGTAGGCTTGGCCGAGGCCGTACCAGGCGCGGTAGTCTTTCCGGTCGACTTCTGCGAGCGGGAGCGGGAGATGGGGTCAGTGGCTACGTACTCAACGCGTACGCTGAGCGACAAGAGGGACGACATCCTCTCGCAGCCCAACGAGAGCCCTGCGAGCCAAACCACCGCGGTCCAAACTCACCAACAGCCCGTCGATAACTCGCAATCGCCGCGTTCGTATTCTTGATCTCGACATACTCGTGTCCCATCAACGTCCAAGCCGAGAGGTAGTTCCTGTCGAGTTTGAGCGCGCGGCGGAAGTAGAGGATCGCTTTTTCGTGGTCGCGGCGGAGGGAGTAGTAGTTGCCTGCGAGAGGGGGAAAGGCGAGGTGAGTTGGTGCGCTGCTCTATGTCGAGGTCCGTCCTCCTACTAGCGTAGGAGGGCAAGACCAAAGCAAGGAAAGGCGCAACTCACCGACCAAACAACAAACCTCGGGTCTCATCCTCTCAACCTTGACAAGCTCCTGCGCGAGCGCCGCCAGTTCCGCCCGTTTCTCCGAGACGTAGAGGATGTTGGAGAAGACGTCGAGGTCTTCTATGCGGTACGGGTCCGAGTCGCGCAGCGCGGTGAACAGGTTGGCGGCTTCTTCGAATTCTGCGTATCGACTCAACCGGTCAGTCAGTCCCTGCTGAGATGTCATGGGACTGGCGAAGAGAGGCTCGCACGCACCCCGCAAATGGTAATAAACGCTCGCTCTCAACCCCCTCACAACCAAACTCTCGGGCGCAAACACCCCTTCCAACTCGTCAACCACGTCGTGCAGCCCGTCGCTCGCGGCGTGGATCTCGAATGTGCAGTGAATGTAGAAGAAGAGGAGCGGGATGGAGGGAGGGAGGAAGGGGAGGGTCGCTTCGAGCTGTGCGAACATCACAAGCTCTGGCGATCAGCGTCTCGTCGCGTAGATGGATGACGGTGAGACAGAGCGTGGGTGAGCGCACCTCCTCAGGCCCGTCAAGGCACTCGGCAATCTTTCTCCACGCGCTCCAGTTGTACGGCTCGAGCTTGACCGAGTTGACGAGTGTCTCGAGCGCGGCGAGGCGGAGGTCAGACGCGGGAGGTGGAGAGGCTGAGGAGGAGGGATGAGGATGGGGAGGGATTGCGGCTGGAGGGATTGGGGGGAGCGAGAGGAGCAGCAGGGATTTCCTGCGTTCCCTTGCAATCCAGTCAACCACGCTGTGACGTGGAGGAAAGGGGAAGGAAAGCGCACAGGTAGAGCAAGTACCCGTCGCAGTTGACGAAACCTTCTTCCCACCCTGCCATCTCGTCGAGCAGCTCTTGCGTGAACGGGTTTGGCCGCGGTCGGTCCTTGACGCCGAGGAGCTCGCCCGCTTCTTCTTGTATACGCTTCTCGCCGGCCTGGGAGCGACCTAGCCCTTGTCAGGGCGTATAAGATGGAGAGCAGAAAGACGCCTCACGCACCAAGAACCGCGCATAGCAACGCAACCACCTCGCCTTTGGCCCCGTACACTCCCTCAGAACATGCGCCGCCCTCAACAGCTCGTGATTCTGGACATACGTGACCGCAAGCGCATACAGATCCTGCTCGTCCTCGTCCCGCAGCACCCACTCCTCTCTCACTCGCGGATCAATCTCCGACCGCAAGTCCTCCCCGCTCGCGTCCATTCGGTCGTCTTCGACGAACGCACTTCGCTCGACAACTGGGCTTGACGCTTCGCCCATCGACAGCACAGACCCGAGACTGTCCCGCCCTCCATGCCGCTCGACGCTGGGAAGTCCCGGTCCGCCCCTCGAACCCGACGGAACTGCCGGCCCGCCTGGTTCGCGCGGGTCGAGACGAGAGGTAGACGAGAGCGGAGTCTTGACGGGCGTCGAGGTGCGGAAGTGGACGTGTGGAGAGCGTGCGGTCGGATACGGTGGGGCTGCTCCTCCTCCTCCTCGCGATGAGCTGGTGGAAGCGGTGGGTGCATTCGCGCGTCGACTGGGCGGAGGCAGTGCGGCGAGGAGTTCTGCTGCGAATTTGGATGCGGCGGGGAGGCAGCGGTCGGAGAGTGAGCGGACTGCGTTGCGGAGGTCGCGGCGCAGGGAGTCGGTGGGTGGTCGTGCGTCTGCGAGGGTGGGTCTCGTGCCGAGTGAGGCCATTCGAGCGTGTCACTTGCCAGCCAGGGCGTTGTGAGCCGTGCGATGCGATGTTGAGCGAGAGTGCGTGAGGGAGCGCAGGCGGAGTGGGACACGAACTCGACACCCACAGCACCTGGCGGGGTGGTACAAAGGCTGGTGTGGTGCTACAGTCTGCTTGAGCAACTGTGTCTTTCCAGCGAGTCAAACGAAGCTGCGGGAGGGCGGGTTGAGGGGGGTCGACCTCGCTCTCTGCCAGCTCGCGCCTCTCTCGCTCCATCCCTTCACTCGCTCGCGCTCAACTCGCTCAGACTGGCTCAGATCGCGCGCTGGACTGCTCAAGTGGCACCACAGACACCGCTTTACCCATCCACAACCACCCGCAAAGCCGCCCGACACCGCTCGAGGTCCGTCAGCTTTTCTTTCATCCCTCCCCCTCTCCACCCGCGACACACCGCCCAGGGATAGATACCTACACAACCATATATTTCCCTGATCGACCGAAAGGTCGGAGTGAGGGAGATCCACGTGTACACAATCATGCATCACCAACTGAGGGCATCCCTTCTCGACATCGTCCTCTCCTTCCGCCGTGGGATCAGGAGGACGGGCCAGGACATGAGCAGCGCTGAGGTGCAGGGACGAGTGAACTGACCAGCGTCGTCCGCCGTCTACAGATCTCGCTAGTCTCGCAAAAGTTCCTGCTCTCGTCTCGTCTCCTCCCGGCTCGGCTTTCCTTCTTTTTGTGAGTCTCGCCTCTCCCTTTTCTTGAGCAGCCTGTTCCACTCCGACGACGACGACCCACTCGTCCCCGCGACGCGCGCCTCGAGCCCCTTGATGAATTCCACAATCAACCAGTTCTGCTACTGAAGCACGAATGTAGACACATGGACCTATACCAAAAGCTTTACCTCATTCTGATGGGCTCACATACTCGCGCTCGTTTCTGGGACGAGTCGTCGGAGGGGGAACAAGTCACTCGACCGAGGGAATCGGAACTGACTTTGTTTCGTTGGCCTCGACGACAGGTTCTTTCTTTCTTGCTGTGTCTTCTCTGCTTCTCGTCGACTGGCGCTCCGAACCTTCCAGCTCGACGACTCATCCAGCTCAACCACCGCCTACCGCCTCCGACGTCCTCGCGCCCACATCCAATTCGTACGTTCCCTCCCCTCTTCTCTTCCGCACCCGCACGCGCACACGCCCACCCCACTACGTCTTCGGATGAGAACAAATCGTCATATCCATTCTCTGAAGCCCAATCACAAACCCTCCTTCCTTAATCTCCCTCGTCCTCCTCTTCGGACCGACTAGCACCCTCCTCTCGTTCTGCGGGACTCGGAAACGTCTTCGGGCGGACTACGAGTCTCGCAGAGCGAGCGGAGCGCGAAAGGTTTGAGGAAGGACGGGCGAGGGGGGTTCTTCGAAAGGAGAGGGAGGGAGGGGGGCTGGGAGGTAATCTTAGGCTTTGCTGACTTTGACGTCCTTTTGGGCTGGGCGTGTCGTGCGAGGGTGTGCGAGGTTAGGACGAGCGGGCGCTGACCGTCGCTCGTGCACCTTCAGCAGGATCGTCTCTCGACGCGTCTCCGTATCGCTGTTCTCGCTTGTTGCAATGCCGCTTTCTCTCCTCTCCTTCCCTGTCCGAGTCGTCGCAAGCCCAAGAAAAAGCGATAGCATCGCTTGCAAGCTGTAAGTCTACCGCATCCTCGTCCTTCCCTCGACCTACCGCACCCCAACCCTCGCAACCCCCCTATTCAGCCCCTCAAGCAACATACAAGCCTGACACAACTTCTGACTCGTCAGGCTCCCGCACCGCTCGCATTTCTCTGCGCCCGTCGCCAGCATCAGCACTCGCTCGTCGGGGGAGGGGAGAGGGACGAACGCTGGGTTTGGGATATACCGGTCTTTTTGCGCGTTGGTGGGGTGATGCCTTTGCGCTGGGGAGGTTGGGCGGCGGAGGCGGAGGGGAGGGCGGAGGGAGAGGAGGAGAGGAGAGGGTCCGGGTCGCCGCCTGCTCGTCTGCCGCGGAGGGAGAGCGAGGAGGCCATCGCTTCGCCTGAATAGATCTGCGTGCCCCACAACCACAGCGCACCTCCGTCAGCTGGGCTTGACGAGGAGAAGGAGCAGGAAGGAAAGACGCACAAGGTCGACGATCGCGCTTGGTCGGACCGCTTCGAGGTCTTTCACCAACGCGCGTGCATAACCGCGGTACGCAGTCGGAGCATAGATACACTCCGTCGAGTGGTAGTCAAGTTTCTGCGCCCCTTCATCAGCCCTGTGAGAGGAAAGAAGAAAAACAGGACGAGGGAGGGAGCGCACCTTGAAGTAAGCATACATGACGATCTCCTTCTCGTACGCGTACTTGAAGGGCTTGCTGCGCTTGATCGTCTTGGGGAGGAGGGAGGAGAGGTCGGACTCGTCGGCGTCGGCGTCTGGGCCGGGGCGGGGACATGAGGAGCTGGGGGACGGAGAGGGGTCGCCGCCTGTTGTGATTGCCGTGCAGCGCTCGAGGCGCGGGAGGTCGCCGCGGAGGACTGCATCGCAAGAGACATGCCCCGATCAGCTTTCCTTTGACGGCGCGAGACAGCTGAAAGTGCGAGAATCTGTCGACGAACCGTTCATGAGAACAGTTTCGGCGACGTCGTCTGCGTTGTGACCCGTCACGATGTGGTCGACCTCAAGCAGGTCGGCTCCTCGGTCGAGCGCTTGACGGCGGAAGACGCCGCAGTAGGTGCCTGCAGTCGACAACGGCCTTCTAGGTCAGCCCATCCGTTTCGCGGTTTGTCAGGAGACGGTAGACGCGGATTGCGACGCACAGTTGCCCTTCTTGCCGACTTCTGCGACGACCTTGTCCATCGTCCAGCCGCCGTAAAGCTCCGAGTACGACAGGATCTTGAGCGGCAGGTCGTACTGCTGCGCATTGAGCTTGACGGTCTGGGAACGGGCCGACATCCAGGATCATCAGCTTCCCACGCCGAGGAAAGCACCGGAAGCGACTAGTCGTCCCGACTCACATCGAGCGAAGCATCCCGGTACCCGCTAATTCCCTCATCAATCGAGAGGAGACACAGGTCGAGACCGTAGTCGTAGCGCTTGTTCAAGAGGGTCATGATGTACGCAAGAACTGTCGAGTCTGTTCCGGAAGAGAAGATATCAGGTCAGGGTCGCTCGTCCCGGCTCTGCGGACGTCTCTATTTGTGCAGTCCGACTCCACATCGTCGTCAACGCCCTCAGACAGCCCCCGCAGCCTGTCCATCGCCCGTTCGACATCCCTGCACCGCCCCGACAAGCTCGCTCGAGGCGAACGAGCCACACAACGCCGCCAGTCGCACCGCTGAGCAGCGAGAGAGCACAACAAGATTCATACGGAGTTACTGCGACTCACCTTTGCCTCCGCTCGCGCCGATAGCGACCCTCTCGCCCCTCCTGAACAATCCCCTCCTCGTCGGTTCAGCCTCCGCCTCAGCGCCTCGCTGGTCGCTGCTGCCCTCGTCAAAGTCTGCCCTGCCCTTGCCCTTGACGCTGGTGCCCGCCGCACCGTCCAATGCGCCCTGCCCGCATCCCAAGATGGTGTGGTGGACTTCCGTCTCGAACACGCGGAAGAAGCATTCCTTGCAGACTGCCTGGCCAGTCTTGGGTCGTCGAATCAGAGCTCGTCGCGGCGCATCAGGCGGGCACAGCGAGCACGGCGCCATTGTTGTGGGCGAACCCGCTCTTTCACTCCTTGACAACCGTTGCTCTGGTGACAACTCGCTGGAGGGCGCTCGCTGGGACTGCTGAACACGATGAAGGAGGGCAAGAATGCTGCCGACCCGCTGAATAGCCTGCTTTGCGCCGTGCGTCCATTCACTCCCTCCCCACTTTCTCCCGTGTTGACATTCGCTCGGGAGCGGCGACAGGTCCATGCAGAGCGACTGGCGCAGCTGCATACGATTCTCTCAGCTGGTCTGTGCACTTGCTGCTCGACGCAAAGCACCGCAAGCTGACTTGCGCGCGAACAGCCGCCTTCTTGTCTGCCCTCGTCCTCGGCATCTCGCTACACTACCACAAGATTGTCCGGAATCAGGTCTGTTACGCTCGTTGGGCCTCTACGCATGTGATGTAGCTGATGGGGTTCTCGTCGCGCAGTACTACGGCTATCCTGACGAATGGTTCCCTTCCGTCTCGGCGTTCGTCTCTCTCGCTCGACCTCCTGTCACGTCTTGGCATCGCTGACCATCGCCCATTCAACACGCAGAACAATAGGCGACTGGTTCCCCGAACGCAACGTCTTCCACCTCCTCATCGCCCTCACGTCCGGCCCGCGATTCCTCCTTATGCTCCTCACCTTCCTCATACATCGCGTTCAGCGTCCCACGAGCTCTCTACCAAGCGTTCTCGCCGTCGTTGCGGCTTTGCGGACATTGCTATGCGGAGGATGGGTCTACGTGACGTCGAGTGATCATGCGGATGCTCACGATGCCTGCATGGTGCTGTGCGTTCAATCTTCCGCTCGGAGGCTGCTCCGTGAAGGTGCTGACTGGCTTCTTACTCAGCTACATTGTCTCGAACCTCCCCTACATGATCCTCCAAACCCTCCTCACGCCCAACACACCCGCCGCACGACCAGCCAAAACCGCCCGCCGCCTCCTCGGCACCTCCTTCTTCGCCACCCTCGTCCCGCTCGTCTACTTCTATCTCCGACACAAGAGTGACCGGATTGCGGGAGCGTATTCGATCTACGCGCTGTTCGAGTGGACGTTGATCGTCCTCGACATCAGCTTCGACTCGATCTCGATTCTCGACTTTGTGGCTCCGACTTCCGTTGCGAGCGGCAACGAAGCGGTCGTCAGTCCGAGCATCGAGCTTGCTGCTCAGGTCGCATCGGCGCAGACGACTGCGAGCGAGTCGAACGGTGTCTACCTCGCCCCGGCAGATCCGACCGCCGAGGCGCAAGAGCCGGGCGCGGTCATTAAAGCGTTGCGCAAGATGGATATGGCGTCTCGAGGCGCGGGAGGGTGGGCGGCGGAGGTCTATCTCGGTGCGTCCTGTGGCCCTCGCGCAACCTTCGCAAACTGACCCTTCCTTACGAGCAGCATTTCTCTTCTGGACGAACCTGACGGCTATCGGACCGATGATCTTCTACTCGTCCGTCTGGGCGATGGGCCTTTCCGGCGACGAAGTCGCCCTCTTCTGCATCATCTCGCCCATCGTCCTGTCCCTCCCGATTCCCTTCCTCTCGAACTTCCTCCTCAACTCGCCGACGTCCGGAGACCTAGGCTTACTTGTCGGCGTTGCCAGCCGATACCTCGAAGGCGAGGGCGCCGAGAGGTTGAGGGCGGCGGCGTTCGGAGTTGGGTTGGCGGCGATTGCGAGGGTGGCGAGTTGGTGGGAGGTTCGGAAGGATCCGGCGCGCCTAGAGGGACGAGCCATGTCGGTCGAGAGTCTCACACGGACTTCGCGTAGTCATCGCTGACTTGTGTTGGACACGCAGTGTCTTCCTCCTCGGCCTCGTCCTTTCGGTCCTCGTCAAGTTCGCCAACTACTCGCTCAACCCGCTCTGGCCCTTCATGCGGAGTTCGTCGAACCCGAAGGAGGAGAATGGTGGCTGGAACGGCATTGGGCTGGCGGTCGGAGTGTGGGCGTGGTGCGAGGTTGCGCTTCGAAGGCGAAGAGGGAGGACAGCGGTCGTCCCTTCGGCTTCGCCCGTCAACAGCGCGACCCAGGGTTGGATGGCCAGCATCGCCTCAATCGTCGGCTTCGGCTCGCTCTTCTTCCTTCTCCACTTCCTCTACACCGACAGCGGTACAACCATCGCCTGGTCCTGGAACGGCTACCCCTCCACAGGACCTTTCGCTTTCCCCCACGGCGCCATCACGATCGCCGCCCTCTCAGCCGGCATCCTCGTTGCGTCGACGCCTCGATACCTCGCCTTCGCCAGATCGTCCATGGCATTCACCGTGGCTTGCGCGTCGGCAGCCGCTCTCTACGCGTCCGACTCGTGGCCTTCCTTCCTGCCCGGCTGCCTCCTCGGAATGTACGCCGTCTCGCTCTTCCCTTCCTTCCTCTCGTCCATCCTCGCCGCCTCGACCAGCAGCCCCGGCATCCCGTTCGCCCTCGCCTTCTTCTACTACGCCGTCCTCGAGCTCGCGAGCACTTGGACGGTCGCGTACGCTTTTGTTCCAGCCGGCTGGCTGCTGCGCGAACGTACGGACATCGTCCTCGGCTGGACGATGGCGGGCGTCGGGATCGGCCTTCTCCCGCTTCGCCGCCTCGCCGCGTCGCAAGCCTCGTCCTCCGCGCCGACACGGTCTCGACGCACCTCGTACCTCCACATCACACTGCTCCTCATCTCGCTCGCCTCGGTCTTCTCGATCATCCACCACCGCTCCTTCTTCCAGCCCGGCGTGCCACACCATGCCGAAGAGCGCCTCCTTACTGCCGGCATCTGGACCGTCCACTTCGGCCTCGACGGTTACATGTGGGAGAGCTCGAGGCGCATTGCGCAGTTCTTCAAAGAGGCGGAGGTGGACGTCGTTGCGATGCTCGAGACGGACGATCATCGGGTTGTTGGTGGTAACCGCGACATGTCAGCCGAGTCTCAGCTCTTGCCGCTATCCTCGCTGATTCCAGGCTATCTCTCCAGCACGCAGTACATCGCGCATTCCCTGAATATGCCGTACGTTGACATCGGGCCAGGGCCGCAGAAGAACACCTGGGGTCAGTCAGGCTTCTTGCTCTTTCGTGACTCCACGGCTGATCTGCCCCCTTACTGTAGGCGCCGCCCTGATATCCAAGTTCCCCATCCTCCGCTCCTCGCACCACCTCCTGCCCTCGCCGAACGGCGAACTCGCTCCCGCGATCTACGCGACCCTCGACGTCTACGGCACCGAAGTCGACGTTGTCGTCGCACACAACGGACAGGAGGAGGACCCACTTGACCGCGAGCTGCAGAGTAAAGAGCTGGGAAGGCTCATGAGGGAGAGCTGGCCAAAGCCGACTGTGTTCCTCGGTAAGCGGCCGAACTCACTCGACTGCTCCGACGCTGACTCTTATATCCTGCAGGCTACCTCGTTACGACTCCGCATGCCGAGCGGCCCGCGCCGTACAAACTCGTCGTCGAAGACGGCCGGATGCTCGACATCAGCGTGCGTCCCTCCCCACCTGAGCGACAATACGAGCTGACTTTCTTTTCACGCAGCCGAAGGATCTCGACAGGTGGTGCCAGTACATCCTCTACCGAGGCTTGCAGTTTGTCCTCTTCGCTCTCCTCCAGCCTTATGCTCGCTCTAACCCTGTCCTGTACAGCCGCGTCGGCTACGCCCGCCTCTCACGCGGCAGCGACCCAAGCGTGACCGACTCTGAAGCGCAGCTCGGCAAATTCGTCGTGCCGCTCCCCCGCTCAACGGGGTCGTCGTACACCCGGTCTGCGGAGGCTGCGAAGGCGGCATTCGCTCTACAGCAGGAGCAGCGGAACTCGACTTTCACCGAAGAAGCCGAGAAGGGCGAGGAGAAGAACAAAGAGGTCCTCCGCATTCCGCCCATCCCGCTCGAGGACTACGTCTCGCACCTCCACCAGTCTCCCGCGCCCGTCGACTCGGACGCCACAGTCTGGACCCCCGAGCGGTACATGCCACCCTCCCTCCGCTTCCCAGCGCAGTTCTACGAAGGCAATGCAGGAGGACACCGGTATATCGTCTTGACGGGCGAGAAGGGCGGAGAGGGGCCGAACTACATGATGGACCCCGAGGAGAAGGAATGGAGGAGGTTGTGGGAGATCGACGAGTTGGAGAGGCTGGCGAGCACGGGCGAGTGTGGGGTGCAGTAGCTCAGGCATCGGACTCTTCTTTGCAAGGCTGTACCGTTTCTCAAGCGCGCCGAGTGGGAGGAGAACCTGCTTTTCTATTTCTTCGCACTGCACGACTACTTCTCCGCGATCCCGAACGTGACACGCTTGGCGACGATGACGACGAGGAAGAGCGAGCTGAGAACTGCCGCGCACGCGAGTGGCTTTTGGAAGAAGTCGACGGCGGGAGGGAGGGTGTACTCGATCTGCGTTTCCGTCCGTCGTCAGCTTTCAAGCGGCAAAGTGAAGGAAGCGCGAGCGAGGGCGGACGCACGTAAACTTCGCCTCCATGCCGATCGGTACATCCCTGCTTGGTCATGACGACCGTCGGCCGGCCGGTCGAGTCGAGGTACGTCCATGCGACGTTTCCGCCTTCTTTGATCGTCGGGATGCGGGAGAAGAGCGGGAGAGGAGTCGAGGGAGGGAGGGAGAGCGAGGCGAGTGGGAAGGGCGGGTGGACGGAGATGTCCCTGCGCGGCGCCATGTGGGAGATCCGTCAGGACCAGTCCGATAGATTCGTCGAGAGGAAGCCGGAAGGAAACCGCCGACGCACCTCGCGCCCTCGGGCAACCGAATCTCCACTCTCACATCATCCACCGCGACGTCCCTAATCGGCGTCAAAAACGGCACGGCAGCGACATACCTCCCACCTTTGCGCATCCTGACGAATTCTCCGAGTGGGAGGTCGTACCCGATCGTGAACGAGTAGTTCCACCCTCCCATCAGCGGATAACGAGGTTGGAGTTCCAGAACCGCCGGGGAACGCTTCTGCTGACTCGGGAGGAGGGCAGAGTGTGTCTTGGGAGAGCGGAAACGAGAGGTCGAGACGTTCCCGACTAGGTCGTAGTAGTACGGGCTGTGCGTCGAGGGTGGGAGGACGATCGAGAGTGCTGAGAGGGCCGTCGCGCCGTGACGACGGTGCATCATCATTTTCTGGTAGTCGATGCGGGCGAATTGGCCTTCGAGGCTGTGAAACGCAGGACAAAGGAATGGATCAGCGGACCTGGTCCATGCGAAGTGGACTCCTCGCCGACCGCCTCGTCGCCAGACTCACGCAGGCCCAGCGTTGAACAAATCAATGTTGTCCTGTACAGCCATGTTGGCGCCCCAGTGGCTCAACTCGACGATCCTGTCGAGCTTGCGGATCGAGGCGACCGCTTCGGGTTGCTGGTAGTGGATCGTTGCGAGCTGTTCGTCCGCGAGCGTTAGCGAGTCGGCATGGGAAAAGAGAGTGTGTGATGGACGCACCTGCTCGCCCATCTCGGCAATTTTTCCCTGCGACGTGAAGGTAATCGTCGCGCTCCCCTGCTGCTGATGCACCTTGAACCCCTCGGGACTCTTGACATCCACGACCCTCGGCGTAGGCGTCTTGACCCTCACTTTCACTTCCTCCAACCTACTCTTCTGTTCGCTCGTCAGACCGTGAAGTGGAGCGAGGAGGTCGCCCGTCCAGAGCATGTAGATTGAGTCGGCTGTTTGAGGGAGGGTTTGAGGGTGCGGATGGGAGGAGTGAGGGAGAACGACGGAGAGGGTTAGGGTCGTCTTGTCGGAGGAATGGGGCGGTTGGAGAGAGATGGAGTAGTAGGTCGTTGTGCTGTGGAGGCGAGGCAGGGTCAGTATGGCGTCGGGCCGGGGTCTCCGTGCAGCCCGAACTGCTCGGAAGAGTGCAGCTGCTCTTCCGGATCGTAAAGCGGATCCTCAGCGGGCTGCATCTCGAGACGCCCGTCCGCAGCCGAAGCCACGTCCAGCGGGCAGTCCTCCCATCAGCAGAAGCAGAACCGCCTGCGACCCGCGCGAACGCCGACTCACTCGTCACTTCCCACCGCAACCATCTCGACACGCCGCCTCGCGCCTCCCTTGCCCTCGACCGCCTCGACCCACCCCTCCGCCTTTCCGCCCTGCCTCACTCCGACAACCCACTTGTCGCCCTTGACATCACTCTGGAGGTCTTTCTGGAGCGTGTAGACGGCCTGCGAGCGAGTCAGGGACCCCCCGAGTTCGATGGTGGACGAGAGAGTGATGGGCTGCCAGCTTGTGGGTGGGAGAGACGGGTACGAGAAGATGTGCTGGGAGGAGGCGAACTGGGCAAGGGCGGCTGTCGCAGCGAGTGCGGTCCAGCCGAGTGCGAGCAGGCGCATCCTGGCGAGCGAGTGGACTGGCGGTGTAGAAGTGGGGAGGACGAGGGTAATGAAGCTGAATACAACTTAAAGTGTAATGCGAGTTGTATTCGTTTGAATTGTAATCAGTTGAATACACCCGAGTTTGTATTCAAGTTTGTATTCCTGACCCCCACTCGCTGCGGGCCTCCTCACTCCGCAACCTTCGACACCAGCGACTTCTGCGCGCGATGAGCGAGATGAGCGCGTCTCCGCCCGAGGAGAACAAGCCACTCGACAGCCGACACGACCCAGCTGACCTGCCCGCGAAGAAAAAGGTGCGCTCCTCGTCTCGAAGCTCCCATGTTCGCCGGCGGGTGTTCCGACGCGAAGCCGGCTGCAACACAGCAAGGAGGCATGCCGAGGGTCCCTCGGTGCTCTCATGAACTGGGAGAAGCGAATGTGACTGGCGCGGTCCCGGGCGATGCGTCGAGGCGAGCTGGGCGAGGGCGAGTCCCATGTGAAGAAGCGGCGGACGACGACCGGCTGCATCGCTGGGCAGGGGGCGGGCTGTTCGAGGGCTGTTCGACTGTGCGAGTCCAGAGGAGGTGCGTCCAATCCATCCGAGCCTGCGCCTAGTCGACGCAAGCTCACCTGACTTTCCCTTCCCTCGCTCACAGGAAAGTGATTCGCCTGGCTCGCGTCACTCTTGCTCCTGCTCACCTCTGTGCTTCGATTCCGCGCTCCTCTCAACTCTCAGCAGCTGTATCAGACTTCGACCAAGGAACGGACGAGCTGACGGTCTCCCGCTTCTTCCTTCCGCACCGCAGCCTCGAACGACAACCGCCTGCAACCGCTGCCGCAAGAAGCGTGGGCGTTGCGATGGTGCGTTCACGTCCTCCTCGGCTGTCTCTCCGGTCCGGGAGGACGAGACTGACGTGGGTGTGCGGGCGAAACAGGCCAGAAACCGATTTGCGGGCCGTGTACAACCGCGGGTGCGGTGTGCGAGGTGCGTCGCGCGGCTCCTCATGAGATTCACAACACGCCGCATGACGAGTGGAGCTGATGAGCGACCGTGGTGATCTTCGCAGTACGAGCTCGGCGCAGACAAGCGAAAGTACGTTTTCCGTTTCTCGTTTCACCCTTTCCGCGCAATGCTGACGCAGCTCCGCTTACAGACCCTACACAAAAGCCGTCGTGCAAGCTATGCAACTCCGCATCGACACGCTCGAAGCGCAGCTCGCCGCCTTGACGGGCCAACCGGTCCCCTCTTCCTCCGGCTCGTTCTTCGACTCGCAATCCGCCGACCCCCTTTCGATTCTCGACTCTTCTGCGCCTCTTCCCTCCGACTCGACGAGCACGACACCAGCAATGACGTCCCTCTCGCTCGTCGCGAACCAAGCGGCGAAGAATGGGAGTGGCACGTCGCCTACGGGTCTTGGACCGACCAGTCTGAGCTTTGCGGAGGGAAGTCAGCCGCAGGTTTCGACGCCTAACTTGAACGGGTTGGATACGTTTCAGGGTGGATTGGCGATCAATGCGCATGGCGAGTTGCGCTTCTACGTGCGTTTCTCGCTTTCCTTTCCTCCTGCGCACTGCTTCTGACGAGTTTCGAGGTCTCGTAGGGCCCGACATCCTCCTACCGCGCCGTCCTAGCCGACTCGACCTCCCTCCTCAATACCCCGACAACAGTCAACGCCATCCGCGCCTTCTCGCTCACCCGCGCACCGATCCCGACCGCCTCGCCTGCCGACCCTGCACTACCGAGACGCCCGCCTGACTTGAGCCCGGATTTCAAGGTCAAGTTGCTCAATCTGGCGTTCGAGTATTGTTTCTCGCATTGTGCGTTGCGCTCGTCTCTCACCCGTGAGCCAGCTGGAACTGACGGACGTGTGCGCGCGCAGACAACATCGTCCCGGAGCGACAGTTCTTCGCCGACCTCCAGATGTACCCCTTCGAGCGGACCCAATACTACTCCCCCTTCCTAATGAACGTCATCCTCGCCGTCGGCTGCCGCTACCTCGACCCGGACGACCCTTCCTACCCTCCCGAAATCTGCGGACTCATCGGAGACCCCGATACGAGGGGAGACGTGTTTGTTACGTGGGCGAGGTATCTGTTGGATCAGGAGTGGTACAACCCGGCGCTTTCGACGATTAGGGGGCTGTTGGTCCTGGGGCTGTACATGGCGGGGCGTGGGTGAGTCGCCGTGCCGAGTTTGGAGGCGAGGGAGGACAAGCTGACGAACGAACGTGCCCAGGTTCGACGGGCCGTGTGTCATCTTCGTCGGCTCGGCGCTCAAGTTGACGGAAGGTGAGGAGTCGTCTTGCGCCTGCTCGACTCGGTTATCGCGGACCTGTCGAACTGACGTTACGCGTCGTCTTCTTACAGACTTCGGCCTCAACCTCGGCCCTCACCGCCTGTCGATGTCGATGGGCCTCGAGATCTCCGAAGAGCTCATCACCGCCCGACGAGACTGTTTCTGGTCGGCCTTCGCCTCAGACTGCATCTCCTCGATGTACATCGGTCGCTCGACCACCTTCAAGCCCGACGTGATCGACGTGATCCCCCCTCCCGTCGTTCCCGAACTCGACTTCGAAGCGCCCCTCTATCGCTCTTCGGCCTTCCATTGGTCAAGCAGGCTCATATACATTGCCAGCCGAATCATGGACTCGGTCTATACGCTCAGGCCGGGGATCTCGCTTGCGATGAGGCAGGCGAAAGTGCCCGAGTTGCACCTCTTGCTCGAGAGCTGGTGCGTCGCGTTCTCTTTCATCTCCCTGAGTGGCTGGGCTGACGGCGAGTCGCGCCAGGTACCACGAGTTGCCGTCGCATCTTCGAGCCAGCGGCGCAGACCCGCAAAAGGCGCCGCACCCACACATCCTCGTCCTCAACATGGTCTACAACATGATGCACATCTCGCTTCACAGGCCGTACGCCCCTTCCCTCCTTCCACCTAGCCCCTCATTGACGTGGATTGTGCGCGCGCAGCTTCTTCCGACGCTTCTCGGCCAACCCGACGACGAACGTTAGTACGGAAAAGTGTCTTGTTGCGGCGTCGAATATCGTCAGGCTTGTCAAGCTCTTGCGAGGGTCGGCGGGACTGAGGAAGGCTGCTCCTGGCGTTCAGCAGTAAGTTCCACTCTTCGCCATCGACAGCGCGGGGCTGACTGCAATCGTCCACAGTGCCGCCTTCAACGCCGGCACGGTCCTCGCCATCTCTGCCGCCGAAGACAACCTCTCGAACAACCCGAAGCAAGACTCGGAGCGTCGCTCGCAAGCGAAGAAGGACCTCCGGCTCATCGTCGCGAGTCTCAAGGAGATTGGCACGACCTGGACGACGGCGCACACGAGCGCCGGAGTGCTCGAGGCGCTCATGACGCAGTGGGACGCGTCGTCTCAGCCGCCAGACCAACCTGCGACGAACGCTTTCGCGCCCATCCAGAACGGCTCGGCTGCTATGCCGCACGGCTCGCCTACGTCGTCCATCTCGTCCAGCTCGACCGGCTTCCCGCAGTCCTTCGACTTCTCCTCTGCCTCGCCCGGCCCTTCGCGCGCCGACCTCGCCGCCCAGCTCCCAAAGCTCGAGCAGCCGTCCTACGAGCCCTCATCGGGCCCAACCGGCTCGACACCCATGTCATTCGCCAGCCTCGGACTCGCCTTCCCCTCCCGCCCGAGTACAGCAGGAGGCAACCACTCGCTTGACGGTGTCGGCGCAGGGTTCGGAACGAGCTTGGGCTTCATGTTCCCGAGCTGGGATTTGGGAGACGATGTCGACTTTGGAGCGCCGCCGGGCGAGCAGGCGCATGGGAATGGCGCGAGTACGGCGGGATTGGACTGGGGTTTGCTGAACATGCCTGAGTGTAGGTCCTGCCGATATGCCGCACAAGCTTCGAACGCTGACGCTTATCCACCCCGCAGCGAACTCGCAAAGCGCCGCAGCCACGCCTTCCGCATCGACTGCGACTCCAGCGGCATGAGTCCTCGAGCTATCTCTATATCAGTTCATGCAGTGCCATCCATATCTATTGTGTCGCGCGTAGACTTTGCAGAACGCGTCATCTATCATCTCGAGTGATACAGGCTAGTGTTGGCAACAAGGGAAAGCAACTCGGGTCTCTACGCCTGCGGCGCCCGCCCCGCTGCCTCGTCCCCCAACCGCTGCTTCCGCTTCCGCAGCCACACGCCCTTGATCAGCGTCTTGAGCTGCTGCTCGCCTGCCGTGAAGTTCGCTGCAAAACGACGCTCGTTAGCTTCGCTACCTAGGCAGGCCGGAACGCGAAGCGCGACGCACCCTTTGCAAGGCGGATCAGCTTGTCCGTCTCCTCCTCCGTATAGTCAAACTTCCATGTCGAGAACACCTCGAGCGGGTTGGGGAACGTCTCGTCGGGAGAAAGCGGGATGTAGGCGAGCGCGATTCCGTCGCGCGCAAGGACGTCGTCGACTGTCGGATTGTCGTTGCGGCAGGTCGCTGCTTGCGACCGCGAGGTCGAACCGATCCAAATGCTGGAGGAAAACTGTGAGCTGTGTGTGGCTGAGAGAGGAAGCGAGACGAATGCACCTGCACTTGCCCAACGGCGGCTCCTTCGCACCCTGACTCTCCGGCATCGGCTTGTCGTCCGCCTCGACCGGCACCCCCTTCTCGTCCACCTTCCCCTTCGTCGCTGCTTCGCGACTCTGCGGCGCACTGCCCGTCGGGACCGGCTCCGGGTTCTTCGTCTCGACGCCTTCACGCTCGTGAGCCGTCTTGCTAGCCGTGACCCGCTCCTGCGCCTTGGCCTGATCGACCTTCGTCGCCGCATCGTCCCGACTCTTCTCCTTCTCCTTCATCTCTCCCTCCTCTGCTCCCGGAAAGATCGCCTTGACATCCACCTCAGGCCAAGCGAAACGACTCTGCGCCTTCTCGCTGTACTGCTTGGCATACTCTGCCGCTCGCGCGAACCAGGTCTCGTGGTTATCGGCCGATGCGTCGAGCGCGATGATCACGTCTACGCTGCGACGCATCAGGGGGACATAGGGGATGTTGAGCTCGACGCCGGCGTCGGCGAATCCGAGGGTCTTTTCTTTGACGATTGAGGAGGGGACGGAGGGTGGGAGAGAGCCGGGGAGGCTGTATAGGAAGTTGGGGAGTTCGGCGGGCGGGAGAGGGTGGATCGAGTCGAGCTTGTGGGCGTTCTTCTTGACTGCGGCGCGAAGGGCGATGTCATTCACAGGTTGGAAAGAAGAGAGTGACCTGAACGCACCAAAGTCATCGATGGCCCCGAAGAAAGGCAGGCTGATGAGCAGCGGCTTGACTTCGAGGAAGTACGAGAAGAGGGTCGCGCAGAACGCGCTCGCATATATCCCCGAAAGGACCGGCACGCCCAGCTCCGGTACGCGCTCGGTGCTCTTCCCACCGTCAAACAGCCTGCCAAGCGCCCAAGTCGGGATCCATGCGCCGAGCTTGTCGCTCCCAACCTCGTAGCAGGTCGTCTCGAACCAAGTCCACCGGGCCTTCTTGACCGTCTCTGAAGCGGACTCGCCGCCTTCCTTCTCGGCCTTTTCGAGCTCTTCGGGAGAGGGGAGGTCGTGTCGAACGGTCGTGTATATGGGTAGAGGGGAGGAACCGTCTTCGAGGATGTCGCGTTGAGAGGAGGTCTTGAGTGTGCGGAGGGTGAGGGGGCGAGGCGGTGGAGGGAGATCGTCCTGCTCGCTCGGGACGTACAACCTGGTCGAGACGAGCGTCCCGTAGGCATCTACAAGTGACACCTCGCCACCCTGAATCGCCTCCTTCAAGATCGCCGCACTGATGATTGTCCGGCTGGCGAGATCGTCAAAGTCGAGGAGGTTGATGAACGTGTCGGGCGCGAGGAACGGTTCTTTGACTCGCTCGCGGAGGTGTCGCAGCGTCCAGTCGATTTGGCCGCCGCCGAGTGTGTAGAGCGTGTTGAGCGCCCAGCAGGAGCCGCTGACGCCCGACGCATAGGTCAAGGTGTCCCAGATGCCCGTCTCCTTGGCCGCCTGAAGCGACGCAGCCGTGTTGAGCATGGCTCGGTAGCCTCCTCCGCTCGCTGCGACCGCGACGACCGGCAAGTCCCGCACGTCGACTTCCTCGAGCGGAACGTCCATCAACCGGGCAAACGCCGCCCGCATCTTATCCCGCCTGTTCCGCAAGAAAGCCCGCTCCGTGTGCGGCAAGTCCTGGCCCGTCCGTACCGTCGCGTCCCACTGCAACTCCGGGTGAATGCTCGGGTCCTTGCCCTCCTGGACGATGCGCGAGTAGGTCGAGTTCGGGCCGAGCGAGAGCTCGTCTTGCAGCTTCGAGAAGGTGGTCGTGAGGGAGGAGAGGGATTCTGTCCATGTCGAAAGGGTGCCGCCGATATCAGGCAGACTGATGGACGGGATGGATATTGACGGTGCGGATGGCAAGGACGGCGGGCTGAAGGATTTGAGCTTGTCGAGGATGCCAGAGTCGTCGTCGTCGTTTCGGGAGGACCTTGCGTCGGTTGACGAGCTCCGCTTGCCCTCCTCGCACCTCAGAGACCTCGACCAGAACGTCCTCGTCCCGTACGACCCTGCTCCCGCCCCGACTGCTGCGCCCGCGACGAGAAAGAGTCCTTGGACCGCCGGAGTGATCGTCGAAGGGGAGAGCCGGGCGGGAGTCGACAGCAAGCGGCGAGAGGACCCGCGCGAAGGTCGCAGCGTGGTCAATGGTGGTCTGTAGAGAGAATGCGCTCCTCGCCAGGCCATCCTAGCTGTGAAGTAGCGACTTCGAGTTCTGGATGAATGCAAGCCGGACTGATGAGGACGACTTGGTGTCGACCACCTGCACCGCTCTTCCTTGCTGGCTGCAACTGGCCAGAGTGGCTCACGCGATGGCTTCTGTAGCATCTGGACCGGCGACGGACTCGAAGGAGGGCGGGAAACGCTCTCTGCGCCGGGTCGAGTTGCGGACAGCCAACCTGGCGGCATGGGAGCGAGGCGGGCCTCCTGGTGCGTCGCGGTTGACGTGGGTGGAGTCGAATGGGGCTATTGGCTCGAGCTGACACCGCTCGCCCGCCCGCAGAGGGACTGGGCAAGCTCGACACCTCGCTCAAGCGTCACACGGCCCTCCTCGTCAAGTTCCGCTCGTCGCTCAACACGGCTGCAGCCATTGCTAGTCTCCTGAAGGAGATCTCACAGCTCTCGCTCGAGAAGTATGTCGAGGAGGCTGTCGGCGCGATTGTGGAGGGTCTCGGCAAATGCAAGACGGCGGCCGAGACGGCGGGTGCGGTCGAGGTGCGTTGTTTGTGGCGCCGTGAGCGCACGAGGACGCTTATCAGGTGTTATGCGCGCAGGTCGTCTCGGCGATGCACCAGCGCTTCCCTGAACTCTTCACTCCGCCCTTCAACTCGCTCCTCCTGCAGGGTCTCAAGCCCGGCTCATCGACCGCAACCGACCGCGACATCCAGGAGAAGGAGAACAACGCTCGTATTATCAAGCAGCGTGGCTTGTTGAGGGTTGTTGGGGAGCTTGAAGCGGTTGGTGTGGTGCGGAAGGAGGGTGGGAAGGGCGCGACGGGCGAGATTACTTGGGCGGCCCTGAAGGACCTGGTGCGCAGAGTTCGTTTTCTTCACGCTCCGATGCGCCTCATGTGAGTTCCTCTGCAGCTCACGTCCGACAAGGAAGCCCTCGCACTCGTCGCTCCCCTCGCCATCGCAACCGCCAAACACCTCGGCTCGATCTACCTCCCACCCGCCGACGCCGCCACCACGACAGAAGGCGAAGCAAGCGCGCATGATTTCCCGACTCTCGCAGAAGCTTCGCAGGCAGAAGACGACGCGATCGTTTCGCGGGACATGAAGGACAAGTTTCGCAAGCTGCTTGTTGCGTTCTTTGATGCGCTCGGCAAGCGGGAACAGAAGTTGCACCTCGTATGCACCAGCTTGTCAACTTTCCAAACATGCAGACGCTGACGAGGTGACCGCTCACAGGAACTGCAACGGCAGGACAAGCGCAATCACGAGGCGTACATCCGGTCTGGCGAGGTCTTTGAGGACCGCGAGAAGAACTACGAGAAGGCGGTCAAGTCGTGGGAGCGCGGGTGGGCGAGCGTCACGCAGTGCGTCCTACTTCCCCTCCAGCGCAAGAGGCCTCCTAACCTAGTTCCCCTCCAGACTCGCCGAAGTCCTCTCTCTCCCCCTCCCCACCCTCCCCTCCCTCCAATCAACCCTCAACGCCTCCATCGTGACAGCCGGTTCGTCCGGCGCTACTTCAGGCGAAGAACTCGGTCCGCAGAGCTTGTGGGCGGACGAGGAGGAGAAGAAGTTCTATGAGGACTTGGTCGAATTGAGGGGGAAGGTGCCGAATGCGCTTTTGGGTGTTGCGGAGGAGGAGAAGGTGGAGGAGGCGGAGGTGAAGGAGGACGTTCAGGAGGAAACGGTGGAGGGAGAGGAGGAGAAGGATGCGGCGCGTATCGATGATGAGGATGCGGCGGAAGAGCCAGAGTGCGTCCGGATTCCTCGAGCGCTCCGTCAGTGTCGCACTCACCTTCTTTCGCCCGCAGGGACCCGGTCGCTAAGCTCGAAACGGCCGAGCCCGATCCATCCATTCCTTCCGGCCCCGCCGCGCAGCTGAACGCCATCTTCGCCCGCTTGCCCGAAGCTTCGTCGAAGAAGTCGATCGATGACATCGCGGTCGAGTTTGCGTTCCTCAACAGCAAGGCGGCGCGCAAGAGGCTTGTCAAGGTGCGTGGCCCGCCCTCGCGTACGCTGCGGCCACATGCTGAAATCTTGTACTCGCAGACGCTCGGCTCCGTCAGTCGCAACCGCCAAGACATCCTCCCGTACTACAGCCGCCTCGTCGGCACGCTCAACCCGTACATGCCGGACGTTGGGAAGGAGCTTGTTGCGCTGGTGTGTGAAGACCGCCCCTCATCCTGCGTGCAACGAGTGACGCTCGTCGCTGCAGCTCGAGGACGAGTTCCGCTACCTGCAGCGCAAGAAGAACGCCGACTTTGCCGAGACCCGCTCGAAGGTGTGTCGCAGCTTACCTCTCTCGCCCACAACCCGCTGACCGTCGATCTTCGTGCAGAACCTCCGCTTCATCTCCGAGTTGACCAAGTTCCGCGTCACCCCGCTCCACGTCATCTTCTACGTCTACAAGGTCCTCCTCGACGACTTCTCCGGTCCCAACATCGACAACTTCTGCACCGTCCTCGAGGGATGCGGACGCTTCTTACTTCGCAGCGAAGCGACGAGCGAGCGGATGAGGCAGGTCGTCGATACTTTCAAGCGCAAGAAGGCGGCTATGCATCTCGATGAGCGGCAGACGGCGATGCTCGAGAACGCCTACTACCAGGTGCGTCTCGGTCCGAGCGCTTCACACGCTGCAGCTCGCTGATGTGCTCTCCCTGCAGTGCGATCCGCCTGACCGCCCGGCCATTCCGCCGAAGGAGCGGACGCCGATGCAACTGTACATCCGACACCTCTTCTACAACGTGCTCAACCGCAACTCGAGCGACAAGGTGCTCAAGCTCGTTCGCAAGCTCCACTGGGAGGACCCGGCGGTGCGTTTGGGTCAGCCTCTACTGTCAGCTGAGGTAGCTGACGGTTCTTGCTTTAGATCGTCCGCAAGCTGCACAACGCGTTCACGAAGGTGTGGAAGATCAAGTACTCAAATGTCCACCTTTTCGCCGTCCTTCTCTACGATCTCGGCCGCTACCACCCCGACTTCAGCGTGTCAGTCATTGACGACGTCCTCGAGAACATCCGCGTCGGCATGGAGATCAACAACTTCAAGTACAACCAGCAGCGTGTCGCGACCGTCAAGTACCTCGGCGAGCTCTACAACTACCGCGTGCTCGACTCGCGCGTCATCTTTGACACGCTGTGGTCGCTCGTCACGTTCGGTCATCGTGAGCGTCGCCTCTCCAAGCTCTTTCTCGCTCTCCGCTGACCACAGCACCTGCAGCCGACGGCCGCCCTCACCCTGATCTGCCTTCCGCCATCGACACTCCCGACGACTACTTCCGCATCCGCCTCGTCTGCACGCTCCTCGACACCTGCGGCGCCTGCTTCGACCGCGGCACGCTCAGAAAAAAGCTCGACAATTTCCTCGTCTTCTTCCAGGTGCGTCGCTTGTTGCCTTCCGGTTCCTCGGCTTCACTGACGTTCGGCTGCAGATGTATGCGTTGTCGAAGGGCTCGCTGCCGATGGACGTCGGCTTCATGTACTCCGACACGCTCGAGCAGCTCCGTCCGAAGCTCGTCAAGTATCAGACTTTCCCGGAGGCGGCGCTCGCAGTTGACGAGATGATGGCTGCTGTCGCGAAGGAGGGTGCGTCAAGAACGCCTGCTCTCGGGACTTTTGCGACGACGCTGATGCGAGGTGTCCCGCAGCACCGGTCGAAGACGATGTCGACGAGCAAGATGGACAGGAAGGTGCTCGTCCCGGTGCAGACGAGGAGGACGAGGAAGGTTCAGAGACGGAGGGAGAGAGCGAGGTGCGTGATTCCACTCCTACCTCTCCGACGTGACGCTGATGCACCCACTTTCGTAGGCCGACACGATCGACGCGGACGGTGCTGCCGGCGACGCTTTCGAGGACGATGAAGACACGCACGAGGGGCGTGGCCGCGACCCGAATGCGATGACGCAGGAAGAAGAGGACGACTTTGCTCGCGAGCTCGCCAAGATGATGGTCAGCTCGACCGAGGCGCGCAAGGCGGAGAGGAAGCCAGTCTCGCTCGACGTGGGCATCCCGCTCATTCGCAAAGCCAAGGCGGACGATGAGGTCGCGATGGACGAAGCGACGCAAGACAGTCGCGAGAGGAAGGGCATGCAGTTCACGCTTTTGACGAAGAAGGGCAACAGGCAGCAGGTGCATACGACGCCTCAGACGGAGACTCGCCTCAATTCGCTGACTCGAGTTTCGCGCAGGCACTGTCGATGGAGATTCCTCGCGAGTCGTCCATCGCGATGAGCACCGTCGCTCAGCGCGAGCAGCACAAGGCCGAGCAGGAGCGGCTCAAGCGACTTGTTCTCGACTACGAGTCCCGCGAGGAGGAGGCAGACAAGCAAGGTCAGTCAGCATTCGCTTGCGGATGATTATGCGGCGACTAACGGGCTGCATGTTACAGCTCTCAAGGAGACTCTCGCTCGTCGCGGCATCGTCCTCAACTATGGTGCTGGTGCGTCTCGCCGCCTGTATCGCTGGGCAGGGCTGACCACGCCCGCGCAGAGAACCGCAAGAAGGGGATCAAGTTCGAGGTAGTGCCTTGATCCCTCTTCCACTCCTCGTCGCTGCGTCCCGGAGCAGAAGTGACAGCTTTTCTCGTCGCTTTCGCCCACCGTCGTCCAGGGAAAGGTGTCTCACACCGCTGCGCCATCGCCTGCGCCGCCGCCTTCGTCTCGCCAAGACAAGGAGAACAAACTCACGCTCGTCCCGCATTCCAGCCTTCCACCTCGCCCGCCAACTGCGCCACCTTCTCTCGCCTCTATCGCGCCGCAAGCGCCATCTCGCGTCTCAAGTGCTCGTCCCCCTTCCTCTGAAGGCCGCGGTACGGGCAAGTCGAGGTCGTCGGAGAAGGCTCGTCGCGAGCGTGACCGCGAGAAGGGAGGCGAGCGGAAGGGTGGCGACAAGTTCGGCGAGGCGCCGGGGATGTGGCAGTGACGGCTTTTCGGTAGCTGTGCGCGCGCTTGTTGTTGTATCGGAGGAAACGCTCGCTTGTTCAGCCTGCTTTGCGGGAGGAGAGCTGAGAGCACAAGTTGCTGTGCATGTCGTTGAACTGGGCGCAGTGCATCCAGCCTTGTGACGCTCGTTATAGGCCGACGCATCCGCTGTCGTACGCGCGCAGGGTGCAGAACAAAGATCGTGCGTTTCAGACGAAGGAAAAGAACATGGACTGGAAATCACGGACGGCTCGGTCACCGAGGAATTCCCTCGCCTCCTTGAAATCGTCCACCTCCAGACCCCAGGCCATGAGCCCGTCATAGACCTCGCCCATGTAGTCGTCCTCCCAGGACTGCGCGTCCAGCGCCGAGGCTATCAAAGTAACGCCTCGGCTAGTAGCCGCCCCCATGACCCGCAACAGGCCCTGTGGGGAACAGTTGACAGGCCAGTCAGGCCCGTGCCAGTCCGGGTACTCATGGAAAGGCGTGAATTTGGCATCCTTGCTCAACCTGTAGCCTTGACTCTGCATTGTCAGACCACGACTGCAGATGACATAGTCAAGCTCGAGCGTGCGAAGGTGCGAAAGGCGTGTAGGGCCCTCGATGAGTGAATGGAGAAAGTCGTCGGTGACGGGGCTGTTCAGCCCAAAGCCGAGGCAGACGAGCGTGTCTGCCATGTCGAGGAAGGCGCGAAGAGGCGGAATGGTGAAGGTCCCGTAGCAGAGGTAGAGAGTCTCTACCATGGTGAAGTCGGGAAGGATGACATCGAGGGAGCCGCCGGCCTGCGTGCTGACGACGTCGCTGTTGACCAAACGCAATTCCTTGAGATTCCTCGGAAGACGAGAAACGATATCGTAAAACCGTGATTCGGCATCCAAGTCGTATGCTTCGAAGTTTTGGAGAGTGGGAAATGCTTGAGCGAAGTCATAGCACGGCCACTCGTCCAGCTCAAAGCCGGTGAGGACGAGTCTGCCTGCACGCATTGACGTGGCGACCTGCGGAAGGTGCACCCATCTCGAAAGGCGAATCTCGTCCAGGGTGGCAAGTCGACGGGCCCAAACCGTCTCATCGCCGACGGTGTCGCATTCACTGATAACGAGGGTGCGCAGCTGAGGCAGCGCCGAAAGCTCGAGGTCGGGAGTCGACAGGACGCGGGCCAGGTCTCGTTCTAGCTCAATCATTTCGAGGCATCGCAGCTTGTCGAGGCGGCTCAGCGTCTTGCTGAAGGATTTAGGGCCGACGAGGCGACGGAATCCTGTCTCGCTCGTGCCGTTGACATCTTTGCAGCGCGAGAAGTCGAGGCTGAGCGACTGTACGTACGCCGCAACGCGATTACCGCTGTTGATGGTCCTGCAGAAGCGGGCGAGCGAGCGGTAGGTCGTGATGACGGGGTCCCTCCAGAGACGCTTGTGCGCAAAGTGGCGAAGGGCGCGGCAGACCGGCTGGGGATGTTCGTCGTCCTAGTAAGCGTACGCGAAAATCGTGTCGAGCAGCTCGTACGGGAGCCTGAGGAGCGGGAAGGGGCGTTTGCGGTGCGAGGGCGATAGGGTCTGCGAGCGGGGAGAGCGAGGTGAGCAGGCGTCGCGAGACGGTGCGAGTTGCGTACGTACCTCGAGAGACATTCCGGCGAGCAGAAGACGGCAGTCAAGCGGGTCACGGAGCGGTAGCAAGGAGCAGCGAGTGAGCGGGACGAGCGAGAGAGGCAAACTCGCAGGTTGGCCCTCCTCAACGCCCTCGCATCTCGCCAAGAGGCTTGCTGAAGCTACTGCTGCTCGAATAGCGTCTTCGGACACGCATGGGCGAAGGCGTAGTGTCCCTCGTAGCCTACTCTCGAACTTGCGATTCTCATCAACGCTGGGCGAGGAGGAGGCTTTCAAGGTCACGAAGGGCTGTGCGAAGGGCGCAGGCAAGTGTTTATCGGTGCTACAGATCTTTCAAGACTCGACCTGGGCCGCACTTGAGCGAAACACTCGTGTTCTTCCGTCCTCCTGCTCACCCTGTCCCTCCTTGTCGTCGCAAGCGCCCCAACGTACCGGCTATCGCTTTGGCTTCTCCCTGCGTACCTTGGTCTGAGCAAGGCGCTACTCGCGCGTCAAGGATCTCGAAACGCTTGCTGCTCCCCGCTCACTAGCTCTCGTTCTCGCCGGTAAGCCTGTGCGGCGACTTCTACGCCGTCCTTACTTCCAATGAGAAGCTGCAGCTGGCGGCGGCTGCACGGCAGAACACGTTCCATCGCTATGACTACTTGCAGGCGCGGAGTGGACTACAGAGGCTGCTCAAGGGGGGAAGCAACGCCAGCGAGGGGAGAAGGAACACCGTGCTTTTCCCGCAACGAGCGCAAGGACCCGCCAAGATACTGCGTCACCTCAACCAAGTTCACTCCCGACGGCTCGAGCCACGACAGGTCGCCCGTCGTGACGAAGTGCTCGGCAACAACAGTGACCCGCTCCCTCCGCCAAGCTGCCTCCCAGTCCCTCGGAATTCCGATTGCCGTCCCTTGAACCTTAATGCCCCTGATCTGCGCAAGGCTGACGACCGATTCGATACCCTCGAGCGTTGCGCCGGGAGGAAACTCCGGTTCCTGCCAGTCCCAGTCGAGCGGATCCCAGACGGGGTCAACAGTTGCACCGTCTCGGAACTGTCGTTGCTCGAATTGCTCGAGAAGACTCTCGCCCTGGTGACCCAGGGCATGGTCCAGCTCCAGCGACTCGAGATGCGGCAGGGAAACGATGGCAAGGAGAGTGGCGTCGGAAATGTCGGAGGCGCATCCGAAGCTGAGCTGTCGTAGCTGAGGCGCGGCGCGAAGGTATCGGAGGAGAGAATCGGGCGTGAAGGTGCCTTGGGAGAGGTGCAGATATAGGAGGCGGGGAAAGGAGGGAAGCAGGGGAACAATGTCGACTGGCATGAGACGACCGAAGAACTCGTGGTACCTCCACAGATACAGCTCTTCGAGCTGGTTTGGGAGCGTTTCAACCATGGGTATGACGGTATTATACTCCTCGAGCTGGTGTGCGACGAATGAGCGGAGGTTCGGGAAAAGCCGCCCGATATCGTACGAAGGGTCGCCAGCATCGGGACGCCAAGCGTCAACGTCGAGGGTCCGTAGGCTCTTGCACGGAGCACTGAATTCGTCCGCACGGGGGACGATGGGTAGTCCAGTGTCGCGAACGGAAAGTCGGAGGGTCCGCAGCGTCGGAAAGGTCGCAAGCCGCTTGTTGAACTCCCTGCGTCCCTTCCGCTGGCCGTTGCGAGGTTCCCAAGCGTCCACGTTCAGCACCTCGAGGCGAGAAAGTGCGCCTTCCGGACCGTCAAGCAAGACCGCGTCGCCCAAAACTGCTGGACACTCGACGAGTGCGAGCTGACGCAAGTTGACGAGCTTGCAGCTCATCGCCGTAAGCTTCGTCGCCGAGGCCTTGAGGACTCCGACAAAACGAGGTATTGGGCGCGGACCGTCCTCGTCGGCGTGCGCTGCATCGCGATAGGCGCGTTCCTCCGCGCTCAAGTCGATTGTAAGCTCGATGACAGCAGCCGCAAGGTCTGGCTTGGCGGCGACGGTCGAGCAGAACAAGTCGAGGCTGGGCTGGGAACGGATGCGGACGCGTCGGTAGAGGTGCGTGCGGATGAAGGGCTGGAGGGTTCGGCAGAGTGGTCCGGGAGGCACCGGCGTGTCGTGATGCGGTGTAGCGTATGCAAAGCAGAAGATGTGGTCGACCAGCTCGTGCGGGAGGCGTAAGAGAGGGGAAGGGTGTTCGGCCCACGAGGCACGAGATCAGCTTCGTAGGGCTAGCTGCAAGTACACGGTGGTACGTACCGACGTTGCGTCCATGTTCAATACGTTTGGCGGGCTCAGCGAGTGGGAGGGGACGAGGAGGAGTGAGCTGGAGGTGCGCGAGCCTGAGCGCAGGGCGGCGATCCATCCAAATCCATCACGCTCGTTCACCTCCATTTGCTCACAGACTCGCTGGAACTACTTCGTAGGTTGTAGGATACTAGACACGCCATAGAGGGGCTGCAGCGATACAGGTGCCACGGTTCGGGGGCCAAACCCAAACATTGTACCTTCGTCTGCTCCTCAAAATCGCACGCGAGGGCCTCGGAAGACTGCGATCTACTTCCCTCGAGCGTAATGAGTCAAGGCAGGATTGCGAGAGGCGCCGCAAAACAGCTGCGAGTTGCGGTCCGTTCCCTCCTCCTCGAGTTGCGCCTACCAAGTGACCGCCAACCCGTTCACCTCCTCGCTCTCCACCGCCCTGTAGCTCGTCCGCAACAACTCCTTCCGCCGAGCATCCCGTCCTGCACCATCATCGCCGCCAAGCATCTCGTCCAAGACCCTCGCGAGCGCCTCCTCCTCTTCCGGCGACGGGATTGCGAGGACGAAAGGCCGGACGGACGGATGGATCGAGTCGATGTCGATTTCGTTATGCCGAGGCCGTCCATCCGCCGTCGAGCCGCTCCAATACCGCTTCTCGACCTCCTGCACCCACTCCTTCGCGCTCAACACCCGGTCCTCATCGCTGCCGACGCCCGTCCCTTCTCCCGCCGCACCCTTCCCAGCGTCCTGGTTCGCAACGATCTTAATCTCCGCCTCAACGACCTCGCCAACCGTATCCGGCATCCCTTCGTCATCCACTCGCCCGACGAAACCCTCCGCTTCCGCGCCCGTCCAGCTCGGTCTCCGCTTCCGCGCGCGCAACGACTCCCTCGGCGGCGCAGCCTGTCCACCACCATTGACACACCCAGACGGGCAAGCCATGACCTCGACGAACTCGATCATCGGCTCGACCTTCGTCTCCTTCGCTCCACCAGCCAACTTCGCCGCCCTCCGCGCGTTCGCAGCCGCCGCAGCACTTGAGGCAGGTGCTTTACCCGCCGCGCCTCGTCCGACAGAGATCCCCGCCTCGCGCGAGAGCTTGCGCACGACGTTCTGCAGGTTGCGGAAGCCGTAGCATTTCGCGGCTTTGACGAGGACGTCGCCCGCTTCGGTAGCCGAGTCGGCGGAAGAGGGAGAGTAGGAGGAAGAGACGCGCCGGAGGGTGTACTCGACGTAGTCGTCGTTTCGGACAAGTTTCGAGTCGAGGCGGAGGAAGGGCCAGTCGGAGCGGGAGATGTTGGGTGCTCGGGAAGTGGAGGGCGAGTCGGACGTGGAAGGAGGAGCAAGGAGGGAGGAGAGAGCGGCGTGGACGTAAGAGCCGGAACTTGTGCCTCGAGGCGGGTCGAGCAGTTGCGAGAAAGGGAAGTACTGTTCCTCCGCTCGACCGTCGAAGTCGCCCGCCTCGCTAGTCGCAGCAAGCATCCGCAACGAGAGTCCCTTGTCCGAGATCATCTTCGCCACCTCGCCCGTCGTCAAAACCAGATCCACATCCCTCACGCTAACCGGTTCCGTCCCATTCGCGAAAGTCGGCGGCTGATGTGTCGTCGCAAAGTCCGGCCTCGACGCCTCGAGCTTCTTGTCGTAGCAGGGCATGACAGCGACGTGGTAGATCTGATCAGGTCGAAGACCAAGTCGGCCAGCGACGACTGCACCTTTGACAAGGACGCCAGAGACGGCTTGTGGGGACTTGACGCCGCTGACGAACGGGAGGAGGTCGCCGTGAGTCTTTTCGGCGTAGCAGATCCATCCGGGACAGGCGGAACTGAGGATTGGGAGGGGGGCGATGGAGGAAGAGGCTGGGGAGAGCTTGGTTGGCACGGCGAGAGAGGACGTTGAGGCGGTCAAGAGGGAGGGCAGAGAGGGCGAGGGCGAGGCGTAGTAGTTTGACCGCCGCTCGTGCAGCTCGGATCGGCTCTCGAGCAGGGAAAGCGCGCGGGGAAAGGTGGTGTCGAAGACAAGTCTGTCAGACACACCATGTCAGCATACGCTTTCTTCGTGTGCGAGAGGGTACGCACCGGAAGCCGAGATGTTGCTTGAAGAAAACCCGCAACCCTCGCATCGTCCCCGCCAGACCCAGGTCGTAGAGCGCCGCCAGACTCGCGACTGATTGAGGCGAGACGGAGAGGATGGGCGTGAGGTCCTGCGCCGCCAACGTCACAAAGAACATCCGTCAGAACAGACTGAACAGATCTTCTGGCGAAACTGCGGACGCACCGGCTGTTCCCGCAAGACTCGGTAGACCTCCTCGTGCGACTGCATCGACACCAGCACGGATTCCGCCGAAGTGATGCAGCCTCTGCACATACAGAAGGAAGTCGCACAACATCAGCTTCTTCGTGTACAAGCGAAAGGAGCCGAAAAGTAGCGGATCTCTGGACGCACGAGCAAGCCAGACAGTCGTTCAAGGTGATCTCCGCCTTCTTCAACTTCTTCCCCTTCTCGCCGTCCTTGCCCTTCTCGTAGAACCCCGAGTCATCACCAATAATGATCTCAGCCTGTTCGACACCCTCATCAGCGGAGGAAGGGAAGAGGTAAGGGAGGAGACGCACAGCAGCGGAAGCAGCAGGCTTGTCAAGGGCTGAAGAGTCGGATTCTTCCGGGATGTAGGTGACGGGTTTGATGCATGCTTGGGAGGGGGCGAGGTAGTCGGAGAGATCTGTCAGGGTCTGTTCGAGGGTGTCGGAGCGAGAGGAGGAGGGAGAGAAATGGTCAGCTGTCGTCCGCTAGCCTGCATGCGAGCGCCCGGCAGCCAATAGCCATTCATGCGTCTCCTCCAGTCCTTTCGTACATCCGGGAACCCGACTCGCCAGCCCCTGCATCCCGCTGACCCATCCGCCTCTCACCCACTCAGGCCAACCACAACCCTCCATCTGCCCTTCTCGCACCACAGAAAGTCCTTTCATAACTCACAAGTCCCGAAGAGAGCGACATCCTGTCCACCGGTGGACGTGTTGAGGAGGATAGGTTAAGGGAGATGAGGTGAGCCGGAGGAGGTGGCGGATACGAGACGGCGAGGCGGGAGATGCGTTGGCTGGGTGTCGAAGTGTATAATATGATCCAGAGCGGCCTATCGAAGCAGTACAGGGCCTCCTAGAGAGCAGCGGCGGAGTGGAAGAGCCAGAGGTCCTCGTCGCGGAACCTGAAGAACGACTTTGGCTTGCACCACTTCTTCCGCCGCTCGTACGGGCTGAACGGACACGCAGAACCTCCCAAAATGGCCTTCAGTATCTTCCGGAAACAGTCGCTCGAGCAGAAACGGTGCGTCCTCGTCTCCCTCACCTCCTCGCACTCTTCATCTCTTAACTCGCCTGACCCTCGCCACAACGCTCAAACGTCGACAGGATATCGACTATCATCGTCACCGTACCCTTCCTTGTCGCCACCTCCGTCATCCTCTACCGCCGCCTCTTCCTCGGCGAGGAACAGAAACGGATGCCTCGACCTGGACAACCCGGGGCGAATATGCCGATGTTGAGTGGAGGAGTCGGCGAGGGAGAGAAGAAAGGAGAGTTTGGAGCGATGCCGGAGGAGTTGCAGAGAAGGATTCGGGAGGAGGAGAAGCGATCGGGGCGGATTTAGCGAGGAGAAAGTGCGTCCTGGCGTTTGTCGAGCGCGAAAAGGTGCTGACTGGGCCGCCCGCCAACTGATGCAGACCTGTACTATACCGCAACGCAATCGCATCCTCTTAGGAATCAAGGGAGAGACGATGGGCACAACTTGGGATGGTTTCGATGCTGTCACCTATGCTACACTGATCCCCTCCCTTTCCCACGCTCTAAATCGCACCCTGCTGCTCACCCTTGTGCGCAAGACCATGCTTCTTGCCCTTGTCCTGCTCGGCCTGCAGCGCGTCCCGCGTGTCGGGTCCAGGGATCTTTTCGTCCGTGCCGAGGTTGCTCTGTTCGTCCTGCCCTCGATCGGAAGGGCGGTTGCGACGAGGTCGAGTTGGGTGGACGAGTGAGAGGAGGGGAGAGAGAAACGCCGTCAGGGCCAACATCGTGTGAACGAGATGCGGGGGAGAACGCACGCCAGTCGCCTTTTGAGCCACGCCCGTCGCGCCCTCCGCAACCGACTTGGCAGCCTGCTTGACTCCGTGCGCACGAGCAGTCACAGGGTTCGAGCCGCCGACAGACTCTTTCTGCCCGAGTTTGGAGACGAAGGAGCGGATCGAGGTGGACCGCGGGATCGAGATTGTGAGCGAGTCGAGAAGAGCGAGAAGTGGTCAGCGCGGGTTCGTGGGCGTGTGAGGATGGGCGAATCGACGCTGCGCACCTTTCCCATGCCTTCGCCGCTGCACTTGGTGGACGACGCCCGCGTCCGGAGCGAGATGAGGTGGGGCTGCGTCGACGAGGACGAGGCGAGCGAGAGGCGCGCGAGCGGTGCGCGCTGGACGAGTGTGCGGAGTGTGAGCATTGTACTGGGTGTGTGAGAGTCTTCAAAGCGTCGTAAGAGTGTAAGAAGAGAGCGAGACGAGTGTTCTCCGGAGCGACTCGCAAGAGAGCAAGTGCGTCATGCCAAGTTGCGAAGGTCGCTCATTGGCCAGCAAGGGCACGGCGAGGACAGCGTCTGTGAGGCTCCATAGACTCTGTGTGAAGGGAATTCGAGGCTGGAGAAACCAACGGAGTCCAAGCAAGCGAAGCGGAGGGAGGAGCGACATCGAGGGGGACGAGAAGCACCACGACGAAGGAGTGAACGCCGCTGTGCAGCTGGCAAATGCATGGAATGGGTTGAACTCTATCTACAAAACGAGAGAGGGGGAAGGAAAGGACGCGGGATGAGTGCGAGAGGCAGAGGGAAAGGGGCGAGCGCATCAAGCGTCTTCACCTCGTCAAGTCCCGCGTTCCTCACGCCTATCGCCACGCCGAGTGTCTATGCGCACCTGTACGCTCCACCTGTCCACCGCCACTGCTCCTCATTTGCCGCCATCCTGCCCGCCGCTCACATGTGCCGCCTGTACCTGATCCCGTCGCCCGCCTCCTCCTGCCTCACATCATCATCCGAGATGAGGTGCTCTCCAAACTCCGCCGCATGGTGGAGGTGCACGTCCTGCGTCGTCGATCCAGCCTGCGCCGCCGCCTCGGCCGCAGCCTTCTCCCGCGCAGCCTTGACCTCGTCCCACGGCACCTCGGTGTAAGGCGTCGGGTCGGGCGGAGCAGGCGCAGGGTCTCCCGCGCCAGCCGGTCCGAAGATCTGCAACTCGGCGAGAGCGACCTTGAGCGCGCAGACCCACTTGTTCCGGCGCTGGACCTTGAGAGCGCCGTTCTGCCAGTTGCCCTTGTAGTTGATCGGAGCCGAGAGCGAGAGCTTGCCTTGGGCGGCAAAGTCTTGGACGGTGATGTCGATGGTCGGGACAAAGTCGCGGCGCTCTTGCTGGAGGAACTCGAGCATGCGCGCGCGGAGCGCTTCGATCTGTGCGCGACCGAGAGCTGCTCAGCATACCGCTGCGGGCGCAGACTGCGCGACAGAGTAAGACAACTGCGGTAGCGCACCTTCTCGAACGACGTGCCAAAGTCGACGTCGAAAGTGAACGTCTCCGAGATCGAGTTGGAGCGGCGGTAGCTGCGACAGACCCTGATCAGCACCTCTCCCCTTCAAGTTGAAAGAGTTGCGAACGCACTTCATGACAAACTTGGTGTTGAGCAACGAATGCGGCGCCTGCGTGACGGTCCCATCGATCTTTTTGAACACGGTCGACAAGAGGTGCATCTCGAGGACGATATAGTCGACGGCGTCGATCGAGACGCGGTCGCCGACGTCGTACGGGTGCTTGATGAAGAGGAAGATGACCGAGGCGAGGATCTCTTGAGCCGTCGTACCGATCAGCCACGAAAGACCGAGGATGAAGGTGCCGGCTCTGCGCAAGGGTATGCGAGTAAGCGGCGTACCTCCTGCAAGCAATTCGCGCGCGCGCGCGTTGAAGCCCAACGCCGCTCGAAACGAGGAGGTCCACGCACCCAGCAATCATCGTCTGGAACGACGCATCGAGCAATCCGACCATGATCAGGATCGCGACAACATACCAAATCGACATGATGATATTGTCAAGCCTGCGTGACGAGCATGAGAGTCAGCTGACATTCCCCATCGCACAAGCCGGCCCAGCGACGAAACTACTCGTGCTGAGCGAGCGGCGAGCGGCACGGGCGAGCTGACGCACCTGCCTACGGCCGAGTCGATATCGCGCATGCTCCTGCCGAGCGCGAGGCGCTCGCGGTGGATATCGAGGCAGGCCATCTCGACTTCGTCGAGGGTGGCGTCGCCATTCAAGTCGCGGTCAAAGATGGCGAATGCCTGTGCGTTTCACGTTCAAGCTCAAGGACGTCAGCGGGTCGCTCGAATGGGCGAGCAGTGACGAAGGCGAAGGTGACGGTCTGAACGCACCCTCTCTGCCTCCTCGCGGTTCGGGAAGCACCGCTCGATATCGGTAATGACCATCCCTTCGCGGTACTGGGGCGTGAACGAGTAGTAAATCCTCCTCGCAAGCTGCCTCGTCTTGTTCGTCGACTGCAGCGCAGAAGTGACCATCGAAGGGGGCGAGTTGGGCTGGAGAACTCGTTCGCCCGCGATTTCGGACGCGACGGTGCCGATCATCGTCGTGGCCGTTTGGGCGGCTTTCTGAGCGCCTTTGAGCGCTTTCTTGATGAGCAAGGTCGGGTCGGAGACTTGGCGCTTGTTGCGTGGACGCTTGAAGGCACCGTCGAGCGTGTCGGACCTGCCGATGTCGCGCGAGCTGCGCGCGTTCGACCGAGTCAGTCAGACGCCTCCTGTAAGCTCGAGAGCGCGCACGCACTTGAGGTAAAGGTTGACAAGCGCGCCAATCTGGAACTTCTGCTCGATGATGCGGTCCTCGTACGAGCGCTTGTGGAAGTTGTGCGCGATGACCTGGATGATGAGCTTCTCGATGAGGAGGATGACGAGGATGATGAAGATGCCGAAGAGGCCTTGGGTGATCAAGTAGAGCGTGTTGTCCGACTTGTTTGCCTGTTCGTGGCGCCGGATGAGCGGGAGGAACGAGATCCAATTCGCTGCGTTCGCAAAGAGGACATGTTAGCAGCCGCTCCACGACGAGACTAGCGAGCCAGCGAAAAGCTTTGCGCATGCCGGTCGAGAAGAGCGAAACTCACCCAGCGCCCATCCCGCCAAGCTCGCGTAAAACCGGATCGCCTTGACGTAGGCGATGTAGTGGCGCAGCTCGGGCGCGACCACACCGAGCGTCTTGTTGAGGAGCGTAGGGCCGAGGCGTCCGACTGCAGGAGGCAGAGTCATGACGTGGGACGGGGAGGATCGGAAGGGGCTGGGAACGCACCGAGCATGGCGCCCCAGTAGCCAGTCCAGACGACGGTGAGCCAGATGGACCACCAGACGAGTTCGACAGTCCAGATCGTCGCGCCGTGCTTCGAGGACCACTGGACGATGGCGGGAATCCAGAGGATCGCGAGGACGGGAAGGATGTAGATCGTCCAACGAACGATGTAGTGCGAGTTGTAGATCGCAAAGACCATTCTCGAGAACCAGTTCGTCGGGCGGATAAAGTCTCCATCGGCGAACTGGACGTTCGGGTTCGAACTCGCGGCGGACCAGCCTCCGTTCGGCGTCTGCGCGCCCGTCCCGGGCCCACTGTCGCCGAGTCGGCCGTACGGCGAGTTCCCACCCGCAGGACCGCTCCATTGTCCAAGTCCACCGCCGCGCGAACGCTCGGCCGACCGCGAGCGAGGTGTGCTGTACCCGCTTCCGGGCGCCGACGTCCCGCCTTTCTCGTTCATGCCCGAACCGTACATCTTCTCTGCACGGTCAGACTGCGGCAGCTTGACGCTCGGGCCGGGGTGGACAGGCCTCGAGTCGACGTGCGTCTCGAGTTCGACGTGCGAAGCCCCGCGCGAAGACTCGTCGACGGCGTCCATGTGCGAGCCGGTGGGGAGGTACGCTCCACCTGCTGCGGCTGCGCGAAGCTGGGTGCGCGAGTTGTGCGTCGAGAGAGAAGTGCGAGGGAGCGAGTTGCTCAAGTCGCCTGTCTCGTCGTCGCCGGTCGTGAGGGGCCCATAGTGCTCGACAGGATCGAAGCCGCCGCCGCTCGGTTGCGACGGGTCACCGAGTGAAATAGCCGTGTACGGCTCCTCGGCAGTCGACTGGGCCTGCTGCTGCTGCGAGCGTGCAAAGTCGTGTGCGGTGAAGGCTGAGGCGGTTTGCGACGAACCGAGGTTGGGTGACGTGTCGTAAGCGAGTGGCGTCGTCTCAGTCGACTGCAATCCCGGTGCGTACGCGCGCGACGGAGCTGCGGTGGATGCGGGAGGGTACGAGGTCGGGATGGGAGGAGCGGAGGGTCCAGTGTTGGCGCGGTCTGGCGCTCCCTGGGCACGCGAGCGGGACGAAGACCGCTCCGAGTAGCTGTGCGGTGTGTTCGCCCCCGACATGGGTCCTGCCAGAGGTCGTGTGCGATGAGCGAGGGTGGTCGATGCGATCAAGCTGCGGGTCGTTGGTGGTGCGTCCGCCTGGGCGTGTGAGCGTGTGCGTGTACGTGTGTGTGTCGTGAGAGTCGTACAGTCGCAAGCAAGCACCACAACAATCTATTCAAGAGCAAGCGCACACCGAAAGAGCGCCAGCGCTGCGACGACGCGCGACCCTCTTCGTCATCCAAAGGGTCCCGCAAAGCTTTTCCTGCAAAGTGTGCAGTGCATTCCCACGATACCACCAGTCTACTGTGTGCAAAGGGAAGCGAAGGATGCGAGATGTGTATCGGTTCTTTTCGCGTGCTGCCGACGTCGAAGCCGGGCGAGAGCTCGAGGAGCGCATCGCCTTGTCGCGTCTGCAGGGCGTGGAGAATGGGTCAGCGGCTTGTGAAGAGCAGCTGGGAGCGACTTGGAAAGGAGAGCAGCGGAAAAGAAGCCGGAGGGGGGCCGGCAGCGGCCGGGAAGGGACGAAGAGGCGCCTTCGTAGGGAGTTCATCACGCAGAGGGAGGCGAGACGGGCAAGGAAGGTGAGGACGCACACTGTCCAGTCGAGCAAGCCCTTCCGTCTATGCGCCCAAGCCCCTCCTCGTACCCTTGACGACCGCCGAAACGGGCTCGAGGATACCGCCCGACAGGCCGATCTGCGCGCCTTCCGTCCAGCTGTGCGTGGCGAACGACGACACCGAGGTCAGCAACGGCGAGCATATGAGGCCGGCGTGTTCTGCCCGTTGAAGCGAAGCAGGACGCACCCCATCTTCTTGAGCAGCGCAAAGCCGACGTTATCTTCGCCAAGCTTGTCCGCCTGTGAAACATTCGCAGGGACAGCGAACACCGTCAGCCTCGAAACGTGATCTGAAAGCGCAAGCGAAGCGAGACGCACCCCTTCGCCGACGACGGCACCCTCGCTGTTCTTGCCCAGCCCGCCTCCTCGTCCGCCCGCACCGAACTTGCCCTTCCCGCTCGCTCCCTCAAGCGCCTTCCACAACCCCGCCATCTTCCCACCCCCTCGTCCCCTCCTCCCAATCCCGCCAAACGCCTCGTACCCATCCTCGAGCTCGTTCTCCCCCTCGGCCGTCCCAACAATCGCCCTGACCCTGCGCTCGCTGACGCCGATAACAGTCGTCTTGCTCGTCCGCTCGAGCACAGGGAAGCGCGAGTTGCCCTTGCCCATCGAGCGACTCTTGAGGCCATACACCTCGGCCAAGAGATGCACCGCAATCCTCGCCTTCTTGCTCATAGGCGGGAGGGAGACGCTCTGTTCCCCAATCTCGTTGACGATAAAGTGCCGAATGCGACGATTGACAGTCGCAGCGTCGTTCGACTGGTCCGCCGCTTCCCGCGCAGCCTTGAGAGCCTTCTTGCCCTTCTTGCCGCCCTTGGTGCGGTACGAGTCGCGGTACTCGGCTTCGTTTTGCGACGCGCGGAGGGCGGCTCGTTCGGCCTTCTTGCGCGCTTTCGACTGCCGGTCGAGGTCCCATTGCGCGGCGAGTGTCGACGAGAAGGCGCCGCCGAACGATTTGTCCTTCTTGCGCTGCTTCTTCGACACTGCAGAGCGGCGAGACGTCAGCGACGACAAGAGCGGGGAAGTAACATAAGTAGGCTGAGACTCACTCGACCCAAACCCTCTCTCCTCCTCCTCCGCAAACATCGCCTCGATCATCTCGTCATCCAAATCCTCCGCATCGTCGTACAAAGCGACGTCTTCAAAGTTGCCCTCGGAGATAGCTTTGAAGAGCTTGTTGCGCTCGCGGCGGTTTGCGCGGCGGGCTGCTCGGCCGCCTTGGGCTGTTGAGAGGAGATCGGCGTTGGCGCGGACGGCGTTCTGCGGGAGTCGAGATGAGTCAGTGTGCACTCATGGCGCAAACCAGCACAGAACAGCTGCGACACCGACCGATGCTGAAGCGAACGAGAGACGCACCTGCACACGGGCTATGTACTCCTCGTCTCGGTCCGCCCAGGTATCGTTACCCTGGAACAGCATCGCCTCGTCATCGTCATCGTCGTCCTCGTCCTCGTCACTCTCCTCCATTGCACGCATCTTGCCCTTCCGCTCCCGCCTGCGCTCCTTCTTCCGCTCGCGCTCTGCCTTCCGACCTCCTCCGCCTGCTTGGCCCATCATGCTCAGCCGCACCGTTCCTCCGGCCAAGAGAGCTTCCGCGACGTCGAGACCTTCGGCTTCCGAGTCGGTTGAGGAGGAGAGGGAAGAGTCGAAGTCGGAGGCTTCGCTCGAGTCGGTGGCGATGGAGAGAGAGTGCTCCACTCTGCGAGCGCGGAAGATCAGCAGGGAGTGGTTGGCGAAGGGAGGAGAGGGACGCACTGGCCATCTGCATCGCCCAAAGCATAGTCCATCTCGAGCTCGACGTCCGAATCGACTTCCTCGCTCATGTCCTCCTCCTCGCGGGCCAAGCGCCGGATATACCGCTCCTCGTCGTCCTCCTCGTCATCGCTCGTCTCGTCCTCGTCCGAGTCATCCTCATCCGAGTCCTCGTCCGACGTACCCCACTCAGCGTCTTCCGCCTCCTCGACGAGCCGCCGGTCCAAGTCGTCGCCGCGCTGATGCGTACCCGCAAGTCCGCCGACGGCACCCTTAGCGAAGGCAGCGAGGACAGCCATACTGTCGTCTCCTTCGTCGAAGTCGGCGTTCTGGAGGTAATCCTCCTCCGTCCGCTGCTTCTGTCGCGCCCGCTGATCGCGCTTACTCCGCCCCTGAACCTGCCGCTGCGCCTCCTCCGCCTCCTCGATGCTCATCTCGATAGCCAGCGCCAGCTCGATCTCCTCCCTTGTCGAGCCAGCCGCAATCAACCGCTCGAGCTTCTCCGCCTGACGCTGATCCGCCCGCTGCTGGCGCTGCGCCTGCTTCTTCGCCCTTCCAGGGGCTTGAGCGCGTGCGCCGAGACCGACGGGAGGAGGCGAGGCTGAGCCCCAGTCAAGGTCCGAATCATCCATCCTCGGCTGGCCCTCCTCATGCTCCTGCTCCGCTCCACCGTTCACCTCTTCCTCATCGCTCTCCTCATCTTCGTCCAACTCAGCGAGCATGTCATCGACACCCGCCGCACCCTGTAACCGCGCAAACATCTGCCTTCCCTCCTCCAAATCGTCCTCGTCCTCCGCTCCCAGCATCTTCCCACCGCCAAGATGCGCGTTCCCGCTCCTGGCATGTGCGCGACCGGTCTTACGAGCAATCTTGGATGCTCGCTTTAGAGCCTTCTTTGATTTGTGAGCGGGAGCGGTGGGGAGAGCGGGGTGAGGCGCTTTCGGTGCGGGAGGTTTGACGGAGGGCGTCGGGAGAGAGGTGAAGTCGAGAGTCTCGGCCTGGACGGGCTCCGCCGGCGGAGGACGGGTGGAGGTGACGGGGTCGGCGTGAGAGACGGCACGAGGAGGGTAGACGACCTGCTCCTCGTCTTCATCGGAGGAAGAGGATTCGGCCGTGTCGTCGCGCTCGACGAGTGCTGCCGGAGGAGGAAGAGTCGAAGAAAGCTCGACAGTGACGTCCGAGCGGGTGACGGAGATTTCGAAGAGGGGAGGTTCATCGTCAGCCGGAGAGTCGGGTCGAGACGGCTCGGTCATTGAGGCGGGCGTGTCCTCCGCCTCGACAGCATCGGCGGGCTGAACACGCGAGCCGAGGCCGGGATGAGCGGTCGAAGTGGCGGCATGGACATCTTCAAGCTCGTCGAGCGCCATCGTCGCAGTCGTCTCGGGCTCCGGCTCGAAAGCCGTCTCGGGCGGAGGTCCTTTTCCGACGTCGCCGTCGTATAAGTCCATCCTTCCGACCTTGTCGGCGAGCGCTACGTCGGCTGATGAAGGTTTAGGAGGCGCTTCGGCGCCCGCCTTCTCCAGCCCATGCTCGTCCTCCCCGCCAACCGTGCCGAGTCCAGCTCCGGAGGCCTTGACGAACTTGACCGGTACAAGGAGCGGGTTGTACTCGCCTGGCGAGGACGAATAGCCTCCGCGGCCAGGCGTGAACGAGCCAGACGTTCCTCCTCGTCCGCGAGCGTTGAAGACGCCAAGTCCCTGATGCGGTACTCCTCGGAAAGCGCCTCGTCCGCCTTGCCCGTAGCTTCGCCCGTGCTCTGGCGTAGCGGCGCCGCTCCTGTTGGGCGTTCCACCACGACCTCCTCCTCGAGGGAAGCCTGCACCGCCCCGTCCGCCTCGTCCACCGCGAATGGGCGTCGAGTAGCCAGTCTGGGCAGGCGAGTGCGTCGTAGAGTACTGCTGGGGCGTAGGGATAGGCTGAAAGACGGGCGAAGCGTTGAAGCCTGTCCGTTCGTCACGACAGCTGATGAGGTCAACGTGCGACGCCAGGGATCGCAGGGAAGAGGCGGAGCGCACCGAGCATGCCGTCCTGGACAAGGTCTGCATAGTCGAACGTCGCCATCGAGTAGTCTGACCGCACCGCTGCTCCCGCGCCTCCTCGTCCTCGACCGCGTCCTCGAGGAGCGAATCCGCCTCGTCCTCCCCTTCCTCCGCGTCCGCCGCGCGGTGTGCCAGCGTCGTTCGGTGTTCCTCGACCGCGGTTCTGCCCACGAGCCATAGCCAAGCGAGAAGAGCGAGTGACGATTGAAGTGGCGGATCTAGAGATGTCAACTTCGCGCTGAGGATGGCATCGACCGTGGATTGACAGCTCTCCTTTGGCTGGCGGACTTTCCGGGTCTCACAAGCAGTGACGACGGAGAGCAGAGCGCTCAGCGAGCTTCGAAACGGAGCGATAACGTCGTCTGCGTTGCGGCGAGTCTCTACGAAGAGAAGGAGCATACGGCGAGCGACGATGCTGGGTGCGTCAATGCCGGTACTCTTGTCAGCCGCGAATCACGACGGAGGAACGAGGGGATCGTAATGAGGGAAGGATGGGTACGACGGCGAACGATGTGCATGTGCGGCGAAGAAAAGAGAGCAAAGGGCTAGGGAAAGAGGGGGGATGAGGGGGAGGAATGAGATCATGGGGAGCTCGAGCGGTGATTGACGTACCTCTGAGCAAGCAAGGAGAGCGAGATCGCGAAGAAGCTGGGTGCGTCGATGTCGCCCTTGTCAGCCGGCTGGTTCACACTTGGTTCACACCATTCTGGGTAACTGAATCCACAACCTTGACGACGACGACGCGCTGCAGGGGATTGTAGATAGGAGGCAGCCCAGGCGAAGACCGACGCACCTGCCTGCGAGTCTTGCGGGAGAGGGCAAGGCTACGAGCTGCGAGAAGGTGACTACGTCAGTGCCGCGGCCGATGTAGGCGTTACCATGTCTACAGCTCACGCGATAGTATGACACACCTCGAAACCTTGACGCCGGGTCGAGCGAGACGGGCCTAAGTGCGTCGAAGCCGGTCTTGTCAGTCCTCCTGACCTCGGCATTCGAGGTTGCTCCATCTCGTCCCCACACGTGCGGTTGTGCACGATGCTCTCATTCGAGAGCTGGACCGCATGTCCACTGACTTGCGATGCTGCAAGTCCCTTCGTTTGAAGGGAGGAAGAACAGCCCGATCAGACTGCGACGCACCCGGTCAACATCCCGCGCCACCGCCCCGCCAACGAGCGCCACTGCGTCCGGGACGGACTTGACGCTGCCGGAATCAAGAAGCGTACGTCGATGACTTCGACGTCGAGTCGAAACTTGAGAAACCTGGGTGCGTCGATGCCGACCTCGTCAGTCCCTCGTCCCATGGCGTCAGATCGGAGCATTGATGCGGATCGAATGCTAGGTGTGAGCGACTCGCGGGCGTGACCCGGGGGGTGCGGCCGCAGACGAGTGCTGTGAGACCCGCTCTCGAACGCGAAGTCGGTACGCGCGAGCTTCTGAGCGCCGAGAACCCGAGTACTGGTCCAGCTGAGCCAGCTGACGGCGTAGCCCATGTTCTAACCGTGGCGCTGTGCGGGACACAGCGGGGTGGAGAGGGAAGGCCCGGACGGAGATCGACGCACCGTGAGTTGCGGGATGGAAGAGTTGAGGGGCGAGGTCGAGACGCAGGCGGATCTGCGGAGGAAAAGGTAGTGAGGCGGATTCGAAGTGGATCAGGGGGACCCTCACCTTGGAGGTGGAGCCGCGGAAGGAGCGAGCGAGCGAGACGATCTGCGAGAGTGCGTCGCCCTCAGCATCTTGTCGATCCTAAAACGCAGGCTAGAACTTTTTGTGGTTTTGTGGTTTTCGGGGACGCAGCGGACGGAATCGATCAGGAGACGAGGCTCTGTCGGAGTTTCGCGTTTCGGGACAGAGGGTGGCCGCGGACGGCGACTGGAGAGGGTCGGAAAGCTCGACACTGGGGCGACGCACCTCTTGAGGCGAGGAAATCAAGCTGCGAGGCCAATTGTCAGCCCAGCGAAGTCGAAGCGAAAAGGCGGGGACACGCACCCTGAAGTTGGTGTCGCTGACGAGCGGGAGCCTTGATGATCGGCAGCCCTCGAAGCCTTGTCCGTCTTGACGAGCGTGTCGAGTCGGCATCGGGAGCGAGCACCTATAGGAGGACGTCGCCCTCAACACCATGTCAAGCCGTGCGCATACGACAGCTGCTGCGGCGAGGGCGCTGAATGTGCTCCTCGCACGACTATCGGACCTCATATAGAGGAGCTGGATGATGATGGTACGCCGACGGAGGCGCAGGCGATAGCGACGGAAAGTCGAAGGACAGGGTGAAGAGATGTGGTCGGCGTAGCCGAGGAAAGTTGTATCCTCACGGTAGAGCTGGTGGAACGGGTAGTCGGGGATGGCATGTCGCATGTGCCCGAGGGGCAGGAGGGGAGTGGAGAGAGCTGCTGCCGTTCGACCCGGGTCGCTCCACTCGGGTGCGGAGTGCCGGCTCAACAGGCAGGCTGAGGTGCTGGGGCGACGTACGGGGTGAGGGTTTCCTTGTCAGGCAAGACAAGCTGCTAGCAGGGGCGTTACGGTCAGCTCTGAGCGCGAAGAGGCGAGCAAGCGGGAGACTTGCCAGGCGAAGCGACCATTTCCTCCTCAGATCCGCCTCGCAACCTCCTGCTCCGCCATCCCGCCGCTTCCGAATACTTGATGAAGCGCTGAACGGCAAGTCGGGGCCGTCCGAGCGCTTGCGAGCGCGTGAGAGCTGTCGAGGCGGGAGAAGAGGTGTGGGCGGGTGAGGCGGTCTAGCGGTGCAGCACCGCGATAGGGCACCGCGGGAGGTCGATCGGCTCAAACGAGTGATCGGTCCTCAAGCAGCAGCAGCACTTCTGAGCCAACCAGAGCGCGTGAGGCGGAAGTCGAGTGAGCGTCGCGAGGGAGAGAGGCGTGAGCGGGTCGTCGAGCGGTGTCGCCCGCTACGCGAGAGCGTTGTCGCCTCCGAGGTGCATTCCTGAACCTCCAAGTGCCGCCCAGTGGCTCTCCCATCCCTTCGCGAGCCGTCCGCCTTGCCGTGCAGACCTCATCAACACCAGGGCGTGAGGTCCGACTGTGAGATGACGAGGGCATCGCAGGCGTGAACGACGGGTGTAGCAGGATCTCAAGACTCAGCAGGATCGTCCACAGGCGTAGTGCTCATCCGCAGCGGTTGCGGGTGAGAGGGAGAAGGGAGAGGGAGGAGCGGGCGAGAACAAAGGGACACGGACGTCGTCGATGAGCTGAGTAGTATATGGCCTCGCTTACGTTCTCGCGAGCGAGAGAAGTGGGAGAATAGCCGCAAGGTACAGCCCGCTAGCGCGACGCTGTGGCAAACTTGTCGTCCTCCTCCTCCTCGTGCCTAGGCCTTTAGATAACGACGAGTAGCGATGACAAGCAGCAAGTCCTCTCCAGCGCGACAAGCACGAAGTTATGACGTTGCAGCCCGCGATCTAGTGCTTCCGCGTCCAGCGGCGTGCCTCCTACTCCTCCCGTGCGGGAGACTGTCGGAAGGCAAGCTCGATTTGAGCGTCGGTGTTCATCACTGCGGCGCGATGAGACTTAGAAAGGGAGTGAGGAGTGAGGTGGAGGAAGGCGTGCACACCTTGGCTGAGAGGTGCCGAACTCGCTCGAGCCGACGTAAAAGCCTGGGTGTGTCGATGTCGCCCACGTCAGCCAAGCAGTATACGACGCGGAATACTCGGGCGCTGCAAACGCAAACCCTTCCTGCGGGCGCTGGTAGAAGTTGGGCAGCCCGGACGAAAACCGACACACCTGGTCGTGAGTTGGCGGAAAGACGAGTCTGGGTGCGCCGGTGCCGTCCTCGTCAGCTCAGGTGCATTCTCTTCACCATCTAGCCTGTTAACAAGATGTCGCGGCTGGTCGGCGGCGGCATAACCGCGAGAACACCGCAGGGAATCTCGATCTCCTCGACGCCCAAGCGATTCTTGAAGCCCTCGAACGCCTCGACCCCCGTCAAGTACATCCTGCACTCGTGATCTGTCTGACCAAGACGAATCTTGCGACGATCCAGCGAGTTAGAGCAGCTCGGACGGGGACCGACGCACCAGGTAAGCGAGACGTGAAGCTGAGTTGGCTTGCGTGACCTGGGTGCGCCAATGTCGCCCTCGTCAGTCAAAGATGTTGTAATTGATATTCTGGATGTTATAGCGCTGCGGACGCGTGTACGGATTGGACAGCCCGGGCGAGGATTGACGCACCTTGCGCCAGACCTTGACGAGCGGAAGGTGTCCGAAGTCTACGTGCGCCAGCGCCGTCCACGTCAGCTCTCAGTTCGTCTACCGCTCAGCCTGTAAGGAATGTTGCGGCCTGATCGGTAGCATTTCCACCTCCTGGTGACCGCGTCTTTCCCCATCCCGGAGACCTCCACGAGCCCCACCGGCGCTTCTCGCACATCCTACCCTTCAGATTTGCCACAAGCAGCGATCCATCAAGTCGAGAGCAACTCGTACGGTAACTTACTCACTGTGAGAGATCTGAAGGCTAAGCCGGCGTGAAGAATCTGGGTGCGTCGATGTCGCCCTCGTCAGTCTGCATGTAGTGCCAGTTTGCATGACGCTCTGCTAGCGATGGTAACCTCGAAAGACAGCCCGGGCGAGGATCGAAGCACCTCCAAGAAATCGCCAGCGCGCATCAAATCTGGGTGCGTCGATGCCGTTCTCGTCAGTCCGCTGAAGTACATGTGTTCAAACCATGAAAGATGACGAAGAAGCCTTGTCCCGCCTGTAAGGATGAAGGGACAGCCCGAACGGAGACCGACGCACCTGCGTCAAGCAGAATCGAGAAGCGAGACGAGCGACTAGCTCGTCGGTGCTTCTCCTCTGAGACCCCCGGCTCGAACGTGTCGTGCCAGCGTTCGAGAGTCGAGTCCTGCGCGCTGTGGAGAGAGGTGCGCCGCCTCAGTTCCTGTCGAGCCGACCGAGAATCATTCGCCAGGTGAGAGCTCCCAAGTTCGCGACGGCTCGATCGGTGCCGCATGCGCGTCGCGCTCTTGCTTAGTCACGACCGCGACCGATGTTCGTGGCATGCGAGAGGGGGAGGAGCAGCGACGACGAGGGGAAGCTCCAGAGGGAGTTGAGCGGGCACAGATCGGCCGCGTCGGCCAGCAAGCTGGGACTGAAGCGACGCACGTGTTGAGGTTCTCGGTGTCGACTAATCTGCAGGCCTGGAAGGCTGTCAGCTCGGCAGGGAGAGGGGCAGCTAAGACCTCGACTCACGTCCGTTCGAGCGAGACGTGCAGCAACTCCGCCGCCGATCCTGAGGCAGCTGACGAGCGTGTGTATCCAGCCTGTCCATCACCATCTTCGCGAGTACTCGTCGATGAAGTCGAGGAGGTCTGAGCGGCGAGGCGAGGCGAGGGGGAGTCGAGGGAGCGTGGGAGGGCTCGCGAGCGATAGTAGCGGCATGTGTGAGTCGGTTGTGACTTGTGACACCCCTTTTCGAGCCGATCTAGCGGCTGTCACGAAAGCGAGTGAAGCGGAAGAGGAAGAGAGGATGAGAAGCGAAGTTGGCGTGTACAGGCAACGAGGAGCGATGAGCGACCAGCAGCGGCGTCTACGTAGAGTAACAACGTGAAACCAGGTCTATAGTACCAGCAGAAGCAGAGGTATTCGGAGCGAGTCTCGCGGAGACGTGCATGACTCGCGCAAAAGACCCGGCAACGACCGCCTCTCCTACCGAGAAGCATTCGTACGTCCTTGGGAGTCCATCTTCACCGTGGATACCTCACCTCGTCGTCGTTGGCACTGCGAGATTGGTGGGTGCGGCGACTCTGGGCGGACGACTTGACTCTCTGTCGGAAGTCGTAACAATTGCGCCGGGAGGAGGCGCGGATGGTAGGGAGAATCGTGTCGCTATATAAGATATTTGATAGCGAGGCGAGAAGGGGTAGAAGGGCGGAAGGAGTCGACGCCGTGAGTCGAAAGGGAGAAGAGTAGTTCTGGCGGATGGTGAAGAGGGCGAGGTCGAGGTGCAGTGCGAGGCGGGCGTGATTCGGCCCGAAATGAGGGAGACACGGGTGAGCTGTCATGAGCATACGGCGGAAAACGCGAGCGCATTGCGCGGGTGAGGCGTGACAAGGTAAGTAGAAGGGGCCGCCTTTGACGTAACAGTCGACTTTCGACTGGTTCGTGTCGGTGACGAGGGTTTCGAAGCAGATGGCCCGCAGGTAATGGAGGCATTGGGACCGGCCTGCAAGCGAACCAAGTCAGCTTGGGCGGCTGAAAAGGAAGGAAACTCCTCGCCGCACAACACGAGCGCTCCTCCGCCTCCCTCGCACTCGCCGATCATCCGGTCCGAAGCCGCTTCTACGCACTTGGGCTCTGTACGCATGATGCCAGGACGGTCAGAAGTTCAGCGGAAGCCCGCCCGTCCCAGCGGCAGACCCGTCCGGGCAGTTAAGCGAGGGGGAGAAATCCGTCCGTGGTCGCGCCGTTCAGGTTGCCCCAGTACTGCTCCCACGACTGCTTCTCGTATTCCTTGTTTGAGCTCGGCAGCCCTATACTGCTCCAGAGCCTTCAGAACCTGCGTCTGAGGTGTTGTTGAGCAGGCGGTCGAGGGGAAGGTGTTTTGGACAAGTGGGCGGTCGGTTGCCGCTTGTAAGACTGCCGGCAGCGTCGCCGTTGCTGCAGACGCGGAGAAAGCATCTTTGGCGGATCCACACGAGCGTGTCGGTGGACGAGGTTCCGTCATAAACAGACGAGAGATGGAGCGGGTGAACAGCGAGAGAGCGTGCGGGAGGCGGAGAATCGCTGTGCGGTCTCAGCGAGTAGGGCCTGTCTCGTGCAAGCTGGCTGGAACAAGCGCGGCGCTTGAGCTGTGTGTGATTGAAGAGGAAGCGGAAGCGGCACCTCTCTTGGAACTGACCCTCGCTCGCTGGACCCGCTGTTCGCGTTGAGACGATCGCTATAGTGCTCGAGTACTGTCAGGCTCTCCTGCCATGCCCGCCAGCCAACTCGCGAAGCGCGGGCAATCCTCCATATCCTCCTCTCCTCCCGTTCCCTCGTACATCCTCCGTGGTCACGCTGCCTCGGTCTCCTGCGTCCGTTTCTCCCGCTGTGCCAGGTTCATCTTCACTGGGTGCGTCCAGCGAGTCGAGCGGGTCAAGGGACGACGAGTGCTGACCACAATCCTCGCTCTCGCAGCGACACGGATGGCTTCGTCGCAGTCTGGGACTTGCAGTCGTTCCGTCCACGTTTCTTCTGGAAGGCGCATGAGCAGGGAGTGCTGAGTGTCGCGGAGCATGGGAACGGGATCTTAACGTGAGCTGCAGTTCGCTTCGTTTATCTCCTCGAACTCTCGGCCGGAGGATTCTGACCCCGAGCGCTCGCAGACAAGGCCGCGACAACATGGTACACTTCTTCCGCCTCACCACACCCTCTGTCCAGAACGGGACAGCCACTACTCTCGACCACGGCGCCGCGACAGCCGTTCCCTCTCCCTCTTCTCCTTCAACTGGGATCAAGCCAGCTTGGTCGATCGACGTCAATGCGATGAACTTCTGCCGGATGAGCGTGATGCGCCTCGGCGATAGGAAGGGCAAGGGAAAGGAGCGCGAGGGTCAGGTTGACGCGATGCCGGAGGAAGCGCTGATGGCCGTGCCGAGCTTGACCAAAGACGACTTTGTGCGTCTCTCACTTGGGTTGGTAGCAGTACATACGCTGACTCGGTTCGCGCAGGTTGACATCTTCCACGTTCCTTCAAAGGCCCGCCTTCATCGTTCGGTCGGCAAGGATGCGTTCCCGCTTGGCGTCAAGACGGGTGAGCAGGCGCTCCGTTAACCGCTTGCTCATTTTCTGACGTTCTCGCTTCGCTTGCATAGGCACCATCATGGCTCTTCACCTCTTCCACTTACCATCGTCTCGTCCGCCCGATCCAGATTCCTCCGCCACCTTGTCTACCGCTCCCGAACCCTCAACATCTGCACACGTATCCTCCCCCTCTTCGGCAACTTCGGAGACGCCACCTCCCGCCCCACAGCTCCACCTCCTGATCGGCTACGAGTCAGGCCACCTCGCCCTCTTCCGCTTCTCGCCCACCGCTTCCTTCGAACAACTAGACGGCGATTCCGAGCGAGTTCAAGGCGTATGGGCACCGAAGGAAGGCAAGATGGTTGAGGAGAACGAGGGATGGGAGCTAGTGTGGAGTGAGAAAGGGCATCGAGATGCTGGTGCGTCCGCTTCCTTCGCTGTTCGGCGGTGTTCGTCAGTCATCTGACACGGCGCGAACAGTCATGTCGCTCGCCGTCACGCGAGATCATCGCTTCGCCTTCACGGTCGCAGCAGACCACTTCATCTGCAAGTACCGCGTCTTCGACATCGTGCGTCGCATTCCTCCTCTCCTACGCCCAATGTGACTCACTAGATCTTAACAGAACGAACAAGAAGCGCTCTTGCCGCGGATACACGTCGAACCGACGGTTTCGCCTGGCAAGTCGGCTGTCGCCGTGCGGAGCGACGGGAAGTTGCTGGCAACGGCGGGCTGGGACGGCGAGTGCGTGCATCTCTGGCTCCTCATTTTCCCAGTCATGTGGTTGACTGACACTGCTCAACTGCGCGCTTCCACGCAGGCTGCGACTGTACTCGGCCAAGTCGCTTCAACCCCTCGCCGTCCTTTCTCACCACCGCTCTTCCCTCCAAGCACTCGTCTTTGCGCCGCTCGAACCCGACGAGGCTAGCTTTCTCGTCGACAGCAACGACGATTCGGACAGTGAGGACGACGGGGGGAGGGGGAAGGGAGGAAGAGCGAAGGCATGGTTTGCGACGGGTGGACAGGAAGCGAAGGTCTCGCTGTGGGAGGTGTATCCACCGTCATGGTGACCGAGTTGGCCGCTTCTGCGGCGGCAGGAACGCAAGAGGGTTCGCCGAGGAGGTGAACGGGCCTTTCGTCGAGGGTTCCCTGCAATCACTCCTTCCGCCTCGCCTGGCCATTCCTGCCTGTGGAGGCGGTCGACTTCATTGTCCCTTCAGGACAGCGCAAGCGCAAGGACAGATGTTGCGAGTTGTACGAAGTTGACTTTGTGCGCCAAGTCCGCCTCGACCCTTGTCCACACCCGTCGACAAGAGCGCTGGCTGCTCTTGCGCTTTCGCTTACTGCTCGATAGACCACACATTCCCTACGCACCCCTTTCGCGGCCGCACCACGCTCGTTCACCGTCCCGCGCCTTTTCATCTCGCCGTCTGTGAACCTCGTTCGCAACCTCCTCTCGTACAATGCAGGATGTCCGCTCGACGCGCCAGTCGTCAGCTACAACCACACGATCGTCCTCGCCGTCCTCGACAAGCCGGCTCCTGCCTCTCCACTCGAGGCTCCCTTCTTCCGCCCTCGCTTCCGCCTCATCCTCCCTCTCACCCTCGCCGCACGCCTCGTACGATGTCTCGCCCGACCCGAACGCATTGACAGGTGCAGATCTCGATGATGACGAGGAGATCGAGCGGACAATCGCGTATCTTGAGGCGTCGACGACGGCACGGAGTAGCGGTCCTTCAGGACTCGCACTCTTCCTGCGGCGGCTGTCTGTGCGGAACCTGAGCCGAAGAGCGGTGCTAGTAGCACTGGTGGGCGTGGCGGCTCTCCTAAGGCTGGCGGGAGCAGCGCGAACGGACGAGGCGGGCGAACGGATAGGCTGGAATAGCGTTGGGCGGGCGAGGGAGGTGCTCGGAGGTCTGGCGCGGACGCCGAGTGGGCTCAAGAGCGCTGTCTACGATCGGTGGAGCGCGTTGAAGTGGAGTCGACTCGGCGCGGCGGAGGAGGACATGCTGTTCGACGACCTGGACTTGTCGCAGCTCCTCAACTACGACGGGCCGGCGGCGACATTGAAGGAGCAGCTGAAGGACGGCATTCGCTACGTGACAGCGTCCGCTTACGGAGGTCATGGTGCGCAACCGCTCCTTTCTGCGCCTCAGTAACGACCGAAGAATGACTCTCGTTCCTCGACCGCAGCGAACCAGATGATTGGCATCCAGAAGCTGCTGTACTTTGCGAAGCTGACGAACCGGGTCGCGATCATGTGAGTCGCTCGCTGCCTTTCGCGCGTTCCCCTCCCTCGACGAACTCTGCCTGCTCGCTGCGGATGTCAGTCCTTGCCTTCTTTCATGGCTGACTTCCGTACTTCTGCAGCCCGACTCTCTGGCCTATCCACATCGACGGCGCGCAACCCGCCAACATCAGCGACTTCTACGACCTCGACCGTTTCTGGCACGAGTCGCACATCGCCGCCGTGGAGATGTCGCGGATCAAAGCCCCGGACCTTTCGGGCTCGCTCCCGCAGAACGAGAACCTCTCCTGCTGGTCCATACAAGAAGCGACCGTCGGCTTCCCCAACCTCGCCTCCTGGTCGTTCGACTTCCACGACATCTGGGTCAATTACTGGCCACTCCCGCCTCTCGCTCGCAGTCTCGGCGGCTTCGACATTGCCTTCGACGCCCTCCGAGTGTTCGACTTTGACGAAGCGAACCGCCGAGAATGGGTCGCCAAGGTCGAACGCGAGCATCTTCCGCAACGACCGCTTCCTGAAGGCGTGAAGGAGTTCAAGGGCAACACGCTCGACAACTTCAAGGAGGGGATGAACACGAGTGTGACGGACCCGCCCGATGATCAGATCATGTGCTTCGACAATACGCTCTTCATGGGTCCGATCATGTTCCCCGAGCTGCCTGTCTCCGCGACACCCCTCGAGCCCGGCGCGCCTGGCGAAGGACTCTCTTGGGCGAACGTCGGCCGGTACATGCACTTCAACTCGCGCGTCGAGGAGATAGTCGACGACTACCTCATGCGGCTCTTCGACGTCTCGAAGCCGTCGAAGGTCCCGCCGTTCATCAGCATCCATCTTCGTCGCGGCGACTTCCTCCAGTTCCGCGGCGCCTACACCGACCTGGATAACTACAAGGTCGCACTGGGTCGCGTCCAGGCCGCCTTGCAAGCACGCCTCGACGACCCTGACGGCTGGACTGGACCGGGCAAGTCGGCTTTCCGCTCGTTCGGCATCAAGGCGAAGGACTACGCCGTTGTCTGCACGACGGACGAGAAAGGCGACTCAGATTTCGTCAAGGAGGTCAGGGGGCTCGGGTGGAAGGTTATCGACCACGACGCTTGCGAGACCAAGGAGAAGTACGGAGCGTGGTGGCCGACCATCATTGATAGCGCCGTCCTCGCCCGCGGTCGCAGCTTCGTCGGCACCGACCGCTCGACGTACTCGCACCTTGCCGGCTTGCGGGTCAAGTAGTACGTTCGCCCTCTGCCCCGCACTTCACCTGCTCTCTGCGGCAGATCGCTGACCTGCATCTCCACTCGCAGCTGGCAAGGCGGCCTCGTCGAGCTTACGGAGGAGGTATAGAAGGAGGATGACGGAGGAATAGACTGAGGCGCGGGCCTTACATGTGCGTTGTGCAGTCTCCTTTTTGTTGCAACAGTATCGTTCGCATGCACTTCGCCGGCGCTCGACGTGCCCGAGGTTCGCTCGACGTCAAGTCGAGGTCGACGACGACAAGGGTCCGCGGACACCGCCGGATCAGCCGCCCTTTGTCTCGTCGCCGCGACTGGACGGCAGCGCTCTCTCCAAGCTCTCTCGCTCTTCCTTGACACCATCACGCCGACACAAGCTATTGACACGCGTCTGCTGCGACGACGAGCCTTCCATTTTGCTTCGTTTCCCGCCGCTTCGCTCGTTTCCACTGTCTTTCTCGCCTTATCCCTCAACATGCCGCTGAATCCGAGGTTCTTCGAGATGGGCGCCAAGACGTGGTGCGTGACGGTTTGACGCGGCCTTTTCGAGCTGTTGACGCTGAACTCCTCTCGCAGGCGAGATCCTCTCACGCATCAGAAGTGGGTGGAGGAGGAGAAGTCGGTAAGCTTACACATCCTCGCAAGCCGATGGTATCGCTGATTGCCTCTGCGACTTAGAGACTCGAAGCGGCGAAGAAGAAGGCTGCTGAGGAGAAGCTGGCGAAGGAAGTCGAGGTACGCTGCGCTTCGTAGTCAGCACACGCTCGTGGACGAGTCTAACGCTCGCTCTGGCAGAACGCCTCGAGCAAGCTCGCGCAAAAGAAGATTGTTGAGAAGGGCAGACTGGTCGACGAGCAAAAGAAGGACGAGTCGTGAGTCTACCCTTCTTCCCGAGTTTCGGTTCGATGGTTGCACTAATCGTAGACCCTCAGCCTCGCACAACTCAAAGCAGACGTCGCTCGGCTCGAAGCGAAGCAGGCGGGAAAGGTGGAGGTACGCCTGCACATCTTCTGCGTATACCTCCCTACTCCTGACGCTGCCGCACACAGGACCCGCTGAAGGAGATTCTCGAGTACGACAAGAATCGCGTCGTGAGACAAGCGGAAGAGCGTGAAAAGGAGCTCGACAAGGAGGTCAAGCTGACGGCAGCCGAGATGCTGAAGCTTCGCGAGAAGGAGCTCGAGGAGAAGAAGAAGAAGCAGGTGCGTTCCGCTCGGAGCTGTTGCTCGTACAGAAGCTGATCTTGCGGGTCCTCAGGAGAAAGAGCTGGCGGATCTAGCTGATCGGAGACGGTGCGTTGCGAGGAATCTTTTTTCGCAACTTGTCCGAGTCGAGCTTATCCTCCTTCCCACAGACGCGAGCTGCTTGAGTACAAGCACGCCCTCGGGCTCTCGCACGACCATCCCCGCCTGCCTCAGCGTCCGCCGCTTATCTCGCGTCGTCCCCTTTCGCTGCATGACGATCCGGAGTTCTGGAAGCTGGAAGACTCGGCTCGCCACCGCCTCGAGCTGATGCACCCAGATGAGCGATTACAGTACGGTTTCGGCCCGTACGAGGAGGACGAAGTCGAGCGAGAGCGTGAGTTCGGGCGGTCTACCCTCCGAAGAGCTCGACTGAACTTTCTGCACGACAGTGGCTCTTCGCGCAGGCTCGGACGGACTGACGGGCGCCCAAGGCAACAGCACGCTTGACGAGCGCCAGCTAGCTCTGAAGATGAAGGAATTCATCTGCAGTGCGTTCCTTCCGCAGCCAGGCGCCAGACCGAGTCGCTGACATCCTCTGACGCGCCTTCAGCGGAGGAAACGCACGGTAAGAACGATCATGTCGCTTTCAGTTACGCGTTGACCGCTCCTGTCCGCAGTCGCCGGCGTGACGAAGACTTTCGAGCCAATCTCACACGCCGTCCCGCTCGACCTTCCCGACCTCGCCACTCTGCCTCCGCAAGATCAGCAACAAGCAGAACTCATCATCCAGCAAGAAGCGCAGCTCCTGCAGGACGACCTTGTACGCTTCGCCATCGAGCAATACGGAGCGAACGCTTTGCTCGGCTTGCGAATTTACGGCCCACTGCCAGTCGAATATCCCGCTCTCCTGCAAGAAGGCTACGTACGTGGCCGCCTATCTCGCTCATTGTGCCCCCGACTAACGCTCTTTTCACGGTCTAGGTGTACGAAGTCCGCGCCGAGGGCGTTCCAGCTCTCATCTCGAAGGCCCAGCCACCACTTCGCAGCCGTTACAGCGGTCGTCCTTCCCAGTCGAAGAAAGCGGTTGGACCTACCTCCCGCGGACGGTACTCGCACTTTGGTGGAACGGGCGGCGCCCACTTCGACTCGCCCTTGTTCGGCTTGGAAGACGACTTTCTCGCTGGACTTGGTCACGAGGCGTATGGCGCGGGCGGAGCACACGCTGGAGGAATCAGCGGCACGGCTGCCGCCGGACGAGGCGCGGCAGCCTCCAGTTGGAAGCGTCCAGCAGCAGGTCGGGGCGGAGGGGCAGGTCTCTTCGGCCGAGGTGTGTCGTCCAGTACGCTCTCTTGAGTGCGTCGGGACCACCATTGACACGGTGCAGCTCGCAGGCGACGACTTTGCCCTCTTCGACGACCCGCTCGCTAGGCAGTCTCGCTTCGCTACGACCGCAGCACAACCCGTCGTCCCCCCGTATCTCGAGAACCTTCCGTGGGCGGCTCAGCAGTATGTCAAGCGCATGCGAGCGTTGCAGGAGCAGGAAGAGGTGGCAGCGTTGGCTCAAGCGGCAGGTGTGTCCGCTTCTCCGCGCTTCTTCCTCCGCGACAGCTCGACTTATATTCCCGTTCTTCGCAGCGAACCCCCGTCTCCCTCATCTTGCCACTCTGCACCATCAGCAGACAGCCCTCCCCCTCCATCACACCGCACGACCGCCCATGGCTGGCTCCTCTCCCGCTCCTCAGCCTCCAGCCGCGGCGAATCTTGCGCATACGCGAGCCAACCCTACCGCACACCCGCTTCCAATGCAAGCCGCTCAGACTGCCCTACCGACTCAGCCCGCACAACACGATGCCGGAGGAGGCGGAGTCTTCCGACTCGCAGGCGGCCTGCTCGACCGACTTCGCGGCAAGGAGGCGGCACCGCAAGCGACGACAGACCCAGACCACGGCGCAGGCGGTCCGCTGCTCGGTCAGGATGGAGTGACGTCCGCAGCAGCACCGCTGGCGCAGCCGTTGCCGCAAGCTCAGCCTCAGCGGGTCGTGCCGTCGAAGGAGAACGGTTGGAGGGGCGCGCAGCCCTGGTAGATGAGCAGAATATGTCAACATAGATTGCAAACCGAGTACATGCGAGTCTGAGGACGAAGCTCTTCTTAGGCGGTCCAGCCGCCGTCGACCGGCAAACATGCGCCCTAAATCGACTCGGAGGACGTCAGCATTCCCTCCTCGAGAGCAATCAAAAACTCGGGCGCGCACCGTGATGTAGCTGGAGTCGCTGGAAAGAAGGAATGCGACCGCTTTGGCGACTTCTTCGGGCTGCCCGACGCGGTGCATCGGGACTTGCTCGAGAGCGTCGTCGAGCGACATGTTCGATGCGTCGAAGAGGTTGTGTAGCAGAGGCGTGTCGATAGGGCCTGCGAGTCAAAGCTTGGTAAGCCCCTAGCATCTGAGGAAAGCGAGATGGACGAACCTGGCGCGACGACGTTGACCCGGATATCCCGCTGAGCGTACTCCTTCGCCATAGCCCTCGACATCCCGAGCACCGCGTGTTTCGAAGCGCACTGCGAGGAGAGCGCCAGCTTAGATAATAAATTCGAGGAGTAGCGCGAACGACTCACGTAAGCTGAGCTGTTCGGCAAGCCCATTACGCTCGCATTGCTGCCGATGTTTCTGCGGGATTCGACGATGTCAGCACAATGATGAGCAGGACGCAAGAAGCAACTCACACGACCGCATAACCGCCCTTCGGAGGATCCGCAACCTCTTCGTCCGCAATGACCATGGCGGCGAAGTGCTTGCAGAAGGCGAAGGTGCCTCGCGCGTTGACGTCCATCGTCTGACTCCACAGATCGACCTTGACCTGGTGGACTCCGGGAGACAGCAGGTTGACGCCTGGAGAGGCGAAAATGAGTCTCGTTCTGACGAAAGCATCGCTACGCGCAACGCACCTGCGCAATTTACGAGTCCGTCTAACCGCTTAAAGCTCTTCTTGAACGACCGAACTAGCCTGCCGACCGCTTCTTCGTCTGTGAGGGGATGAAGAGCCTGATCAGCGACGAAAGAATGAGAAGTCGATCCACGCACCGGTCACGTCGAGCGTCGCATACGCCAGGTCAACATTCGGATACCTCTCCTTGATCTCACCGCATAATCGCCGTCCCTCGTCTGCGTCCTTGTCCGTCAAAGCCAGACGAGCACCCTTCTCCGCCAAGAGCAGCGCGACGGCCCTCCCAATCCCGGATGCGCAGCCGCTGCACGATAGGCCGTGTCAGTTGGTTCCAATTGAGCTGAAGGGGGAGACTCACGTCACGATGACTGCCCAGTCGAACAGCGGGTCGCCCGAGGACGGAGGAGGGGGAGGAGCGGCGGGAGGTGGAGCAGCAACAGGCGAGGTCGCGGTCGTCGTGGCAGGAGCTACGTAGCTCCACAGCGTGTCCATCGCCGCGAAGTAGCCCGTACAGCGAGAGTGTGTGGTTCTGAAAGAGGCGAACCCGCTGGTTGTCCTTCTCCACATCGTCATGCTCCCGCCAGACCCAGGGAGCGAGCTGCTGGAACTGTTGATCGAGCCTTCACACTTACCACAGCAGGTTTGACGAGCTTGGGCGCTCGAGAACGGGACACTCGCTATTTTACACCTCGCTCCTCCTCCTTCAACTGATGAGGCTATTCCTCGACGACACTGGCTTGCGGGGATTCTTGCGGTATAGTGATGTGACGGAAGGTAGCTTCTGGAGGGATGAGTGCGGCGGCGTAGCCCCACGAGCCTGGCCAGACTCTTCACATCCTGCTCCCCGTCGACGATCTCTTCGGTGCTCCTGGCAACTCGCTTGTCTGCTGCGCTGATCTCTTGATGAGCTCCTACAGATCTTATGCGACGGTCACCGGCATTGGACGAGGCCTTAAAACACGGAGCATCGCCTGGCAGCCTTCGCTTTGTTCATTCTCCCTCTGCTCGATTCTGTTCTTTCGCCCCGTCCAGTCTCGCCCATCTCCCTCCACCGTTTCTCATGGCGCTCCTTTGCTTCTATCTCTCCCTCCGCTGAGCAGGCACAAAGCGACGCTCGACACGGCTTCGACTGGCCGGCCCTGCCGCCTGAACTTCGCCGCGCAACAGCATACGCGCTTCTTACCGCTTGTCTGACGACTACACATTCTGCTCTACGTCACACTTCTTACCTGCGAGAGTTCCTGACGAGCCGTCCGCTCGCGTTGGCCCATCAAGCCGTCGTGGCCTCGGAAAGCCAGGCGCCCTGTTGTAGGGACTCTGCAGATCGTATCCGAGAGCTATCCACATGCTCAACGAGCTCCTCTGCTGCTCGCTAACCTAGCGCCTGCAAGAACTTGACATTGCCGGCGCACGACCCCTTCGTCGCCCCTGTCCTCTCTCTTCCTCCTCGACACCTCCCTCGCCGAGCCACGACACGCCCAGAGATGGCAGGCGGACGCGCAGCCCCGCGCACGAGCTACAAGGAGGCCGACAGCGACGACGACTGGCTTGCGGGCGACGAGGAGGGCGCGACGAAGGGGTTCGAGGACTTGCCGCTCGTCGAGGGCGCGAAGGGCAAGGCAGGCGGCGCGAAGGGCAGGAAGCGCGTTGGAGACACGTATGGAGCAGGTGAGTGCGCGCACGAGCCGCACGAGCGCGAGGCGGAGGAAGCTGACCTCGTCCTCGTTGACCTCGCCCGCAGGACCGCGCAAGAAGGCGAGGAAGTCGAAGAGCAAGGGCAAGGAGAAGGCAAAGGAGGACGAGGACGAGCCGCTGTTCAGCCTCGACCTTCTCTTCCGCCTCGCGGACGACCTCTTCCTCGAGGTGAGTTTCGCTTCCACTCCCCAAAGCCCGCACTCTCGCTCACAAGGAGCTTCCACGTAGATCTGCGGCTACCTCGACGGACGCGACCTGCTCGAGTTCTCGAGGACCTGCAAGGCGATGCGCAAGACGCTCTTCTCGCCGAATTCGGGCTACATCTGGGCCAACTCGCGCCGTCGCGACGACATCCCGCTTCCTTCCGGCATGACGGAGCTCGCGCTTGCGTGTTTGCTGTACGGCAAGGGCTGCCAGGTACATCACGCGAGACGCTGAACCTTTGCCGGGCTTGACGTTCTCATCCCGCAGATCTGCGGCAACGAGAGCTTCTACTTTCGCCGGGACTGCTACCTCCGCTTCCGCTCCTGCGCGCGGTGCAGGAAGACCTAGTGAGCGCCCTCAGTGCTTATCTTCAGCAAACATTGACTTTGTGAGCGTCGCGCAGCGTCATTGCCAAGAGCAAGCTTGCGAGGCAGTGGCCGGACTTGCATCCTTCTGCGCATCTTTGCGTGCCGTTTCACGACGGTACGTTCCGCACACTGCATCTGCAGGATCTCGTCATTGACGGGACCGATTTGCAGAGGGCATCAACGAATTCTCTGGCAATCAGCAGCCCGGTGCGTCTCTTCCTTTTCTGGGCTCGTCCTCGCCGAGTGACGCCTTCCTGCAGTCTGGTACCTCGTCTCCGAGCTCGCGGAGGTCCATAGCCTCTTGCTCGAGCTCGAGGAAGAAGACGAGCTTCTCCGCTATGCAGCATCTGGCTCGATGCAATTGTCAAGGTCGTCGGGGTACGGGCCCGCTCTCAGCCTTGTCGATGACTTTGTCAAGTGCAAACGAGCGGAAGTTGCCCAGAAGCAGAAGGTTAGTCCGTGACGTTCACCTGAACGCCCGTTCCAGCCAGCTAACGGCTTCCGTCTGTGCAGGAGTCGTCGGCTCTCGACATCGCTTTCTCCATGAAGGTTTCTCGTGATCGCGAAGCCATGGATCAGAAGCGGTGGGCGAAGCGGGAAGATGTGAAGGCGGTAGCTCAAGGGTGCGATTCCGCCAGCGCGCAAGGAGGACCCGCTGACCTTTTCATCCTCAGATATGTCGACGAGCTTGTCGCAAATCACGGGTGGACCAAGGAGCAGACCGACTGGTACCTTGAGCGCGTGACTTGGATGGCATCTGAGAAGCACAAGCCTCCGACAGAGTCGCCGGCGGACGACGAGGAGGGTGCGCCTTCGGGCGCGGCAAAACCCGCGAGAGCTAAGCTGACATCGTGCGCACACAGGTTGGGGCTCGTTCGGGCGATACATCCAGGGCATCCTCGACCGTCACGCCGCCGCCAAGCAGAGCTGGCAGGTCGCCAATGCACGCCGCGAGGCCCTCCGCCCGTTCTATCAGGACTACTGCGAAGCATCGTCAAAGCCGCCGCAGCTGTTGCCGAGTTTGTACGAACTCGGAAGGCAGCCATCAATCAAGCCGTGGCTTCTCCCTGCGTCTCCCCTCTGCGACGAGGCTTTGTGGGAGGAGCGTCGCCCTGTAGTCGACTCTGCGATCGACGACTTCCAAATCAACCTTCGCCTGCACGCCATCCGCCTCATCCTGAGTGCGACCACAGGTGTTTCCCTCGCCGACCTGTCTTCCGATCCCGCCGACTATCCCGAGTCGAAGTACGACGCCGACTTCTTTGACCGTCCAACATCGCTTTTCGGCGGCGAATTGGAGATCCCCTCCATGCCGGGAGTGACCATTTACTACCCTCTCCCGTTCCCGAATTGCCTCGTCGAGCACAAGTCCGACATGCGCCACCAGGAAACGATGCTCGGCGGAGGAATCAACGAGCGACAGGTCATCTTCATCCGCCTCCTTCTTGACGCTGCGGGTCTTGACGAAACGACGACAAACGCCGACGATTTGGTTTACCTCGGCGCGCGGTTCCGTTGGACGAACCACCCGTCGCAGTGGAGGAGCAAGCGGGAGACGAAGATGTACTGGGCTCAAGCGGTGCGGACAGCCGTCTCGCCCGCTCTGGACGCATCATTGCTGACCTGCATCGCCCTTGCAGCTCTACGCCATGCTCTCGCGTGGCCCGAAGCTCGCACAGCTCAAGGCAGGCGACCTTCCCGAGATCGAATGTGTACCTGTCGCAGCGGGCGACGACGAAAAGCGCGACTCGGAGGAAAACGACTCTGGCGAAGACGACGACCCGGACTCGGGCTCGAATTCGGACGCGGACGGCGACTCCGACAGCGAGGCGCATTCCAACAGCGGGGGGCGCTCCCTCCGCAGCAGCGACGGAGAGATGGAGGACGAGGAGGATGATGAGGACGAAGAGGAAGACGAGGCAGACGAGTGAGGAGGGGAGGAGGCTTCGCTTGTTTGGAGGGTTCGACGCTTGTACGGGGTAGGTTGGCGCCGCTTGATACGCTTGCATTGCTTGTACTTGATTCTACAGCAACTGGCCTTGCGGACGAGACGCTCGACGTTGAGAAGGTCACCTCGAGGAGGAGGCTTTGGTCGCCGTCGAATCCGTTCGCTCGCTAAAGTCGACTGCCAGCTCTACGGACGCTCAATGCAGCCCTCGCGACGCTCCAGCGCCCTCTTCGTCTTCGCCGTCGTCGCTGTTCGATGTCTCATCTCGACAAGCACGGTTCATCGACGAACACTCGCTTGCACTCTTCCACACGCTCACTGACCGCGCGATGAGCTCGCCGACTGCTGCTGAGCCCGCTGCGAAGCGACAAAAGCTCGACGAGCAACTGCTGCCCTTCCACTCGACCTTGCTCGCTCGCGACAACGTCGACCGGCTCAGGACGGCGCACGCTGCTTCGGCGCCGTACAAGCACGCCGTGGTGGACCAGCTGTTTGACGAGGACTTTTTGAAGCGTGCGAGGAAGGAGATCACGGAGCAGCTCAGCTTCCGCTTAAAGGAGACGGACATTTGTGCGTTCACCTCACCTCCTCGTCGAAGAGTCGCTCGCTGACCTCGTTTCTCTTCAGACAAGGTGTGTACGACACGAGGCATCTTCCAAGACTTGGTCTGACGCCGCGCGCCCCGCAGATCAACCAGACGGGCGACTTGTCCAACCTCTCCGGCCTCCCTGCCTCTGAACTCGCTCTTCTCCCGACTCTCCTCGAGCTCCGCGATGCGCTCTACAGCAAAGAGTTCCGCTCCTTTGTCCAAGAGGTGACCGGCTGCGGCCCGTTGAGCGGGATCAAGACGGACATGTCGTGCGCCGAGTACAGCGAGGGTTGCTACCTTTTGAATCACGACGATGTTATTGGCACGAGGAGGATCAGCTTCATCCTCTATCTCGTTCTTGACGAGCCGGCGTGGCAGCCAGAGGTGCGTTCGCCATCCACTTGAGAGTAAGCGCTTGCTGAGCCTCGTTTCGCAGTGGGGAGGTGCGCTCGAGCTGTATCCGGTTCTCGAGGCGGACGAGCAGAACCCCGACCGACCAAATGTGCCCGTTTCGAAGCCTTCAGTCGTGATCCCCGTGAGCTCCAGCGTGCACTTCTCGCTTGACGAAGACTGACGATGGCGTTCTCCACAGCCCGCCTTCAACCAATTCGTCTTCTTCGAAGTGCAGCCCGGCCACTCGTTCCACTCGGTCGAGGAGGTCGTCGTCGAGGGTGACAAGCAGAAGGGCGGAGTCGGCGCGCGTGTCAGCTTGAGCGGCTGGTTCCACAAGCCGATTGAGGGCGAGGAGGGCTACGAGGGGAGCGACGGGTTCAAGCCGAAGAGCAGTCTGCAGCAGTTGGTGCGTCCGTTGCACGTCTTACTAAGCAAGGGTGCTGATGCTGCTCTCTGCAGTACGCCACGACCCTCTCCGCCGCAACCCCCTACCCCGAACTTCTCTCCCTTCCATTGCCGACCATCCCCTCCACCGCCGAGCTGGCCTACCTCCAGCCACTCGTCAACTCCGCCTATCTCACACCAAAGGTCGTGTCGCACCTCCGCACCCAGTTCTGCGAGTCCTCGCACCTCGTCCTCGCCGACTTCCTCGCGCCCTCTCTCGCTTCCGAGATCGAGGTGCTCATTCGTGCGCGAGACGCAGAGATGGAAAAGGGTCGTCGCGGAGTCGAAGTCGGCGGCTCGATCACCAATAAGGTGCCGTCTCACACGGCTGGCGAAAGCGAAGCAGACGGCTGGACTGTCGTCGGCCCTCCGCATCTCCAGCGCTACCTCTCGCTCTCCCCCACCTCTACCACCGCCACTGACCGCCTCTCGTCTCTCCTCCGCCAAGTGCACGACCTCTTCACCTCCTCCGCCTTTGCAGCCCTCCTCGCATCCCTCACCTCCCTCCTCCCAACAGCCTACACAACCGCAGTCCGCCGCTTCCGACCAGGTCTAGACTACACCCTCGCGCGCGGCGAGTCAGCGTCGGACGAAGCGGCGTCGGCGAAACTGGATGTCGGGCTTGGGTTGACGCCGGAGTTGGAGAAGGAGGAGGAGAGGGAGAAGTGGGAGAGTGGGGAGGTGGGTGGGTGGGATATCTGGCTTGCGAATGAGGAGGGTGGGGATGAGGCGACTTACGGAGGTGGAGGAGCGAAGAAGGAGGAGAATGGTGATGGCGAGGCGGGCGAAAAGCAGGAGGAGCAGTTGAGCGAGCAGCCGGCGGAGGAAACAGGAGCCGAGGAAGAGGAGGAGGAAGACGACGGCCCGCTCCTCGCGCTCGAGCCGGAGTGGAACCGCCTCCACCTCGTCCTGCGCGACCCGGGCGTCCTGTCTTTCGTCAAGTACGTCTCGGCTCGCGCGCCGTCCAGCAGGTGGGACGTTGTCGGCGAGTGGGAGGTGCAGGGCGTCGAGGAGGAAGAGGAGGCATAGACGAGTCGCTGCACTGCAGAGTGTCCTTGCTACTTGCGTCAGCACTTTCGAGAGATCCCTCGCCTCCGCTCTTCCTCCCTGCGAGCGCAAGGGCTGTCAACTGCTGCGCTGCCGTCCCGGAGAGCCGGCGCACCTGTATTCGAACATGACTTGGACTGCAACAAACAGACATGCACTCGCGAAGAGCAGGAAGAGCCGGCCTGTGCCAAGTGGGTTTCGAGTGAGTCAGGCCTCGAGGTGCTTAGAGTCGGAAGAGTCACGGACGCACCTTCCCACCCGCCGAGCATGACCTTCCACAGCTCCCTCGCCCCGTCGACCCCGACGACGAATCCGACGAGGTTAGCCGTCATCATGAGCAAAACGTTGGCGACTCCTCCGATGGCAGCGAGGTGGCGGTACCAAGGCTTCGTGCCGTACTGCGCGCAGATCTGAGCATCAGCTCAGCCTCGTGAGACGGGCAAGTTTCGGCGCACCTTCGAGTACGGCACAGCCTTGCGAGCAATCATCTCGGGCACGACGAAGAGCGTGACGCCCCAGCCCCAGATGAGCAATCGCAGGCGAAGGTCGTGCCATAGCGCAACAAAGGTGAAGACGCCGAGAGTTGCGAGGAGCGGGCGGGCGGATCCGCCCAGCGGGATGTAAAGGTACCTGTTGAGAGTCATCAGCGTCGGTCGCCGCGATGGGAGAAGCGGAAGAGAGCGCACCTGACCACCCACATGTTGTAGCTGCGGTGCCAGCTCCGCCAGAATCCGAGCGTCGAATAGTTGTTCGCCATGCAGCGGATCATGTTCTCGGGCGGGACGATGCCGTCCAGCAGCGCCCAGAGGCGGAAGAGACGCCAAGGCAGTAGGAGCTGCGCGTGCTCGCCCTGTCAGCTGGACGCAGGCAGGATGAGGACGGCGAAGACGCACCTTCAGCCAGACAACTATCAGATTCCAGAATCCGACCATGCTGACCTCCGCAGGCGTCATTCCGTTCCACCAGCCCTTGCCCGAGTCCTTGAGCGCGACGACGTACATCGAGTGGAGGAGAAGCTCCATCGTGAGGAGGCAGGAGAGAAAGCGGGTCGTGTAGGAGAGAAGTGCGCGAGGGGAGGTCTCGCTCGGCGCGGGCCGGGTAGAGAGACGGTTGAGACTGGTGGAAGACGCGGAGAGAAGGAGTGGGTCGGTAGCGAGTTCCATAACGGGAGTAGAGGCGCCTCCGTTTCCGGACGAAGCAGGTTGGGCAGACGGCGCGAGTTGAGCGAGGAAGGAAGGGTATGTCATGATTGGGCCGGCCAGGTATAGTGGCGGGTAGAGGACATAGGCGATGAAATGGATGAAGGAATAGCTTGAGGCTGAAGGAGTAGGATCAGGCGCGACTGTCGAGGAAGAGGTCTTGGGCGGCGACTGGAACTGCTGCGCGGCCTGCGAGTACGCGCATATCTAGCGTAAGCATCACACAGGTGTGCAGGACTGCTTCTCGCACCTCGAGCGCCTCACTCACCTTGACCCTCGGACTCGTCGGCGGCTCCGGCAAGCCCTCTCCCGCTTCTCCCTCGTTTTCCGCAATCTTCGCCGACCACGCCCAGTAGTACTCCATGTTGAAGCTGATGAGGCGGAGCATCGAGATGTTGTAGCTGATGTGCCAGCGAGGGAGGAGGCCGCCATAATCGTCCTGCGTGAACAGGAGTCTCGTCAGCGAGTATGCAGTGCTAGGGGAAGGGATCACGCACGAGCCACGAGAGCGCGAAGTTCAGCGAGCCCCACTTGTATCCCGAGCAGATCTCGTTTGCGAACAAGATCGCAACGTTGAAGGCCCAAGTCGCGTACGGCGTCCACTCCCTTGTCCATCTTCTCCGCTTGCTCAGGCTGGACAACGATCCCCCGAGCATAGCGATGCGGTAGTTGATGCCAAGAATGATGAGAAGTTTCGGTAGACTCGAGCCGTGCAGGACGGCGAGGAGGGCGACGCTGAAAAAGGCGCTAAAGGCTGCTCGGGCGTCACGGGCGCGCTTGGCATCGAAGTGGGGGGAAGAGGGGTTGTTGGAAGGCGAGAGACGGCGAGCGAGGAAGCGGAAGGCGTGCGAGAGGGAGAGGTGGAAGAGCATAAGGGCGACGAGGAGGGGAAGCTTCGAGCGGAAGAGGAAGTATTGCGCGTCGGTGACGTCCTGAGAATGCAGTGTGGTCAGCTCCTAATCGAGTGGCCAGATCCGCGCTTGACGCCCGTCTGCTGAGGCAACAACGGATGCAAAGTAGAGAGAACTGAACGCACGACTTTCCACCCAAACAGCCATCCGTTTCGTAGCCGCCCCGCATACTTCCAGTATCCCTCACTCGTCGCTGTGTTTGCGGAAACGGACGCCTGTCAGCCCGCAAGACGTCGGAGAAGGTTGCCTGCTGCGAACGCACCTCGTGTCGCCTTGCACCCGATCCTCCACATCTGCGGGACCACCAGCGCAAAGACAAGGTAGTACGCGTAGAATTCCTTCGTTCGCCATCTCGACTGCGGCCCTTGTTGCGTGTTGGAAGCTGGAGACGCGGTCGAAGGGGTGTGGACGGTGAGGTCTGTGATGGCCCACTGTGGTTTGCCGGGCGTGCGGTTCCGTAAGAGCTGTTGTGGTATGGGCGAGGGTATCCTCGGATGCAGCTGTGCACCCATCGGAGCAGTGCGAGCGGGACCCTCTCACGCGAACAAGGAAGAGTGGGGCTTGGAAGAGAACGGCTACTTGACACCCGCTTGGGAGGCTTGCGAGCCCGCCGATACGCCTGCTAGGATGTCTGCAGCACATGCGAACGGCTCTGGCTCGTCCGCATCGCGTGCGAGCGCCTCATCGTCGACCCTCGACAAGGGCAAAGGACCCGCGACGTCCTCAACAGCGACGGCCGCGGACGCAGATCTGTTCGACGATGCAGAACTGGACCGTATCTTCAATCAGGAGGCATCGCAGGTCGCGCGAGAGGCAGAGGTACGTCCCCGTCGTCCTTCATCAGCTGGCGGCGACAAGGAGAACTCACGCCTGTTCGACCGTCTTGCAGGTCTTGCGAGTGCTTGGAGCGTTCAAGCTGAACCCGTACGAGATCCTCGACCTCAACTGGATGCCGTCTGCGGGGACGACCGACAGCGACATTCGTTCGTCCACCCTGGTTCCTCCGATTGGAGCTGCTCGGCCTGACTAACGACGCTTCTGTTGTCGCGGTGCAGAGAAGACTTATCGCAAGAAGTCCTTGCTGATCCACCCGGACAAGCTGAAGCACCCGCGCGGTATCGAGGCTTTCGACTTGCTGAAGAAGGTGCGTCTTGTTACCTGGCCAGACCATCTGTCACGCGGACTGACGTCGTTTTCCACAGGCGCAAACCGAGCTTTCCGACCCGGCAAAACGCAAACCGCTTGACGAGACGATCACGGACGCTCGCATGCTTGTTCTCCGCGAACTTGGCATCCCGCGAGAAACGCCCGACGACGATGAGCGATTGCGGCCCCCCAAGCTGCCAGCTCCGGACTTGAAAGAGCGGGTGCGGAAGAAGACTAAGGACTTGCTGATTGAGGACGAGCTGAGACGGAGGAGGTGTGTCCAGCTGTGTTCACTCGTCTCGGTCCTGATCGCCTTCTCCGTATCGGGCACTGATAACGGGGGACACGCCTTCCACAGGGTTCAGAAGATGACGATGATCGCGGAAGGAGCGGAGGCGAAGCGTGTCGAGGATGCCGTCGCCGAGAAGAAGCGCAAGATGGAGGAGAAGGAGCGGTGGGAGGGTGCGTTTGCTTCTTGCTTCCACTTTGCTTTGTCACAGATGACTCAAGCCCTCCTTTCTGCGCAGAGACGCGCGAAGACCGCGTGCACGACTGGCGGAACTTCAACAAGAAGCGGAAAACGAAGAAGAAGGGTCCGCAGGTTCTCGGTTGAAGCGTCGCTCGTCCCCGTCGCGCGCCCCTAGTCTTCCTTCCGTTGCATTGCTACACCTGCTTGTTGTCCCAGTCTGCCCGTTACTTCTCGCTGCACAAGACGCGTCCCGATGAAAGCCAACTCTTTTGACTTCTCGCACTTCGCTCGCACTCTCGCTCCGGCTCGCTGTGGATGCTGTAGGACTCGCTGCGCGCCATGGCAGACGACGACGAGGACTTTGAGCTGCAGGACGGCCTCGACGACCTCGACTGGACCGACCCCTCGCTCCTCGCTCAACTCGACGGCGCGACACAGGCTGGCGCAGCGCAGGGGCAGGGATTGCAGGTCCCGAGGGCTTCTCAGATACCGCCAAAGCCTGCACCGCCGCCAGTCGAGCCCCAGCGACTCGCTCAGCAGCAACAGCGACGACCTCTCGCTCCTCCCCCTCCAGGACCATCTCAGTTCCCTCAGTCGACGCAATTTCCGCTCGGAACGGCTAGACCAGGTGGGATCCTGCGACCGCCGCAACCGCCGCCTCGGAAACGGGCGAGGGTCAACGGTCCTCCCGCTGCTCCCGCTCCTCAGGCCAAGGCAGTCCAGGATGTCGACGAGGATTTGCCTGAGATTCGCGTCCTGGACGGCGGACAGCTCAATGGGAATGGGGCGACTACGGCGGGGACGATCTACAGGACTGAGCCGGAGCGCGGGACGACTATCGCCTTTCCTCCTCCCCCCGTTCCTCGTCCAGCCGCTCCTGCGCACCCTCCCGTCCAGCATCAGCACCATGCGGCAACCACTCGACAACCATCCGTCCAGCCAGCCGTGCGACAACCCTCTGTTCCTCCGCCAGTGCCTCAACACCGTCCGCAAGTCGCGCTGAGCCAGCCTCAACCTCTCGCTCGAGCGGCTTCGGAATCAGCGGCGGCAATTCGGTCAAGGAGTCTCGGCTCGCATGATGCAGCGGGAGGAACCGGCATGTCTGAAGTGGAGAAGCGTGAGCTGGAGGCGCTGAGGCGTGAAAAGGCGAAGGTGCGCTTCGGGCCTCTCTGAATATGACCTGGGTATGCGCCTACCCCGTGGCTGATATGCGGAAACGGTGACGCACACAGCTTCAAGAGGCGCTTGACGCGGCGCGAAAGATGGAGGAGGAGCTCAAGAAGCAGGTCATGACCAAGTCTGGCGAGAACTCAATCATCCGCAACCGGCTGAGCAAGGTGCGTTTGCTGAATTCCTCTTCTGCCCGCGCGCACTTTCAGTCTGATCATCGCTTTGCCCCGACAGGCTGAGTCCGCCCACGCTCTCGCACTCAAGAATGAGCAGCGCGACAAGGCTCAGCTGGCCGAGCAGCTCGAAGCGAAGGAGCGCGAGCACAAGCAAGCTCTCGAGCGCTTCAAGATCGAGGAGGTCTTCCGCCGTCAGGAACTCGCGACTGCCGGCCCTTCCTCCGCGCAGAGTCAGCGACACTACCACCACCCGAACCATCCGAATCTCGGAAGCGCTCAAGCAGCGAGGTTCTACTCGCGTGGAGCGAGCGCGGCGCCAGGAGCTTCGCGAGATGTGCCAGCCAGTCCATCGCTACGCCGTTCGAGTCGCGCCGCCTCGGAGCGTCCTAACGGGGTCGCTCAGCCGAAGACGCCTGCGCCACCAGCCGGTCCGCCTCCGTCTACTTTCTCGAACTTCCAGAACTCGTTCACGGCTGGATCGACTGCAGCAGCGGGCAAGAAGGGCAAGGCGCGGGACGGTGTGGAGCGTGAGGGCTCGATGGGACCGCCGAAGCAGGCTGTGAGCGTGGGTGTGCGACGCGAAGCTGCGGTTACAACGCCGACGAAGCGGAGGAGACTCGACAACGGCGAGACGAGCGACCAAATGCTCGTCGAGGAAGATGGGCAGGACTTGGGCGGCTTCGAACATGGCGATTTGTCGATGGTGCAGGAGGAGGACGAAGCGATCGGCGGGCTTCAGTGGGAGTGGCTTGCCGAGCAGCGTGATACGCGATCGCAACTCGTCGCGGCGGTGTTCACGCACACCTCCCTTGCGCCGATCGACACCGAGCCGGCGGAGGTGCTCACCAAACCCGGAACCGTCCCAACACGACCGGCAACATACGCTGCAACGCACGCGAGCACGGCCCGAGCGACTTCCAGCGCCCGCAACGCCCACTCTTCGACATTCGGCGGGCGAAGTTCTACGGCCGCGGCGACTGCAGCGCAGCAAGCGTCTGCCTCGCAATCCTCTGGGCCTCATCCGACTTTTCACGCACTCATGAACCTCCGCTTCCCCTACTCAACTCCCGCCGCCCTCGCAGCCGAGTACGAGTCGATCACCCGCGACCTCTTCACACTCCTCGGGCGTCGACTCGACCCTCACTCCTCGCCGTACTCTTCGTCTTCTTCTTCGTCGACCTCGTCGGTCCTCCCAACGTCATTCAGCCTCGGCCGCGCTTACTCCCTCGACGGCGCGCACCCGATGCTCGAGCCGCTCATCCTCGCGTACGGCCTCGCCAGCCACTTCGCATCTCTCTTGCAAGTGCTCGAGGCAGCGACACTGTCGGGACCGATGACGGCGCTGTTGAAGCTGATGGCGCATCTCGCCTTCCTCTTCCCGACCTTCGCGCTCGCCTGTTGCGCGGTCACGCCTGCGCCGTCAATGCGACCGAACGGTCACGCTGCAACGCAGCAGGTCCAACAGTCGCAGGCCCCCGTGCCACTCCTTGTCCTCCTCGGCCGCATCATCGCTCGCTACGGCCGTCCCGAACTGCCGTCCCGCGACTCTCTCCTCCCCCGCGGCTCAGGTCCTGCCGGCTCAACCCTCACGACTCGTCCCGCAGCGATTCGCTCTCGCAAGGCTCGCGTCGCAAGAACCTCGTCTGCCTCGACAGCCGCCAAGGCGGAGGATGATGCGCAGGAGCGGGTGCAGCTGGAGAAGGGGAAGCGGGGTGCGCTGCTGGAGGCGGTGTTGGGAGTGCTCGAAGGTGTTGCTTGGAGGTGTCTCGCGGTACGGAAGGGCGAGGAAGTCGAGTTGGGCGTTGGTGAGGAGACGAGGTTGGCGGAGGAAAGGTGTGCCTCATTCTTTCTACATCTGAGTAACACCGTCGCTAACGCTTTACGCTCGCTCGCAGCTTCAAGGCGTTCCTACAAACGCCGAACGCTGTGGCAACTCTTCTCGATCCGAACCACCCGCTTCCCATCTCGCTCGCGAGCGTTCGCTTGCTGGCATCACTCGCGTGCCGTGCGTCCGGACGCTCCGCTTGCCTCTACTCTTGTGCTGACACGTACGATTGCAGGACCGCCCCTCTTCCGTTCGATCCTCGGCATCAAGTTTTACGAGATGGCCGATGTGCGGTCAAGTCGCATCCCGCTAGTCGACCGTCTCGCGACGTTGCTCGTCATGCCTCGAACCGATTCTATCACCGTGCGTTAGCTCCTGAAGTCCGTCGTCCGGCATCCTAACCAATCTCTCGCTCAGGCTTCCGCATTCGACTCGACCATACTCACGCTCGCCTCGATCCTCCTCGCCTCGCACGACGACGCCATCCGCCTCTTCGCACAGAGCGCCGCCTTCGTCCCCGAGCTACTCGCGAAAATGTGGCCGGATGTGCGGACTACCTGGGAGCACGACGGTCGAGATATCTCGGAGGGCGGAAAGCAGAGGGCGATGCTGGACCGGTACGTCTCTCACGCGCGGCTGAAATTGCCTGGGGTACAATCGCTGACCGTGCGCTCCGTGGTCCCACAGCACCGTTGCCCGCCTATCGCGCCTCATCCACCTCTTCTACTACCTCTCACTTGCCCCTCACTCCGTCCCGATCGCCGAGCTTCTTGCCGGTCCTTCTACACTTGCCTCCACGACCTCCGCCGGCACCGCCCAAACGCCTCAGCAGGCCTACCAGCGCCAAGCGGTCAACGACCTCTTCATGGCATGTTTCGGCACCGTTGCGTTTGCCACGCTCGGTGGTGAGGCTGAGGACGAAGGGAGCACGGAAGGGGCGATGCCGAGCTGGGCGGAGCAGGGGAGCGAGCAGCGGAGAGTGCTGGTCGAGCTCGGCTGTGAGTCGCGCTGCGTTCTCTAGCCGAACTTGCACTGATCGCATCTCATCGCGACTGCAGACTTGGCGCAGGAGATCCTCGAGGACGTCTCGCCTGACGAGCTGGAGGAGATCGAGGAATGCTTCGGCCTAACGGACGCCGAGAAGGACCGCGAGGAGGAGGCGGGCGAAGAGGCGGACGTCCAAGCGATGGCTCTCGAGACGTAGAGCGTGCAACAAGATGCGAGTTGCGGTCGAAGTTGATACGGATTAAGAGAGAGGAAGATAATGCGGCAACAAGGACGAGAGACGGCTACAGCTGGGACTAGTACAGGACGGACTGGAAGTTTCTGCGGAAGAGAGGCAGGGGAACAGGTCAGCGAAATTGCCCTCCGGCGGAAAATTAGCGAGCGCGACGCACGGGAACACCAACTCGTTCTCGAGCGTCTTCCTCGCGACCTCCAGCACAAACTTCTCCACCTTGCCCACGTTCTTCAGGACATGCTTGTCGGCCTGCCCGACTTCGCTCTCAACCTGCGCCGAGCGGAGGATGCGGGCGCCTACGCTGGCGACTGGCTTGAGCCCTGCGGCATTTGGTCCGAGTCCTGCTGGTCGGCTGAAGGTGCCGCTGGGCCTCCGACCGGGCGTGATAGCCGGATCTGAGTCGGCTGCTTCGACGAGCGAGAGGTGAAGACGCCGTCGACCGCCTTCGAAAGCGACGATGAGAACGCCCTCGAACGCCAGTCCGGTGACGGTCAATTCGAGCGGTAGGCTCATGAAGCCTGGCGAGGGGTAGTTGATCAGGAGGGAAGTCGAGATACCGAGAGAGAGGTTGCCGGAGTAGGAGACGCGGAGGTGGAGTTGGAAAGATGGAGAGGGAGCAGACGAAGCGGCGGGTTGATAGGGAAGGGATGAATGCGAGGGGGTCGGCGATGGTGGGGCGTACGAGTGAGGGTGGGTTTGCTGAGAATGCGAACGAGAATGGCCTCCGCCTGTATGAAGACCGGCTCCAGCGAGTCCCAAGGACGGAGGATCGGGGAGAAAGAGGTTTGCTCGTAGAGGCGGAGCAGGCGAGTGGGATCGGCTTCGTGACCTCGGGCCGAAAGGTGTCGCTGCGGCGGAAGGGATGGAATGACTGTGCAAGCCGGGGGCGAATAGTGCGGCGGAAGGAGGTTGAGGAGTAGGAAGGACGCCCGTGACAGATCCTGTCGGCGAGAACGGGAACGGTCTTCGTGGGAAGAGCTCGTCTGGCGACTCTGACGGCGAGACTCCCGACCCGTTGAACGCCCTTCCAGCATCCGCCGTAGCAGTTCTTTGTCCTGCAAGTCCTCCCGGCCTCGGCGCGACCAGCTCATCCTCGTCGCCATCTTCCGCCGCAAGAAACTCCTTCTGCACATCTCGTATGTCCAGTAGCTCGATCTGCGGCTCCGTATCGCCGAACGAGAACGTCGTGACGCTGAGCGGGCCGAGAAAGTCGGGACGAGGAGCGGCGTCAAACGCGTTGGCGAGGAAAGCGGTGGCCGACTGGGTGAGGGTGGCGTCTACCAGGCTCCAGTCGAGGTCAATGGACATCCCAGCGACCCTCGTCGAGCGACACGGCGAGGTGGTCTCTTCCAACTCTCATCGCTCAACGCCCTCTCCTCGTCCACTCACTCGCGATTCGCTTTCGAAGGTCCTGTCAGTGCTGACGCACGCTATGGCTGTCTCGAACCCGTCTACTGCTCTCGCTTCTTCCTGGTTCGACGAGCAGTCGATGCAGACCATTCGCAACCGCGCTGCCCGCGATGAGCAGCTGAACCGTATCCAGAAGCATCAGAAGGCGCTGCACACGGACTACTGGGGTCAGCCGAACGGCCGCATCACCGGCGGTGTTCTGCATCTCGCCTACCTCGCGGACGAGTCTGACCAGCTCGACCCGCCCTTCCCCGACCTCGTCAGGGCCGAGTACGAACGGATCGATGCTGCTCTCGAGGTCTATGTCGGAGCGACTGGCCACACCGTCGGCGGCTTCCTCATCTACGGACAGTCGGGCGCTGGTGCGTGGAGACGATAGTCGATTCACGTCTGTTCCATCCTGATTAACCTGGTTCTCGGCAGGCAAATCTCGCTCCCTGCGGTACCTGAAGGCGCTCAAGTTTGAGCGCAAGGAGCCCGTCATCGTGACCGAAACAGGTCGCGACGACTTTGACCTCTTCTGCGAGGAGGGCGCTTTCTTCGACATTCCGCTCAACCTGCTCAAGACACGCGACATCGTCCCGCTCCGACCCATTCTTGTGCTCGTCGATGTTGATCCCTGCAGACCTGAGCAGCCATTGCCACACGTCTTCAACCGCCGGATCAAGAACATCGTCACCTGCTTTGCGACCTCCCCAAGACAGGACAGGTATCAAGGCCAGTTGCGCAATTTCCTGAGGATCGCCTTTTGGGTCATCGATCTCTGGCCTGACAACGAGCTCGAAGCCTTCACGTGCGTGCACCAAGTCCTTCCTGCGTCGCTGCCGCTTATACGTGTCTTGAACAGCGCTCATTGCCAAGTCCCGAGCACTCGCTTTGCTTCCTCGCCTCGCGTGTACCTGACGCCGAAGGAGCGTCCCTCTTGCCCGGAGACACATCTGCCGCCGTACTCCGAGGTCGTGCCGCCGCCACAACCGGAGGATCTGGACAAGCTTTTCCAGCTTCCGATGCGTCGTGTGACGCCGGGTAGCTCTGTCGCGCCGAGTTCGGCATCAGATGCATCAGCCCAGACGGCGGGAGGGCCGACGCAAGCCGACGAGGCAACCAGGACGCACATGCCTTCGCTCTTCCTCCCCGAAGTCAGTACAGCTCCCCCGTCCTACGCTCCATCAAGCGGCAACTTTTATACGTTCAACGACTACATCCTCTACATGGGTCGCACTGTTGGAGATGCGTACAAGTACCTCAGCGACGGCATGTACCGCAAGTCGTCGGATCTGCGCCGGGACATCTTTCCGACGCTTGACTTCCATAGGACGCTAAACGTCCTGTATGAAGCTCGGACGTACAAGCCGAGTGCGCCCGCATGGATCCTGGGCATGCCGGTCGCCTTGCAGCCCCGAGGCTTCGACCTTGTGTTTCTCGAGGTGCCGACGCCGGGCGTGCCTCGTCCGAATGCGGGCATGCCAAACTCCACCGTCATCCCTGCGTCGGCGGCGGTTCAGGAGTGGTTCCGCAAAGAGTTGGAAGCGGCGAAGTGACGGAACGATTTTCCTCGAATGACCTCCCTGTCGGTCCTCTCAATGCTCGCGGTCTTGGACGATCGGTGCGTGTACTATCGCGTGCTCGACTGTATCGGTACGCCTGACTGCGCCTCTGAAGAAGCCTTGGACTGATGCTTTCGTGTGCACAACGTCTACAGCACATTGACAGCACGATCTCGCCTCAATCGTTTTCTTCTTCTCCGCGAACTGCATTGTCAAATAGTCAATCCGGTCTTGTCGACCGTCTCAGAGTCGCCTTCTGCGCGAGCATCGTCGCGAGAGCATCAGGGAGCGCGCGAGGATTGGCGGATCCTGCTGGCGAGAGCTTCGTTCGCCAAGTTGATGAGGGTCGCTGTCTGCTGGACTCTGTAGCAGTTCTCTGAAGCCACGCTAGCCCCCGACGAGCGACTTGAAGGACGTGGACACTCGCCAACCCTTGATCGCTCAACCTCTCCCACTCGCTGTTTACCTTGCTCGGCTTCAACTCGCTCTGGTGGCTCGCTGTGCCGCTAGCCTGCGAACAAGAGACGCTGGCTCGACGATTGCGCCGTGCACCACCCGCAAGCCGCCCGCGCGAGCGAGATGGCGACCCCGCCTCTCCCAATCCTCTCGTTCGGTAACGGCCAACCCCCCTCTGAGTCCGACTTGCCGCCCTTCCCTACGATCCTCCTTCCTCAAGGCGCCGACTCGAATGCAGGAGCGAAGCCCGGCGGGTCGAGCGGGGCGTCGTCGGCGAGCTCTTCAACGTCCTCCAACATCGACCTCGCTCACGTCGCACGCACCGTACTCAAGGCCAAGAGGGTGGCGGTGGTCTGTGGTGCGTTACTGGAACACGCCACGATGCAAGCGAATGAGCTGACGGTCGTTGCGAGCAGGAGCCGGCATCTCGACTGCCTCTGGGATCCCCGACTTCCGCTCTGGCGCCGGTCTCTTCAAGAGCCTGAAGGAACAGCACCCGGATGCGAAGCTCACGAGTGGGAAGGACCTGTTTGATGTCGGGCTCTTCTCGGTGTGCTCAGCCCAACTGACAGCTCTCACCGATGTTGACTGACACCCTCGCTCGCGTTCCACAGTCCGAGGCAAATGCGGCCATCTTCTACAACATGATTGCCGAGTTGAAGAAGCAGACGGACGCGGTCGAGCCGACGGCCTTTCATGCGTGGCTCAAGGACCTGGATGACGAGGGGAAGCTGTTCCGCGTCTACACCCAGTGCGTCCAGCATCTTCACCCACACGAGACCGCTCGAAGCTGACGCTCGCTTGACGCAGGAACATCGACTGCCTTGAGGAGAAGGCTGGCTTGACGTACGGCCTCGGCGACAAGTCGCTCCCTCTTCCTCCTCGTCGCGCCGGGCGATCCCCCTCGAAAGCCCGTCTGTCCGGCAACTCGACTCCGACGTCCGTTCCTCTTCAGCCTTCCTCGTCCCAAGCATCCACAGCCTCGACCTCGTACCCAACTCCTCGGTCTTCCGCCTCTCCGCCTCCGACCCATTCGACCATTCCCCGCGTCATCCCCCTTCACGGCCACCTCGCAACTCTGTCCTGCTCCGCGTGCAAGCTCACCACCCCAGTCGACCCCTACCTCGACCTCCTCGCTTCCGGCTCCGCGCCAGCCTGTCCCTCCTGTCTTTCGATCGACCAGGCTCGCTCAGCAGCCGGCGAGCGGTCCCGTGGTGTCGGCATGTTGCGGCCAGACGTGGTGCTGTACGGCGAGGAGCACAAGGATGGCGAACGAGTCGGGGAGATTACCCAGCGCGACTTGATGGGACAGAGGCCGGACTTGCTGCTTGTCGTCGGGACTACGCTCAAGGTCAAGGGGACGAAACGGCTCGTCCGCGAGTTGTCCAAGGTCATCAAGCCTCCTTCGAAGAGCGCATCCACGACCGAACAAGACGACGACCCGCCTTCGTCCAGCCCGGCTTTCCCCTCGTCCTCTCAGCAAAGCGCGACATCAAAGCGTCCGCGGCAGAAACGTCCACCTCCGATTCACACCCTTTACCTCAACTACGACTTTCCTACGCCGTCGCGTGAGTGGGCAGGCGTGTTTGACTGCTGGTTGAGGGGCGACATCCAGCAGTTTGTGCAGGCTGTCAAGGACGAGAAGAAGCGGATGAAGGTCGAGATGGAGGAGAAGGAGCAGAGGAAGCGGAAGCGCGAGGAGGCGTCGAGTAGTCCGAGAAAGGCGCGGGCGGCGTTCAACGGGATGGGGAAGGAGCCGGAGAGGCCGAAGGGACGGACGACGATGGCGGCGATGAGGGCGTCTTTGCCGGTGGGCGGGGTCCAGCGACTGCCGGCCAGCAGCACGCACGGCCTGCCCGTCGATATCCCTCGCCTCTTCGGCCTTCCGCCTAACGCTGCTCTCCCGCCACTGCCTGTCACCGCACCGCCTGCTCCGCCGCCCAAACCAGTCGCCGCGGCCTCGATCTCGGCATCCAGCTTCCTCGCCTCACCCGGCGCTACAGTCGTCCGACCGTTCTCGACCATGCCTACTACAGTCGCAACGCGTGCGCCCGTCATCCCCGCATCGCCCGCATCGTCAGCCGGTAGCGCGGCTGTTGTTGCTCTCGCACCGAAGCCTCGCCTGCCCGCCCGCGCGCTCACGCGCAACTCGTCGACGTCTTCACTTTCGTCGCTGTCCTCCACCTCGTCAACCTCATCGCGCTCGACCGAAGCAACGAAGCGCACGACTCGCGCGCAAACCCGCCAATCCTCGACCTCGTCCACCTCGACCTCCTCCTCCTCGCGCTCTCGGCGCGCATCTACTGCACACTCGACGCAAATCTCGCTCCAAAGCGCGGCGGCAAAGAAGGCCGAGGTCAACCGGTTGCAGTTCAGCGTGACGAAGAAGAGTGTCGGGCGGGTGACGGGGACGGTCAAGAAGCGCGTGGCGGGGCGGTGAAAGAGGGTTGTGCTTTATCGCTTGTTGGAGTCGTGCGTGGAGTCGTACGTCGTGTTGTACAGATGCATCGTGCTTTCTCCGCCATTGAGTTGTGGTCTCTGAGGAGAGAGGGCAGTCTGTTCGCCTCACTTCCCGCTCGCGCGGCTTCCGCTCAATCTTCACGCTCTTGCACCTCGTCTAGAAGCGCTGCAACGCCCACTGAAAGCCTCGCAAGCTCGACTCGAAGTTGACATCTCACCACCCCGTCGCGTCGCCCTCGCTCAACCATCGACTGAACACCTCGCACACCGCTTCGCACAGCCCATGCTCAGCTGACTGACGCTCGAGGATGCCTCATCTGCCTCCTGCCTTGCTCGCGTGGTACCGCTCGTCGTACCCGACCCTCCAGTTCAACCCAGAGTGGCTCGAGGCTTGCGTCGAGTATCTCCAGGTGCGTGGCTCGCTGGGCACTGTAGCGGAGGCTGAACTGACTACTACATGTCTCCAGGCCAACGACCCGGCCGCAGCGACTGTCCCAGGCTTGATCAAGGCCGTCGAAGTCCAGCTTCTCTCGTCCGATCTCTCGACTTCCGTCCTCCCCTCCCCATCTCGCCGAGCAGAGTTGATGACTCTCCACCCTGCCTCTGACCGAACGATCCTCTTCACCGGCGGAGCGAAAAAGGCGGGCGTGTTGTTCCAGGTACAGCGGGTGGACGATATCGCGCATTCGGCGTCACAGCTGCAGGAAGTTCTGAAGGAGAAGAAAGAAGCGCGGCGGGTCCGCGCGAAGGGCGCAAACGCAGGAGGAGGGCGAATCATGGATCTCGACGAGGAAGAGGAAGACGAAGCGAAGAAGAAGATCTTGCCGGCGGGCGTTGAGCCGCCTTTCCCGCGTGGGAGCGGCAAGTTTGTGCTGAGTGATGGAGACACCGAGGTCCAGGCTTTCGAACTGAGACAGGTGTTTGGGCTCGGGTTGGAGGAGATCAAGCTGGGTACAAAGGTGCGGCGCGTCCCGCTCTCTCCGTTTCCCGCACGGTGCTGATCTCTCTTGCACAGCTCCTCATCCACGACGTTCCTTTTGTCAACGGCATCCTCATGCTCACGCCCAACAACACGGTCGTCAAGGGCTACCAAGTTGAAGAGATCGAGGCGGTCAAGGAGTGGATCGTTGAGAATAGCTTGCGCGAACGGCTTGGGTTCGTCCCTTGGCCCTGTCTCCTGGTCAACGCGTACTGACTCTGCTGCCATGCATGTAGCGAAGACCCCCTCCCTCATCCCGACGACGCCCCTCCCGCCCACGCCGCTCAACCTCAACCTCCTGCCGCCAACCCTCAACCGCCTCCCGATCGCAACGCTCACTCACATGCTCAGATCCAGCCCAAACCCAAAGCCCCCTCGTCCGACTACGGCGACTTTGAAATCGACGAAGCGGATCTCTTCGCTGCTGAGGCTGCAGGAGGAGCGGACGAGGACGAGGAAGAGGCTTTGCGGGCCATGGAGGAGGAATCCCGCGCTGCGAAAAAGCCGAAGAAGCAGCATCAGGAGAAGAGGGAGACGAGAGTCAAGCCTGAACCGGTTAGTTCTGGCTCGACAGGCGGGCGGAAGGGGATGAGCGAGGGCTTGAGGAAGACGGGCTTGAGCGGAGAGGTGGAAGTGTTGGAGCTCGATTCGGATGAGGACGAGAAGGAAGCGGCGGCGAAGGAGGAGCAGAGACAGGTCAAGAGGCGGAAGACGGCGGGATCTGCGACGAGCAAGACAGGTGTAGGCGGGCCGAAGCTCGGCGTGATGGAGATTGACAGCGATTGAAACACCCCTCTGTCGGTCGAGAGACGACGATGCCGAGGCTGAACGATAGAAATGCACGAGCATGCGAAGAAAGCCAAGTCTGGCGGGATGAACGACTCTACAACAAGGGATAAACAGCCCGATCCGTCTCCGTTCAATAAGCCTAACTGTCTGTCCGCTCGCGCCTCGTCTAGTACCGCGGACTGGGACTCATCGCGCCTGCCCTCGCATTGTAAGGGATCCCTCCCGCCGCCACCGCAGGAGATCCCGCCCGCGGGACCTGCGCAGCTGTGAGGGGTACGTCGTCTGCGCTGCTTGCGAACGGGTTCGGGTACGAGGGGTGCTGGTGCGAGGGTGGGGGATAGACGATCGCTGGTGGAGCGGAGGGGTGAGGGTTGTTCGTTGTGGGAGGGTTCGCGAAAGGGTCGATGGCGGTTGCGGCGGCGCCCGGAGGGAGGTGCGATGGGGCCGGGGTACCAAGGTACGGGTCGTCTGCGGAATGAAGAGATGTCAGCCTGAGAAGAACCGAACGGCGAATAGGTGAGAAGACAACGCACAATAGCTCCCGCCGTACGCGCCCGCTCCTGCACCCGCGTACGCGAGCTCATACGGACTCTGCGCCCTCGGTCCCCCTCCACGCTCACAGAACTGCTCGCTCCCATTCGGGCCATAGCCCAACCTCGGACTTCCAGCGTCCCACTCCGCTCCTCCAGCTGTCCCATGCGGCCTCCCAAACTCGTCCTCATCCGTCTCGTACCCAAACTCCCGGTCCTTCTCCATCTCCACCCCCGCACCGCCCGTCTTGCGCGTCGCGGGAGGGTTAAGCGTGGAGAGGTTCGTCTCGCCCCCGTCCGGCTGGAGTTCGGGCCACTTGATCTCGCCGATGTCGTGGTCGAGGTTGGAGAAACGTCGTTGGGTTAGGCGCCAGAAGAGGAGGCAGCCGACAACGACCACGGCGACGCCCTGCGAAGTAGCTTTTCTTCGTCAACTCCCGAAGCTAGATTCACGTGTGGAGGAAAAGCGAACGCACTCCGATGACACCGCCAATGATGCCCCACGTCTTGCCAGAAGGACCGCTGCTCGTGTTGTTCTTGACGGGCACGGCGCTCGCCGATTCTTGCAACATTGTCGAACTTGACCCGTCCGAGTTCGTCACGACGGACGTGATTGTCACAATGGAGACGGCAGACGCTGTCGAGCAAGTGAGTCAGCGACAGCACAGGCAAGAGGAGAGGACCGTCCACGCACAAGAAGAAGTGCGAGAGGAAGTCGGCGAGGACGTCGACGAGCTCGTGCTGCTCGGCGTGCTCGGCGTCGAAGACGGCATCGACGTACTCGACGCGCTGCTCGTGAGGGCCGACGTCGCGCTCGTCAAAGCGGACGTCGCACTAGCGCTCGCATCGCTCGTCGCCGACACCAGCGTCCCGCTCGCGCTCGCCGCCGAACCCGTCGCCGCCGTTCCGCTCGCCGTCGCACTGACTCCGCTCGGCGCTGCACTACTCTCCGAGCATCCCAGTCCCAACACACCACACCAGAACCCTCGTTCGGCGAGACGGACGGACGAAGTGGGCTGAGCGCGAGGGTGGTGCGCGACTGCTTCGCTCGTCGCTACGAGGAGTGCGAGGGTGGATAGGATCAGGAGATGGCGTGTCTGGTGTGGCATGGGTCGCTTCGTGGCGCTCTAGAGGGAGGAGAATGGAGGTCGGGTGCCGATGAAGCGAGCGAGCGAGCGAGAAGACTGGCGGATTGGCGGCGAGCGCGGGTGGGTGTGCGACGGCGTGCAGAGCGTGTCTAGAGTAGCTGTAGTCCTGTCCGTGCAGCGTGTGCGCCTACCTAGCGTGAGCCAGCGCCGTGAGCGAGCGGCAAGAGCGCGACTGGCACGCGACGACGAAGTTTGGTCGAGGGGCGAACAGAAGGACCTCGCTCGACGACTGCGACGCTTTCGAAGGATCCGGCGGCATACAGACATCGACGAGGACACTGCGAGTCGAACGGGTTAAGCCGGAGACTCGAACGGAGACTTGGACGATCCAAACTCCTCCTTTTGCAGACGAATAAATCATTCGTACGTCTACTCCGGCTTCGTCTAGAGCTTTGCGTCCGGCACGTCCTCCCAAAGGTCGGGCACGCCCCATCCCTCGGACGGGTCGACCGTCCGCTTCGTGCCGAACTCGAGCGCACGCTTCTCGAGGCGGGTGATCTCGTCCGTCGTCAGCTCAACCTCTGCGACGACAGTCGGTTTAGTAAGTCAGCTCGCAAGGGTCAACGGAAGGAGAGCGAGGAAGAAAGCGAGCGGCGTACCCTCAAAGTTGCTCTTGATCCGCTCGGGCGTGACCGACTTGGGCAACACGACGATTCCTCGCGCGGCCTGCCACGAAATCAAGACCTGCGCTGGGGTCGCACCGTGCGCCGAGGCGATCTCCTTGACGACCTTGTCGTCCATCTGAGGGGCGCCGGTCGAGCCGAGGGGCGAGTAGGACTCGAGGAGAACGTCGTTTCCTTGCGACCACTGCGGGATGGAGGAGAGTCGGCGAAGACAGCAAGTCAGCCATCTGTCCTGCGTAGCTCATAGTGTCTGGGAACCAGGTGCGGGAGGAAGTAAGCGCACCTTGACGAGTTCAGGCTGGGCGCAGTTCCCGTAGATGGCCGCACAGTCGATGTGCCTTCACGTCATGAGCGGGAGGAAGGGCACGATCAAAACGGAACGGCAGGAAGCGGATGAGCAAGTGAGGTCAGCCCATCTTCTCGAGGAGGAACAGCAAGTGGACCTCGACGCACCTGTATCCCGCTCCGATCGCAACCTTCACAGCCTCTCTGACCTGTCCAGGCTCGCTCTTCCACGTCCTGCGCGCATTCGCTCGTCTCGTCAGCACAGGAAGCGATGTGGGGATCAACTCGAGGAGGAGAAGGGGAACGCACCCGAGTCCGACGGCGGGGATCTTGAGGCCTTTGCTGAGCTGAAATGCGCGTGAGAATGCGGGCATCGTAGGATATGGATCTGTAGCGAGTGAGGAGAGCGAGGAAGAGAGCGGATCGGGTCGAGCAACCTCCACTTCAAGCGGTGACGAAGGTCCGGTCTGTCGTAGCGGCGTGCGACGATGAGCAGAGACTGAGCGTGCGAGATGAACCAGCAAGTGAGGCGAGCGAGGCGGAAGGGAAAGCGAGAGGCGGCGGCGAAGCTCTTCTCGAGCTGACCTTCGCAACCTCGCGCTCCTCATCCGTAGACTCGGCTGCGGGCGAAAGCGTGTGAAGCAATGCAAGCGAATCAAGCGGCGCCGCCCTCCCCCGTACAAGCGTCGAACCCTCCCAGCAAGCGATGCGTCTCCGCCCCTCATTACTCGTCCTCCTCGTCGCTCGAGTCGACGGCGCCGCCGGATGCGCGCTTGGCAGCCTTGACGCGAGGATCGTCGAGCGGCAAGAGCTTGATATTCGGGACGTCACCCGCTTCGAGCTCCCTGAGCGTCGGACCGCTGCTGTCGAGCCTAGAGAGCTGGGCGAGCAAATGCGTCAGCTAGCGCCTCTTCGCGGTGCCGTGAGCAACGCTGTCACTCACAAGGTTGTTCCAGCCGAACAAGCGCCCATGCGCCGACTTCGGGGCGTTGTCCTGCCAGGTGAAGCGCTCGCCGAAGTCGTCAAGGTCGCTTGACGTGCAGGTGTCGTCGTCGAGCTCGGCTGCGCGAAGGATCAGGCGGACGAAGAAGACGTGGCGCTGGTTCGTCTGCTTGCGCAGCTGCGTTTGCTTCGGCCTCCAGTCGATCCAGTGGAAGTGCTCTAGGCATTCCGGAAAGGCGAAAGAAGCGGAACGGTAGGTGTAGCCCCAGACACCGTCGGACTCCCTGATTGTACCGAAGTACAGTGACGTCGGGCGAGCGAAGAAGGCTTCGTCGTACTTGTTCTCGGGATAGTCGGCGGGGTCCTTCGAGAGCTTGAGGGTCGAGACGCCGGTCGTTGCGTGCAGTATTGTCTTGATGGCGGTCATGCGGAGCTCTTCGGCGTACTTCTGAAGCGTCTGTTCGATCGGCGGAAGACGACTCTCCCAGAGCGCTTCGTCGAAAGGAGGGCAGTCGTGCTTTAGCCAATCCTTGAAGACCGGCAGCTCCGTCAAGTCGCCCATGTTCGGGAGACGCTGAGCGAAAGCGCCTGCGCTTCTGCAGTATTGCTCGTAGATCGGCTTTAGCGCGTCGTAGTTGCGGTGCTCAGCCGTGGCTTTGGCGAAACGTTCGAGGGAAGCCTGAACCTCGACCCGATAGGCATCCCAGCCTGCGTAATGAGAGATCAGAGCGCGACAAGGGCATGTGTATGCACGGGACGCACCCTCTCGATTGATCTCGGGCGAGGTCTTCGGCATCTTGTCGCTCGTCCCGAAGAGGTCGGCCTGGCGAACATAGAATGCCACCTGCTCTTCCGTCCATCCATACTTCTCGACGAGTACCGGGCTGCATCTGTAGGTGGAAATCCTCATTTGAGACCGCGCCAGCGAGGGACAGCAATGACGACTCACTCTGCCGCCAACTTCTTCCGAGCCTCCCGTTGCCCATCCCTCTTTGCTCTCCACTCCTCGCTGTCGCGCTGCCTCTTCGTGTCGATACCCTTCTGAAGCGCGTGCGACTCCTGCGTGCCAGTCGGTCAGTCAGCACCGGATGACGAGGCTTGGTAGGAGGCACGAACCTTCTGCCTGACCGCGACCTCAGCCTGTTTGAGCGCAACAAAGTCGTCGACGAGGCTCTTTGGCTTCGGCTGACTCATAAGGGGCGGCGAAGGGCGACAGTAGCTATTGGTCGAAGCTGCGACCGCGGCGGCCGCGAACGGGGCCAAGTCGTCCTCATCTTGCAGCTCGAGCAATTCGCGGTTGACCTCGTCCAGATCCTCGATGAGGTAGGCAGCTGTGGAAGGGATCGTGAGCGTGACAGCGAGGGGAATCGACAAACCTCGCGGCTCACGCTCTTCGCGTTTGTGCGGCCGATAGCGGTGCAGATCAACTGCGAGCGAATGGTCAACCAACGTGTCCGTCGTTGGACAGTCATCACGCACAGTCGCTGTACGAGACGCATCGCTTGGCTTTCGGGTGGAGGTCAGGCCAGGCGTTGCGCAGCCTGTTGTCGAGGATGACGCTGAGAAGAAGAAATTGTCAGCCGCGCTTGCATGAGCGATAGCGGATTACGCACTACTGCTTGCGGCAGCGACTGCACGAGCGCATACGGAAGAAAAAGTCCCTGTGGAAGCGTTCGGAGCTGCCGCAGAACTGCTCGAGGGAAGATCAGCGGGGCTTGCGTGGTGCGAGAAGGGGCTTAAGCGTACCTGGCAACCTTCCCCGTGCATCAAAGCGACGAGCTCGAGCTCCGAAATGCCGTCGGGAAGAGGGATCTCGTCGCGGCGGCGAGAGACCGACCAAGCGCCCGTCATCGTCGGCGAGAAGACCATCTTCCGCATCGTCTTGCACTTCCTCGACAGGTGAAGGAGGCCGAGAGTGTCGATGTGACCGCAGGTCTATCGTGGAAGCCCAGTCAGCAGAGCAGCGACAGTCGGGAGAGCGGAACCTGCCTCGAGGAAGAGATCGTTCGGGAGCTTGAGGAGCAAGTCGAGGCTGAAGAGCGGTTCAGGCTGCTTCTCCGTCTCTTGCAGCTCGTCCTCGTCCTCCTTCACCTTCTCCTTGCCCTTGCTCTTCGACTTCCTCGCCTTCTTGCGCGGTCCTGCGGGCAAAGTCAACCAGGACGAGGTCAGCACCCTCAACCCTCACACTGGACCACACTTGCGCGCACTCACCAGCACCGTACGTATCGCCAACGCGTTGCGTGCCCTTCGCTCCGCCCGCCTTGCCCTTCACCCCTTTGACAAGCGGCAAGTCATCGAACACCTTCGTCGCGCCTTCCTCATCGCCCGCAAGCCAGTCGTCGTCGCTGTCGGCCTCCTTGTAGCTCGTGCGCGTGGATGCGCGTCCGCCTGCCATCGCTGGGCGTGTCCTGGCCCGGCGAGGGAGTCGTCGAGGAGGGAGAAAGAGGACAGGGGCGAGGAGGGGGTCGTGCACGGGAGATGTCAAGTCTTGCTGGACTTTCAAGATGGCGAGAACGGCTCAAAGCGTCGTCTATAGTCTGTCAAGTAGAGCGCGACTGACCCTCCTTAGGAATGAGCGGGACGAGCGAGAAAGAGACCAAGCTGGCGGGCGAAAGCCAAGTGAGCGTTTGTTTCCCACTTACACACGCTACGTAGTCGCGTGAGATCAAGGGCGGAAGAGTGAAGGGCGAGCAGGCGGGAAGAGAGGAAGGCTCAGGACGAGAAGGGCAAGCGAGCGGGCGAAGGAGCGGCGTCGGACACAAGTTTGAGGTGTCCGCACAGCCAGCAAGAGCTAGCAGGCGGGACACGAAGCACAAAGCGTTTGCGAGGCCGTTGAAGCCACCGCCGACGAGTTTTTCGAGCCTGCGCAGACGATGTGAGCGAGAGAGCCCGACTTGTCGAGTCCGCCGGCCGCAGAACAGCACGATGAGAGAGGGCGCCGAGTGGTTCCCGTGGGTAGCTGCTGACAGCTCGAGCGAGAGTCAGCGGAACGTTGGATATGGGGCAGAGGAAGGAGAATTGCGTGAGAGGCGACTCGAGTCGAGGGATGCGTTGAGAGGAAGTAGGTTGCGTGAGAGCAGGATAGTACGACAACAATTTAGACTAGACGGACGAGTTGAAGGGCAAAGTGAGGAGTCGAGGAGGGAGGAGCAGGAGGGCGAAGAGGAGGAAGTCGGAGGCGGAGGAACAGACGAAGTCGAGGTAGCGGCCCGACCACCAGAGCGCTTGTCGAGCAAGCCACAGTCGGTGAGCTACTGGCCATCCTCGGCTCGGTCCTCGAGGAAGCCGACGAGGACATCAATAACCCGTTCTTGTCGCTTCAGGAGGGTCGGGTCGGTCGTCTGCTGGAACGTCGGGACGCCAAGCTGCGTGAGATATTGACAGTCAGCTCGTGAGCTTGCGAACATGCGAATTGAGCCAGAAGAACGCACCGCGCGCAGCTTCTCCTGCTGTTCGCCCTGGAGTTGCGCCCACCTCACAAGCAGACGGCGGTCCCACTCGCGCAGCCGCTGCGACTTGATGACCGGGCTAATAACGACAGAAGACTGTCAGCGTACAACGAGGAGAGGCCTAAGCAACCGATGAGATGCGCGCACCTCACTCCCGACTGCCTCAACTCGCGCTCGTACCGGTTCCGCTCGTCCTTCAAGCGCAGCTCGAACGTCCTCTGCTCGTCCCACAGCTGCTCGACCTGCTCCAAGAAGTGCGGGTCCATTGCGAGGGCGTTGACGCGCGGGACGGCCTCTTGGAAAGTGAGTTGCGAGAGGTCCTTTGTCCGCGAGTTGAGCGGGTGCGCGGGTGCCGGTGGTGCAGGCGACTGCGAGTGTGAGTGTGTCCCGGCATCTGGCAGTGCACTGAGCGTCGTCAAGAGCGAGTTGAGCTCGTGTTGGGATGGTGCTCCCTCGCTGGAGTGATGAAGCTGGGCGGGCTGAGCGGGGTGTGCGGGTGTGCCGGGATGGCTGTCCTGCGCCTGCCTGAGCGTCGCGAGCAGGCTCTCGAGGTCGTTCTGGTCCATTGTGTGCGCGAACCGTGTGCTTTGAGCGGGACGCAGCCAGCCGACGGCTCTGGTGGACCCGTGCTCCTCACCGGCTTCGACCGCGCGCCCTTCGTGAGGGCTACGAAGAGGCGCGGACACAAGCGAGGGAGCTGCTTGGCACGTTGCGACGAGTCCGGCGCCCCACGAGCTGGTCCTCAACGTGCGAGGGAAGTCGCCGCACGCCGCCCTTCACTTTTCTTTCGCACTAAAAACAGCGACCGCGCTTGCAACGCAGCTCCAATTGCATCGGCCGGGGATGGCCAATCATCAGCAGACCGCCCGGACAATGCACCGGGTGCCCCTCGCGTCCGCCCGCCCTTCCCTCCCTTCTCCCCCTTCTTCCGCTCGAACGTGCTGCTCGCGCTCGCCCTCTTTCTTCTTCTGTTCCCGGTTCGCTGCACACGACTGCTGCGCCCGGCAAATCGATCGAAGCTTCCACGGGCGAACAACCTCGCGGCCACCCAGCTTTCCTCTGCTCTTCGTTCTTTCCCTCACCCTCTCGTCTCACGCCCGCCATGACCGACGCTCTTCACTCGTCGTCATCCTACGAGTCAGACAAGCATTCCGCGCCTGTTGTCCAGTCGCAGACCGCTCCTGTCGTCGAGGACAAGGAGCTCGCTCGCCTCCGCCGCAAGGAACGCCTTTCGAGCGCCTTCACCATCGCCTGCGCTGGTTTTGCGCTCGTCAGCGATGGACTACAAAACAATATCATGGTGCGACACGCTGAAACTCGTCTTTGTCGATACTGGCCATCGCGGCTGACCCTTCTCCTCCTCCGCAGACTGTACGGCTTCTTCCGCTCTTCTTGCTTCCATTCAGCTTCCTTCTCCCACCACAACGTCGTGCTCCGGCTTAATACTCGCGGCGTCTCGCTGTAGAGCCCATACTGATCCACCTTTCCCACCCTCGCAGTTGACGAACGTCCTGTTCGCGCAAATCTACGGCAAGGCCTACTCGTCTTCGATCTCGACCCGCCTCTCCAACTCGCTCACTGTCGGTACCATCCTCGGCCAAGTCTCCATCGGCATCGTCTGCGACCTCCTCGGGCGCAAGCATGGCATCGTCATTTCGACTTTCTGCATCGTCGCCGGCATCATCATCGTAACCGCTTCGCACGGAGCCCACGGCGCTCTCGGTGGCTTCTTCTGGTGCTTTACGATCGGTCGTGGTCTTACCGTGCGTCCACACTCCGCCGAACGAGAGACGTCGAAGCTGACCTTCGCGACTGCAGGGCATCGGCGTTGGCGGCGAGTACCCTTCGTCGTCTGCGAGTGCTGCTGAGGCGGCCAACGAGAAGATGGTTAAGTCTCGCGGACCTGTCTTCATCTTCGTCACCGTGAGTCTCTCTTCTTCCTCGAGAGATCTTTCCTCAAGGCGTCGCCTCTTCTCTCCTCGAGAGATCCCCTCTAAACCGCGCTTCCCGCAGAACCTCGTCCTCTCGTGCGGCACCATCTTCGCCTGCATTCTCTACCTCATCGTCTTCGAAGCAGCCGGCGGCCTCAACGCGAACCTCAACACCGTCTGGCGCACAGTCTTCGGAATCTCGATGGTCCCGCCTCTCGCCGTCTTCATCTTCCGCATGCGCATGCTCAACTCGCAGCTTTACCGCAAGAACGCGATTCAGCAGGGCGTCCCGCTCTTGCTCACGCTCAAGTACTACTGGAGGAGTCTGATCGGTACTTGCGTCGCCTGGTTCCTCTACGGTGCGTTGCCTTTGTTTTTGACGGTTTCGATGCTCATGAAAGATCTCTGCCGCTAGACTTCGTCACGTTCCCCAATGGCGTCTTCTCCGGCACCATCATTTCCTCCATCGTCCACGCCAAGGGCAAGTCGCTCTTCCGCCACACCGCAGAATGGCAGCTCCTCCTCGGCACGATCGCCCTTCCCGGCGTCTTTGTCGGCGCATGGCTTGTCAACAGGATCGGGCGCAGGAACACGAGTGAGTCGGCGAGAACTGAGGACGACCTTCTCAGCTTGCGCTGACTCTCCCTTCTCGCAGTGATGCTCGGATTCTCTGGCTACCTCCTCATCGGCTTGATCGTCGGCTGTGCCTACAACAAACGTACGTGCATCCTCACCTCCCCTCAAGCTGAAGTCGAGCTGACCCTTTCGACCTCCTTGTCCCTTTTCTCCTCGTCCTCCCATCTTCGCACGCTCCCTTGCCCGCGCCTATCACGACGCGAATGAACGCTATCACAGTGATCCACGTCGTTCCCGCCTTCGTCATCCTCTGTGAGCCCTTCTCCCTCGCAGACCGTCCGTGACCATCTCCTGAGCCTCTGCTGTCGTCTCCGCGCAGACGGGCTCATGCAATCGTCAGGAAACTTGGGACCGGGCGACTGCCTGGGACTGTGCGTATGCTCTCCTGGAGCGTCACTAGACGTCTGACTGACCTCTGGAGCTTTTCGACAGCGTCTCGGCGGAGAGCTTCGCCTCTCCCGTTCGCGGAACGCTTTACGGCTTCAGCGCGGCTATTGGTACGTCTAGTTCCACACTCAATGGAGTAGTTGAGGACGCCGGAAGCCGAATCGAACGAAGCGCTGATCTTCCTTGTCGCTGTTCGCCTCCTCCTCGCCTTTTCTCGCTTCCGCCTTGTTCTCTCGACGTCTCCGGCTTCTCCCGCAACCTCTGAACGTTAAAAATGAAGGCAAAGTTGGAGCTGTCGTAGGCGAGGCAAACGGAAAAAAATAGCACTTAGCGCAGCGAGGCTGATGACCTTCGTCGTCGCAGGCACTCAAAGCTTCACCCCGATCCGCAACAACCTCGGCCCGCGCTGGACCTTTGTACGTGCTCCTTTGGCTCCCTCGTGCACCGCAGACGAAGCGAGGCAGCTGACCTTCGCATCGTCGCCCTTTCGCAGATCGTCGCCGCTATCTGCGGCATCCTCGGCGTTCTCGTCACCTTCTTCTTCATCCGCAACGAGTGCGTCTTCTCCTCTAGCTCGCCTCTTCGAACCCTACAATCTGCGTCGACCTCGCCGCCGCCCGGCGAAACCCTCGACTCTTCACTTCCCGCTTGCACTCCTCCGCCTACCTCTCCCTTCCTCCTCCGCACCTCTTCATCTGTCTACTCGCATAGCAGCGCTGACTCCCTTCTCATCGCAGTCTCGGCGGAGACCTCGCCGAGGAGGACCGCAAGTTTGTCGCCTACCTCCGTTCGCAGGGCTGGGAGGGCCACATCGGTGTCTCGGGCAAGGAGGCCCTCGTCGACGCCGAGGAGGGTCCTAAGAACGACGCCAAGGCGAAGGAAGAGATGGTCGAGGACCTTTGAGCGGGCCATCGGGCGGAAGAGTGTGCATATAGACTGGCGAAGAAGGGTTATCCGGGCTCGTATTCTCCTAATTCTTGTCATCTCTACGGGTTTCAGCACTTGCAGCACGCTCCGAGACCATGCGAGCTGCCGCTGCGAGCCAGGCGAGCCGCTGAAAGCGCGACGGGCAACAAGCGAGTCTTCAGACGGCGAGGAGCAACCCAACCGGCAGGCGCAAGGTTGGCGGGAGCGTTGATCGCCTCAGCGTGTGTCTTCGAAGCCCGCAGGTTCTGCGCGAGCCGTGCAGCAATCGTCGTGGGTGAAGTTCACAGGACTGATGAGAAAAGCGGATCCGTGAGACTTCGACTGGCGAGGCGAGTCGCGCTCGCAAAGCGTGTTGTAGCTAGCTCGCATCACGACAGAGGAAGTTTGAAACCCCATACTGCGACGTGAGGGAGGGGGACGAGAGGCAGCCGGCGAACGCGCTCCTTCGCCTCCTTCCGCTCACTCGTCGCAGCTTCCCAACACTCGCTGGATCCGCTGAGCCGTGCCGAGATGACTGCAACCTTGGTACGTACGGTGCCATACCCGCAGCTAGCCGTGCGACGCTGAACTCGCGTCCCCACAGTCCGCCCGCAATGCCGCGACACCTCCCCTCCTCCGGCTCCCGCACGAGCTGCTCGATTACATTTTCACGCTGGCGTACAGCGACTACAACGACGACCTCGATGATGACCTCGTGGGCGTTCAACTCGAAGCGCAACGAAGGCTTGTTCCCGCCGGAACCGTCTGTCGCGCATTGCAACCCTTCGTCACCAAGCACCTATACGGCCGCATCCACTTCTCCTCTCAGACGGCTTTCGCATCCTTCTGCACCGTCCTCCTCGCGACTCCACAGCTCGCCAGCCTCGTGACGGATCTCCGAATCAGCTTGGCGAACGAACTCTACCGGCACTACGACGCCGTCTACGGCGACCGCGCGGTCCCGCGGAGCGTGGAGGCCGCTAACGGGCCAATGACTGTTCCGGCAGGGCTGGTGTCGGCTGCGGCGTCGTCGCTCGTCAACCTCCGCTCCCTCATCCTCGACAGGTGTCCATCGGCGCTCGGCGACCCACTCCTCCTCGACAGCACTCCGACTTCCTTCCCTCAACTCCTCGTTTTCAACTCAAACAACTGGAAATCCCGATCTGGTAGCAAACAAGGCCAAATCGACCTGTTTGCTCGTCTTGCGACTTTCCCCTATCTCATCGACCTCCGTCTCAGCAACCCGATGCACCGGTACCCGCTATTGCCGCGTATCGGTGAATGTACGCTGTCCTTCCCATCCCTCGCCAGCCTAAGGGTGGACGGCTCGGGATTCGGAAGCGAATCACTGTCTTACGACATCGGCGCCTTTTTCCCCAACTTGCGCGTCTTCGATGTATACGACCTCGATGAGGATGCTTCAATACTCCCACTCCTCGGTACCTTACCCTGCACGCTCCAACACCTCTACCTGGATCGAACGGTGTACGAGCCCGAAGTCGACGTTATCGACATTATACCCTCTCTCGCCCATCTTCCTCATCTGCAGACTCTCATCCTTGCACACGCCACCTTCACTCCTCAGTCAATACTGCGTCACCTCCACTCTTCGCCGCAACTGCGACATCTCGGGTTCGGACAGGCGAGCGGCATCACCGACAACGTCCTCGCCGAGATCGCCACCCTTCCGCAAATCGCAACGCTCGAGCTCGACCATGTCATTGGCAGGAAGGGCATACCGCTCCTCGAGCAAGCGAGTCTCGAGCAGCTGAAGCTCCTGCCGGAACTTTGGGAGCCGTACGATTGGGACTGGCAGAAGCCGTACTTCCCACCGGGCGTCACGCTTGAAGGCATCAAGGTGGCTGCCGCAATGGCGCGCAGCAACGGTATCGTCGTGGAGGGAACGGCTCTCGACGTTCCGGAGGACTTTGACGAAGCATGGCAGCGGGAGATTGTCTCGGTCGTCAACGAGCTGTACATCAAGACGGGCGACTTGTCGATGCTTGGGGAGTTGGATGTGACGTTGTCTGAGGTGCTCGAGTACGTGCGCGGGACGGTGCTGTCGTTGCGGGAGAAGCATGGCGTCCCCACACCGCCGATCCATCCTTCGTAGTGGTAGTCCGCCTCGCAACAGCAGTCATCGGCTTTCGCTTGTTCTTCTGCATGCCATGATGAGCTCGCTTCAACGCAGCGTGAGGAAGCGGAAGCGGGAAGTCGGCGCATACAGCCGATGCGCGACGAACAGTCGCTAGGTGAGCTGGAACGGAGGCGCATCGTTGCGTCAGCGAGACCGCGATGCAAAGAGCTCTGTTGATACGCATTCTGAGGATGGGCAAGTGGCTGAATGCGTGAAGGAGAGGAGGAGGAGCAGCCTCAGCAGCGAGGAAGCAGGGTGGGCAGGGAGAGGCGCGGGGACATGTCTGGTCGACGGGGCGACGAACCGGCCTCAAGGTGTCAGAAGCAATGTTCGGCAAACAGTCCCGTCAGGCAACGCTTCGTTGACCGCAATCGCCCTCCTCCTCGCCCAGCGTCGATGAGAATCGCAAGTTCGAGAGAACGCTACGAGGGAGGCTGCGCCTTCGGCCATGCGTGTGCGAAGGCGCTATTCAAGCAGCAGTAGCTCTTGAAAGCCTCTTGGCGGGATGCGAGAGCGTCGACAAGGACCAACCTGCGAGTTCGCCTCTCTCGCTCCTCCCGCTCGCTCGCTGCCGCTTGCTACCGCTCCGTGACCTGCTTGACTGCCTTCTTCTGCTCGCCGGAATGTCTCTCGAGGTACGCACGCAGCTCGCACCGTCCCGCAATCCCTGCTCATCTCGCCCTCCCCTCTCGCAGACCTCATCCCCCGCGCACCGCAAACGCCCCTTCCCGCTTCTCAGGCTCCCGTACGAGTTGCTCGACACGATCTTCGCGTACGCTTACGAGGACGACGAACATCCCGAGCCGGTCTGCCGCGCCCTTCGCCAATTTGCCGAGCGGCGCTTCTACCGAGACGTGAAACTTGTCAACTACTCCTTTTTGGCCGACTTCTGCTCGACGATCAATGAAAGCAAGCGTCTCGCACAACTCGTTCGAACCCTCGATCTCGACTTCTCCTGCTGCGAAGAAGAAAACGACCCTGAGGAGCACATCGAGCCAGGACATGCTCAGCGTACGGTGACCGTCAAGTCCTTCACGAAGGTGCTGAGCCGTCTCATTAAACTCAAGTCGCTTCGAATGGTCGAACTGGACAAGCAGCTCAGCCAGGTCTTATCAAGCACCCGCCTCGACTCGTCTGCCTTGCCGGAGCTCGAAGTTCTCGACCTGCACGAGATCAAAACCTGCGTGCTCGACGAGGGTGTATGGGCTAGGAGGCTGTCGATGCTGCGGGAAGTGCGCCTTCATAGCTCCGTCGGACCAATCCGTCTGCCCCGAGCCGCAACGACTATGCAGGCGGACACACTCGCGCTCTCCGGCGACGGCCGCAACCCGTGGCCTGGCTACGAGCTCTGCAAGGCCTTCCCAGCCCTGATCGCGTTCGAAGCGCGTGACTTGATGGACAGGTCGCAGTATCTTTCGGTCGTGCATGGTCTGCCAAGGACCCTCAAGAGGCTCCGACTCGAGCAAAGCGTCGACTTCGTCGCACCCGGCTCTCTTGACGACATCCTACCGGAGTTTCGGGACCTCGACAGTCTCTACCTCTGCAACGGCACCTTCACCCTGCCGCGCCTCACGTCGTATCTCGTCGCGGCAGTCAATCTCGTCTCACTCGGCTTCAGCATCGGCGCTCCATTGACGGACCGCTTCCTCCTCTGGCTTGTGAAAGGCCCAACTCGTCCGGCACACCTTCAAACCCTCGTGCTCGACTACGTGACCTGCCGTCGCGGGCTGACGATGAAGAGCCAAGGATACAAGCTGAGCAAGGACGCCGAGTTCACCCCTTTCCAGCCAAGGATACAAGCTGAGCAAGGACGCCGAGTTCATCGACCAGTACTTGTCCGACATTTACTCTTACATGCATTTCTAGTGCGTGCGTTGCTTCCTCCCGCGGATTATTCGAGGAGAACGGAACCGAGAGATGTGGCTGAACGAGTGGCATGGAGGTGAACGACCGCTTGCAAGCAATCTCTACACGCTCGCCTTGATTGCCGACAGGACATCCTCGAGCCCGGCGACGTCCCGCTCTGTCCTGTCCGTCTTCGTTCTCTTCGCCTTGCGCTCGCCATCACCGCTCGCCTTCGCCTTCTTGCCCGACGCTGCCGACGCAAAAATCTCGTCGACCTCGTCCGCCTTCCGCTCGCGCTTCTTCTTCTTCTGCGTCGCCGGCTGCTCCTCCTGCGTCTGCGGCTGCACAGACGCCTTCGCTGCCTCCTCCTCAGCCCTCAACCGTGCCTTCTCCTCGTTCGTCCGCTGCGCCATCTTGGCCTTCCACTCCTCCCGCTTCCGACCCCACAGCGGCAGCTCCAACTTGCGAGCGAAGAAGTGCGCCCAAGCGCTCCGCTGCAAATCGTTCTGCTTGTCAAACAGACTCTGCGCGATCTTGTCCTTGAGGTAGACGTCGGCCGAGGCGAAGCAGCGTTCGGCGACGCGCGAGCCGATGCGGTCGTCGGCGAGGGTATGCAAGTGGCCGAGGAGGGAAAGGATGAAGGTGCGGAGAGCGCGGGGAGGAACGGTCGAGGAGGTGAGGAGGACATCGAGGACGCGGGAAGAGGTGGCGGAGCGGGAGATGGCGAGGAGCGAGTCAAAGGGCAAGGCGGTGACGCTGCGCGAGGATATCGACATGAGCAAGGTCGCGAATGAAAGGGAAACAGTCGAACGCACCTGTCGAGCACCACCTGGTTGTGCGGCGAGTGCATCTTGAGCCAAGTCTGCAGGAGTACGGATCCCTGCGTCGTAGGTTCGGGTGTCGCGCCGTTTGCGAGTTTCTTCCAGTGCTGCAAAACATGGGAGGAAATGTCAGTCGGAGGAGAGGGGCGGGCGAGGGAGCACGAACGCACCGTCAGGCGGTTGAGGGTAAGCACGCAAGGCACGACGAGCTTGCGCTCCTCCTCCGTTCGCAGGCCGAACGTGTCGAGCATGAGCTGTGTTCGTCAGAGGTTAGCAAGCCCAACTCACGGTGAGAAGAGTAGAAGAGGCGCACCCCGGACACCTCTGCCTCGCTCGCGCCCAATCGGCTCGCACTCTCCATCAACGCCCTCAGCACACCCGTTCGGTAGTTGTCGATCCACTCGCCCCTTCGCTCCTCCGCAATTGCCCTCAGCTCCTTGACCAACGCATCAAGCTGCTTCTCGTCCACCCGCGCGACACCAACCGCGACGACAAAGTTCGCAACGGCGTTCGCGGCGAGTCGATGCAGCTTCTGGGCGAAGAAGGTGGACCAGAGGGCGTCGAAGACGGGTTTGGGCGCGAGGGTAAGGAGCATCTCGAAGGTCGGCGACGAGGCAGGGTGTCGCAGCAAGCCTGCGAGGTACTCTTCCCGCAAGTCGCTCGTCGCAGCTGTATTGGCCGTGCCGACCTCGCCCGAGGCGACTTCGCTCACAAGGCCGCACAAGACGCGATCGGCCCATCCGCCTGCCTGCCAACCGCCGTTCGGCTCGAGCGCTTCGAGCTCGACGAGGATGCGCATGACGGGTCCGGCAACTTCGTGCATCGCTGCGCGACGAACGCCGTCGCCTGGAATCGACGCAGTTGGGAGCGCATGTCCAGTCGTCGGGTCGACACCAGCCGAGTCGAGCGCATAAAGCCGCTCGTACATGTCCTGCAACGCCTGGCGGAACTCCGAAGGCGTCGCAAAGCGCTGCTCAGCCGCCGACGCCCGTCCCTTCCCCTTTCCCTTGCCCTTCCCGCCGTCCTTCTCCTTCGTGAACGCGACATCGTCCGCCAGCCAGTTCTTCCCCAGCGTGGCCTTCCCCTGTCCGCGGCGGAACTGCGCACTCTTCTTGCTCCGTGCGGCGGGGTCGGTCGAGGAGGCAGGAACGCCGGAGAAGACGAGGAGCAGAATACGGATGCAGTGAGAGGCGAAGGGATCGTAGATCAGGGAGGGGAGGTTCGGGAGGAGCTCCGTAAGGCAGGAGACGAGGAGGGCGGACATAGTAGGAAGACTGTCGGCGCTGGCGGAAGACGGGCCGGTAGCGATGTTGCCGCGAGTCTGTTCGCAAGGAGGTCAGTCGGGAGGACACAAGTGAAGAAAGCGACTGCTACGCACCTCGCGGTCAACAGTCTCGCCTGCGAGCTCGAACAGCGTCTGCAGGACGTGACTCGCGTGCCTGTGCTTGACGAGCTTGTCGTACATGCCGGTGAAACGGTCGAGCAAGACCCGCTTCGCAAAGTCGTCCATTGCGTAAAGAAGCTGTTCGAGCACGACGCTTGTCTCGGGATCGCCTGCGAGAGCGACTTCGTGTCCCGAGAGCGACTCGAGCGCCGAACGGAGCAAGAGAGGTCGCTCGTCCTCGATTTCCTCCTCGACTTCCTCGCCGTCCTCGTTCACGATGATCTGCGTCTCGCGCTTGCCGAACCCATTCGCCGACATCTCTTCGATCTGCTCAGAGATGCGCTTGAAGTAGGCCTTCGTGTCGGGGTCGGGTTCGGGTAGCGCATCAGGGTCGACCGGGCGAGATGACGAGGGGTCGCCGCCCGTCGTGGGCAAGCCGTCCCAATCCATGCGCGTCTTGCGCTCCCTCTCCCGCTTCTCCCTCGCCAACTGAGCCGCAGCCTCCCTCTCCTCCTGCTCTTTCTTCAGCTGTTCCGAGCGAGATGCACTTGTCAACTCCTCGCTTCGCTCAAAGCAGGTGTAGCGGCCTGCACGTACCTTCTTCTCCTCCTTGCGCGAGTTTGCGCTCTTGCGCTGGCGCGGGCGAGGCATGGCGAGTTGCGATGAGGGTCGTCGAGCGAGCGAGGTGAGGAAGAGCTCTCGTCGAGCGGGAGAAGCGCTGGGCGGTCCAGAAAGGTTCAGCAAGCCAGGGGGAGTGCTCTGCAGCTGTGCAGGCGTGTTCAGCGAGCGACTGCGCGTGAGGTGTCGGGTTGACCTCTTCCCCTCGAGCTTGCCCAAGAGGCATCCCTTGACCTCGCTCGACTGCTCTTAAAGGCGCTGCTAGACTGCTAGATTGACTTGCTAGAATCTCAGTATCTCGCCAGTACCGCTCTCGCCTCGAACGACGCCGTACTCGCGCTCGCCCATCCTCATCGCCTCGCCCAAGTTCAACTACTCTTTCCACCCTTAACACAGCTTTACTGGGCCTGCTGAGGACATGCAGACGACTGTACCGAGGGTCTTGACCATTGCCGGGTCAGGTGCGCCCGCTCCAGCGATCCGATCCGTCGCATCGCCCGCTCACCCCACTTCCTGTCTCCCTCGGACCCCTCCTTTCGCCTCTTGCTGCGTCTGATCCGCTTGATCTCGCACGCACAGACAGCGGAGGAGGAGCTGGTATCCAAGCCGACCTCAAGACCATTGCCGCCTTCCACTGCTTCGGCACCTCAGCCATCACCGCCCTCACCGCTCAGAACACCCTTGGCGTCCAGGCAGTCGAAGGCGTCTCGCCAAGCTTTGTCGTCAAGCAGATCGAGTCCGTCTTGGACGATATCGGCACGGATGCGATCAAGACCGGGATGTTGTACGGCGAGGAGACGATTCGGGCGATTGTTGACGTGCTGGAGAAGCGGTACGGACAGGACAAGGAGAGCTTGAGGCTCGTCGTCGATCCTGTATGCGTCAGCACGTCCGGTCACTCGCTCCTCCCCCTCTCGGCAGTCGACTCGCTCCGGAAGGACCTCCTTCCCTGGGCCACGGTCCTCACGCCCAACATTCCCGAAGCCGAATACCTCGCCGGCTGGGAGTCCGGCACGATCAGCTCAGTCGAGGACATGGAGCGTTGTGCGAAGGAGTTGGCGAACACGGGAGCGCGGTGGGTGTATCTGAAGGGCGGGCACATGCCGATCGAGAAAGGCGAGGCGGGGGAGAGGGTCGTCGTCGACTTGCTGTGGGACGCAAAGGCGAAGAAGTCGACGACATGGGAGCGACGGTACCTGGACGTCAAGAACACGCACGGCACGGGCTGCACGCTGGCAGCGGCCGCGGCATCAGAACTTGCGCGAGGCAAGACAGGTGCGTTCGTTTCTCGTCCATTTGGCTACAGCTGTGCTGAGTGGGTCATTCTCGCAGTGCCCGAAGCTGTGCGCTGTGCGGCAGACTTTGTCGCCTCCGCCATTGCAACCTCCTACTCGATTGGCAACGGTTCAGGCCCCGTCAACCACTTCCACGGTCTCATGTCTCGCACCCTTCCCTTGTGAGTCCGCTCCTCTCTTCACTTGCCCTTCTCTACTGACGCATCTTGTCGCGCAGACCGAACCCGCACTCCCCGACCCCCTTCACCGACTATCTTATCGCCTACAACCCCTCCGCCTGGTCCCGCTACGTCAACCACCCGTTCCCGCAGGGTCTCGCAGACGGTACGATGCCGCTCGAGGCGTTCTTGCACTTCATCCAGCAAGACTACCACTTCCTAAAGGTTCGTTCCATCTCGTTGCTCGCCTACGCTCATCCACTTCGGATGGGTAAACTGATCCGGTATGATGGCGATGTGACGACAGCAATACGGTCGGTCGAACGCGCTTGCGGCTTACAAGACGGAGGACATGCACCTCATGGCCGGCTCGATCCAGATCGTCAACGACGTCGTGCGCGAGACCGAGATGCACGTCAAGGTGCGCGTTCCCCTCTCCTGCTTCTCCTCTCTCCCATCTGACACGGTTGGACGGCGCAGTACTGCGAGAAATACGGCATCTCCCGCGCACAGCTCCAGGCTATCCCGGAGAGCGTGACCAACATTGCCTACACGCGCTACGTCCTCGACGTCTCGTCAAAGGGTGACTTGCTCGATGCGAGGGTCGTCACGGCGCCTTGTTTGATCGGGTGCGTCTGCTCTCGCTTGATCGGCTTCCGCCTTACTCTCGAGTGAGATTTGCTGCTCATTGCCCAGGACTGCGCGCAGGTACGGCGAAGTGGGCCGTCGACTCGTCAATGCCACCACCGGCGTGAACCGCGACGAGTCGGCGAACCCGTACTGGGGGTGGATCGCCGAGTACGGAGGAGAGTGGTACCAGGGCGCGGTGAAGACCGGTATTGGTGCGTCTCTCCTCTCCTCGCCAAGCTTCCCTTCTCCCGGAGCACTAGCTGACGGACAGGAAGAGGGTGTGCAGACGTCCTCGAACAAACACTCCACGAGTCGCCTATCTCCCCCTCGCGACTCGCCGACCTCGCCCGCGTGTTCGAGAAAGCCACCGAGCTCGAGATCGCATTTTGGGACGCGGCGATCGAGGCGGGGAAGAAGAAGAGGGAGGAGGTGTTGGATACCAAGGGGGGGATGCCGCAGTAGCTTCCCGGCGGCGCGTGCGACGAGGCTTAGAGGAGGGAGGAGGAGTAGAGCGGTATCGATTAACGCAAGTTCGTCCGTACCTCTCGCAAAATCTGGAGAGGAACTAAGTGGATCCGAATGCATGTACGGGAGAAAAGCAAGCGAGATGGCTTTTTTGGGGTACGGAGACACTTCAGGTTCAGCAGACTTTAGGGGAGGCTAGAGAAGCGGACGACGACTGTCCTTTGACGATTGTCGGTAGTGGAATAGGCACGAACGGGGTGGCGGGGATCAATTTGAATTCTCGGAGGGTTTAGGTTCTTCAAGCGAAGACGAGCGCTCCGACAGCCGCAAGCGCGCCACCGAGCGTGAGCGACTTGGTGATGTCGAGCGAGCCTGCGCCGCTCGAGGGCTTCGAGGAGCCGGAGGGCGACGAGCCGGTTGCGGTGACTGCGCCGGTCTGCATGCCGGTTTGCGAGGCGCCGGCCTTGGAGGCGGACGAGGCGCTGTCACCACCAATCGTCAGCTTGGCTGGAGGAGGGAACAGAAGGAGGGGAACGCACGCAGAGGCAGCAGCTTGAGGGTTCGACTCGGCATTCGCGAGGACCGACCCAATCAAGTGGACGACACCGTTGCTAATCGGAATGTCGGCACGAATGATCTGAGCCGTCGCGTTGCTCGTCTTGACGAAAGCACCGGTCGAGTTGGTCATGAAGGAGATTGGGGCGCCGCCGGCGGTGGTGAGGTTGCCTGCCGAGCCGAGTTGGGTCGAGTAGGCGACGGTGCCGTTGAGGACGTGGCTGTGACGCAGCGTTCGTCAGCATCTCGAAGTCGAAGAGGGGAAAGTCGAACGGCGAGCGACCGACGCACTTGAGCAAGACATCGGCAATCTGAGTCTGGTTAAGCTGTCCAATCATCGACATGGCTGCCTGGAAAGCACTGTCGACAGGCGCGAAAACGGTGATTCCCCTCGCGGACGCAAGGGCGGGGACGGCCTGAGGAGCGTATTGCTGGAGCGCGCCGACGAGGTTGGTCAAGCCGGCGGCTTGGGCGGTCGCGGTGAGGTTCATCGGGATCCTGTGCGGTCATTGTCAGTACTTCGCAACGTGAAGACGCTGGGTAGGACGCACGAGAGAACCTGGGGGACGACGTAGACGTTCCTGCACAGCGAAACGAAGTCAGTCCGTCGGCCTTCTCAAGCTCAGAACTGAACGGGCAACGCACAAGTTCTGGTACTGAGTAGCCATGGTCGAGGTGACGTTCTGCGTCGCGCCGATCCAGGTAACTTGCTGAGGCATCATGCTCATCGACGAGTTGTTGCCGTTCGACGACGAGTTTCCGTTGGTCATGAAGACGCCGACTTGCGACTGGTTACCGGCTGCGGGCCGTCGATTCAGTCGGGCAGAAAACAGCGAGGACGGAAGGGGAGGTCGAACTTACGCAGCTGGACATACATCGAGTCGTTGAGCGCCGAGCGGAGGATCTGGTGTCCCGAGCCGTTGCTCATGAGGTCTCCGCTGTAGACATGGTAGAGGAGGGTGTTGGCGACGAGGGCCTGGTTGCTCGTCACGTTCTGCGGGAGGGCGGCGAACGCGTGGATCCGCGAACGAAGTTGTCGGTCAACGACCTCGTCTCGACGGAGTGCAGCGGAAGTAGACTTATTTCGTTTGAGGGCGCGAATACGGTGTGGTTGCCTGGTATAAAACAAGCGAGACGGTCAGCGACGAATTAGAGCGTCACGCGGGTTCGAGTGGGGACGGACCGTTCTGGAGGAGAGGGAGGAGGGTTGCCGCATTGGCCTGGGCGAGGCTCGCGAGGGTCGTCAAGCTGTGCGATGCATCGTCAGCGACACTCTCGGGCGTACGAGATGGAGCGGGACAGACTTGGCAGCCTGGAGGGCCTGCAAGAGACCGGCGGCATACTGGGTCGAGTTTCCTCCGCTGCCGGTCGAGTTCTGCGCCGATGCGAGTGCGAAGAGTGCGGCGATGATGGCAGCAGTCGAGAACTTCATCGTGTGCGTCGTTTCGAGGTGTACGAGGGAGGGAAACGAGGAGAGAGAGCACGAGGAGAGCAAGGGCGGGCAAGTGGGGCAGCCGAGGATCGAGCAAGCAAACGGGGTCGGCGTACGGGATCGCCCAGCTTCTGCGCAGAGACACCGCCACGCGCACGGTGCCGCCATCGAGATCGTAACAAGGTCGCGGCGAGGCCTTGCGAAGGTGAGCAGACTTATACGTTCTCTTCTCTCTCTCCGCTCAGTATGGACGGAGGCAAACTCACTCCGATGCAACAGACACGAAGCAATGATCAAGCGCAAGCGAGAGGAGAGGGGAAGCTAGACCGGGGGAACTCAAGTCGCTCCTCCTCCTCCTCCTCCTCGCTCCTTGAAGGGCGGCCAGTACTCACGCCCTCCTTTTCCCTCGACTCAGATCCTCATCGACCCGCCCTGGCGCTCCTCCATCGCG